GGCTTGGAGCCCTGCAGCTGAAGACCAGGTAGTGTCGTAACTTTAGCCTTGGCTGCTAGTTCGGCGGGTGCTTGGAACAGTAACTTTGAGCAGACGAGTACCACCAGTAAGCGCAGAGATGAGGTCTGGGGTACATGCCCCGTCTCTGACCGACGCGCGCGCACGAAGTACTGCCACTCGCAAATCATACGAGCATGTACAGTTGCGGGCAGCCAGGCGAAGAATGTGCTAGCACTTATCTGAGGGACAAGTAATGAGACGAGTTGACACGGCTCGCTGTCTGTCTTACTAGCACGTGCAGTAATCCCATCTGCCGACAGCCAGCGTTCTCCAAAAGCCCCATATAAGAGGTGTGACAGTCGACTGCTTTCCATCTTCCCTTTTCGATACACTTTTTGGGTCTGCGATTTTTTTTTATTCCAGAAAAAAAGAAGAATTGCACCGAGATGAAAGCGGAGTGCTCCTTGTTTGGCGTTCAATGGACCCCAGGGGCCGAAAATGTCGATTTCGACGTGACTTGTCTGCTTACCAGTCGTGACGTCAACCACTCAAAAGGGCCGGCCATTTAGACGGGTGCTCCTTGTAGGGAACACCGCAGGAGCCCTATGATCCACCAAGTAGTGTCGTAAAGAGCTGCGATCGAGATTTCGCGATGAGGGTCTTCTGTAAACAGGCATGATTGACAGTCCTGTAGCTGCCAAGCAATGTTAGTCTCATCTCTTGTAACGTGTGCTTTCGCGGCCATTCCAAGAATAAAACAGAAAATCAAGAGAAGAAAAAAAAAGAGAGAGAGAGGGAGAGAGAAAATCAAGTGGTCCCCTACTGCAAGCATTCAGGCCCACCTCGAAATCAACGTCAACGCCCAAAGAAACCAGTGGCGTGAGGGCACAGAAAGTATCGCGAGCAACGAGCGCACAAGCGCATGCAAGCTTTGCTTAGCGGGTAAGAAAAAAAAAATCATCCATCAGGCACGATCTTTTGGGAGTAGCGATGCCTAACGTGAGACTTGCAAAGAATGAGAAAACTTTTTCAGATGCAGAAAAGGGCAAAGAAAAGAGAATGAGAGAACAAAAAGCGAGAGACATTTCATCAGACCCCGTTTCCATGCCACCTGCTCTTGCCGCGCGTGGAGTTTTTTCCACAGCCGCCTGCAGAGTGTGTGAGTTGCGCTTTGAAGGGTACTCGGTGCAGCGCCTAATTCCGCTGGCGCTGGAAGTACCGGCTTTGACACTTGACTGAGGCAACACACCACCAAGCAGCACTCGGCAGGGCGCTAGAGCAGCAGGATCTTCACCGGCTGCACCTCGACAGCCAAGCGAGACAGAGGCGGTTGGTGGCGCATGCACGCGCACGCTCTGCTCGCTGGTTTTGTACAGTAGGGGCGTAGAGCAGAGATGGCGATTGATCGCGATGCATCGCAGGCGAGCAGGTATGCGTTGCAGCAGTGCATTTCACAGTTGCAGCCGCATCTGCAGGCTACGATAGACGCTGAGAGTAGGTGCTGGATTTTGAGATTGATGCGAATTGCCATGGTGTGAGGTTGACGCTGGCTGATGCCGAAGCCTGAGTCTGTGCGTGTATGGCTGCCAGCAACTGCCGCAGCGCATCCCAGCGCGTCCCAGCGCAACCGTCCAGCGGCCGCTCAGCAGCAGCTAAAATGCCCGCAGCGCCGAGTGGCAGCAGCGCGTCAGCCACAGCTCCAGTCCCGCCAGCGCCGCCGAGAGATACATAGCGCACCCGCCACGGTACATGCCTGCTGCTCCCCTCACTCCCCACAGGTACGTGCCTGTCCCCTCTCGGCGCTCTCCAACGCGGTCCCCACACCCCCTCCACTGGCCCCTCTGTCCCTGCCTGGACCCTGGTTCCCTGCCCCAAATCCCAGCAGCTGTGGCCCTCTTCAAAGCCCCTAGAGGCTCTAGGGGACCCCCCTGTCGCCGCAGCTCCAGCGCCCGAAGCATCTTGTCCCCATGCAGGTTGCAGGGCAAAGCTCGCGTTGGGAAGGTTTTTTTTTCTTTGCGTCAGTCACTTTTTTATGGCTCTTGGGCACCCGGAGTACAAGTAAAGTGGGAAGTGGATTTTTTCTTTATTTCGATCCCTCCTCGATCGATGGATGGATGCGTTTCTGGTTCTGGCTGCGACTCTCCCGGCTTTTGTTCAAAACTCGATGGTTCGCTCCTGTGCCCTTCTTCTCTCCCCACCATCGCCGACCTTTTATTCTCTTCTCTCCTCTCGTCTACATCTACACTCTGTACCTCGCCTCTCCCTTCTCTCTTCCTACTTCTTCCCTCTCCCCTCCTCCCCCTCTCTGGTTAAGAAGTATCGTACATATATACTCTTACTTCTCAACCAAGTGATCCTTGTGCCGTCGCCCGTCTCTCGTTTGTACACAGCAGAGCGATCTCGCTGCCCCCGGCAATCGTGCATACAAAGTCGGCGCCATCTGAGATTGGCTGATTTCGATCCCGTTGAGATTTCCACCACACTGCGGCTTAGCTCCCCCGCCTGCGCGACACAGAGCAGCCACTTCACATAACTGCCGTCTATATGCCCATGCAATAGAGTTCTTTTCCAGCACATTCACTCGACAAGTTTGAATACGAAAAGATAGCAGATGATCATACAAGATAGCAAAAAACAACTGAAACAACAAGACACCAATAATCGTTGCTACTCGCAAAGTTGCATGTCTCTGCAGTCCCTCTTTCCTCGCGACTCTTGCAGCACCAGTGACGACTACCGCAGCACTTCACCTTCCGAACAACTGACGGTATAAACGACAAGCTGCTGCCAATCCTTGTCTGCCTTTGGGAACCCTATTTTGTCTTCTCCTCAGGCTCAGATCTTCTTCTCACAACAAACACCACAGCTCTCTGACCCAGAGCTCGACCTCGCCGCCCACAGCATAAACGGCCTCTCTCTACAGATCGGTATATACCGCCAATTCACATCACAATGCACGCCCGCGACGCCGCCGGCCGCAAGGTCTCCCTCCTCAACGACGACACCAGCAGCTGGGCCGACAAGCCGACTTACTACCACCAGACGAGCTTCCCCTACTCCAGCCGGCCCTCTGTGCGCCCTCTGCCGCCTCGCAGCGACTCTTCCTCTCCAAACACTCCCGAGCTCCTGCGCTCGGATTCCTACGACTCTCAGCTCAGCGACGCCATTTCACCCTTGACGCCTTCAGTGGATTTCGGCTACATGCGAGCTGCGGCCTTTTCCTTCGGGCACGAATACACCGCCGAGGGCCCTCCCGCTAAGCGCCCTGCCTATGGAGACTGCAGTCCCTCAGCCTCTTGCGAAGAAGACAGCTCCGCTGCGTCTTCAGTCTCCGAGCGCCCCGTCAAGCGCTATCCTTGCCGCTACCGCGAGAGCCATGGATGCGAAAAGACCTTCACCACCTCGGGCCATGCCTCGCGCCACTCCAAAATCCACACGGCGGAAAAGGCGGTCCAGTGCACATTCCCCGGCTGCCACAAGAAGTTTACCAGGGCCGACAACATGAAGCAGCACCTGGAAACCCACTACAAGGACAAGACGCGCAGCTCTGGCAGCCAGCGCTCCAGCAAGGCGTCTCTGGCTTCTGAGGCGCGACGCAGCTCGACCTCGTCTAGCCGCAGCCGCTCTTCCACCACGGGCCCCGATTCCTTTGTCTTCTGGGACTCTAGCGAGCTTCACCAGAAGCAGAACCCCTTGCCGACGTCCCCGCTCCCGCAGCCGACCGGCAGTGCGGGCGCCTGGGATATGCGCGGATTCGAACTCCCACTGCTCAACCGTCCTTCCGCAGTCGGTGGCACGCCCAGCGGTCTCGACGCTCTGGCCATGGCTATTGCCTGCCAAGAAGGCGGCATGGTATGAGGAGAGAGTGACAAGCTTTTTGCCGAGTATTATTGACTTACTGCCTCTCTTCTCTCCCTGCCTATCACCCCTCCATCAATTTCACAAATTCCTCGGCAAATCCACCCGCGCACCGCAGTGCCCAACACAGCTAGGGTTTCTGCGGGTTACATCTTGATGGATACCAAACAATTCAAAAACAATAACCGAAACAAAAATCATTTTTTACCGAAAGAGACCACACAGAGAGTAATTTTTAATGTTCCGCAATCTCATTACCACATCAAACAAGGATAGCGACAACAAAGACTTCAGTTCCCACTTGTCAATTTGCATTACGAATCTCTCGGTCGGGAAATGCACACACCACACTCGGTGGATGGTATACGGCGTTTGGATGCGATTTGCTCTTGAGCATTTCCATTACTATCATGATAGTTTTCTTTGTTCCAATTTCTTTTTCTTTATTACTGGTCCCACTCGCCAGCTCCAAGTAAGTTTCCTGAGAGGAGACTACTTTGCGTGGCCTGGCAGCACGGGAGGTACATATATTACATTACATGAAAGGTCGCAAGATACATGATTGGCGCCTTGGTTGATTTTTTTTCTTTTTTCCCCTTCTATCCCTCTCGCAATTACGAGAAATTTTCTCTTCTTTTTCTTTTATATGTCGTTTTAAACCTGTTGCTTCAATTTCTTCTGGTCAGGGCTCTTGTTTTTATGCGCGCTCTGATATCCCACGCTTTATGTACACAAACCCCCCCATCTCCCCGGATGTTGTGGCTTCAATGACCAATGAGTCCTTCAGGGAGAGGTGACGAGGGAAACTTCATAATTCTATCATGTGGCGTTTTGGCGGCTCCAATGGGCAAGAGAGTATGGTGCGCTTTGCACTTTCTAGATGTGACGCATGTATGGGAGGATTAAAAAAAGGAGATGAGTGTTAATGGCTGTATATACAATTGGTAGCTCGCTTTTTTGGGCCTGGGACGGGATTGGGATTCAATTGATACCACTTTGTTGACTTTAGTAATGGACTTTACGATTTCTTGAACATATTTCTCCAGAGTAATGAACAGTGATAATGATAGATGCTTACTATGCTAACAGCTTGGAGATTCACATGAAATACATAGAACCACTTGAACACTGCTTATACTTTTTTCCCTCTCTTTCTTTAATTTTACTCTATCAAACTTTGTACTTGTCCATAAACTAAAATCATGGTGGCGAAGAGAAGATTGCCTCATAAAACATTTAATCATAGGGTAGCTCAGAGCTAATATTAGTCGTGCAGTCCATACACGTTACACGAGACACTATAGATGGGTAATAATGTTACCTAGATGCCTTTTCTTTTTTTCTTGCCCCCCCCCCCCAAGTTTATGTCATTAATTGAAGCAATAAACGTTACATGAGACACTATCGCAGCTTTAATTTAGCTTCACTGGTTTTCCCGTCATTTTATCTGAATGATTACGCAGTGGGTGTGAGACATTGGAGGGTTCTTGTCACTAGTCAGCTTTTACTGTCCCCTTCTCCATTCCTCGTAAATTTTACACGTCACATACAATATTATTTATAATCATGGCAAAGTTCGGATTCGCAGGTAGTAATTTATAGGCGACATGTCTTGGGATTATGAAACATCGTGGCTGTCTGTCTCTTTTCCTTGGGGTTTACAATGACGACGAAAGGGAAAGAAAAAAAAAAAAAAAAAAACTAGTGCTAGAAATAAGTAAGAGATAAGACTACGTATTATTTTTTTACATGTCACCTTATCTATCAGTGGAAAGAAAGAAAGAAATTCAAACGGCCATTGTGCATTTCTTCCAGCTCGTTTCTTGTGTCCTTGCTGTTAGTACTACCCCAGGGAGATAGTACTACACCTTGCTCTTGCCCGCCGTCAAAATTGTGCCGTCTGTGGTATGTTTGACCTCAAAAAGCTGCACCGCTCTTAGAAATATTGAGTCATTCAAACCCATCTTACATCTTATGACATAATCTTGATATGTGTAAGATCTGATATCGAGCCTGTTTGAGCAACAATGGAAAGTGGACAATAGTAATGTCGCTGCGGTATCCTGCAAATTGGACTTTGATCGCATATGGTGAACCAGAATCATCTTACTGGCGCACAGTCTTATTGTCGCCAAAGCTCTTCTCACTGAGAGTAGAGCTGTATAGTGAATATCACATACATAAGAAGTTACGAGATAGAACCAGAATGCTACTATATCTGTACCCTCAAGTCTACTAATACGAGAGAGTACTGAGAAAGCCCTTTCTCTCGTGCAAACACGTCATTGGCGAGCGGCACAGACCATAATAGGCAAGAAGAATTCAACACAAACACATATACAGTTTAACCCATGTATATCTGTACACACTATACTAGATATCTACCATCCAAGGCCCTTATATGATTCTCCCCTCTTCATGTCCAAAGTGCTTCCATGTCCGTGCATGCCCTAGCCATCTCAAATTGTTCATCCGTCTGGCAGACGAGGACGCGGTGTGTTGAATCTTTGCTGCTTATATCCCGCACCGCTGCACTGCCGCCATCCTCAGCATTATTGAATGCATCGTCGATGGCGAAACCCAGACAACCAGCTTGGTTGACGACGGCATCTCGAAGCCGGGAACTCTTCTCGCCAATGCCGCCTGCAAACACAAGGGCATCTACCCGGCCTCCAAGCGAGACGTAGTAACTCCCAATGAACCCACAGACGCGGTCCACAAATATATCAAAAGCGAGGCGATGCTGGGGTTCATCCGAGGCGGCAATGGTGCCAAAATTGGTAGTGCCCGTAAGGGATTTCCATCCGCTTTGCTTGTTGAGGATCTCCTCGGCTGCGGATATGTGGAGTTTCTCCGTTGAGGCTGGAGATAACTTCCCTACATCGCTGGCGTAATGAAACACTAGGCTACATTCATTCTGTTAGCACTTGTCTGAATTGGGAAACCAAGGGGAGAAAAAAACAAAATCGAAATGTGGGAGATCAGGTAAACGAATGCTACACTACCAGCATGGTCTGGCCGGGTTCTGGTGATTGGGCGGAATATGTAGCTGCCCGGTTTCCTTGTTCATAACAGCATCCTTGTCAAACAGCACAAAGGCACAGTTTGACAGAGTACAAGGCCTTTTTGTGAAACAGGCAACGATACAAATAGACAGCGGGATCATCTACGAGATTGGCTCACCTAGGATCTACGCTTCCACTGCGGGTCGCACCAGGGAGCCCGGCCAACGGGGTCAATCCCATGCTTGTGTCCCAGCTCAAGCCGTTCTTGATGGCACAAGCGCTGGCTCCGCTTCCGAGATGGAGGGCGATGATGTTGAGTTGCTTGAGGTCTTTGCCGAGGAAATCAGCCACGGACCTCGAAATGAAGGCGTAGCTGATGCCGTGGAAGCCGTATTTGCGCAGCTTGTTCTTCTTAGCTATCGTTGGGTTGATGGGGTATGTAGAAATGTGAGGGGGAATTGTTGAGTGGAATTGTGAATCAAAGCAAGCAACATTGGTCGCATCGGGGAGCTGCTTCATGCATGAGTCGACAATTGCTAGCGCAGCACCATTGTGCAGAGGGGCGAGGTCGCTGAGGGCCTCTAGATGGTGGTATGTGTCTGGAGTAATGACTTGGGCCTCGCCATAGTCTCCGCCGTGGACAATGCGGTGACAGGCAATGGAGACATCTGACTTGGAGCCAATCTCTTTCAATTCAGCATCGTCCACAAGTGTCTTGAGCAGCAAGGCAAAGGCATCGTCTTGGCTGTTGACGGTAGTGTCCACGTCTTTGTCTTTGATTATGGTCTCATCTCCTCGCGAATACTTCAGTTTGGCCGGAGGAGCTGTAAGACCATCCACTTGGGATTCAGCAATCTGGCGCGGCGTTTTCCCCTTGTCCGCCAGGTAGACTGAGATCTTGACGGAGCTAGAGCCGGCGTTGATGGCTAGGATGACGCCCATGGCGGTCGAAAATTCTGATGAGGAATGAGGCGACTGATGAGCTGAAGAAGTGATGGCACGGCCCGAAACAGTAGCTCGCCTCGCTTCTTTCTTGGATAGGTACACAAATTTGGAATGATGGTGTGCCACTGATTCGGGAGTTTGACTTCCTTTTATCTTTTTGTAAATATCATAATCTCCGCCGTCTTCTTTCTTTTGCTTGTGACCTGCAAGGGGGAAAAGAGAAGAGATCGTGAGAGAATGTCTGCCGATAGCTGTCAGAACGGGTGAGGTTGCTCATGACGACACTGATCTTGATGGCCTGATGATCGCGGGGGCTGGTGGTGTGGTGGGGGCCAATAGCAAACCGCCCTCATACCACGCTATGCGGTCCGGCTCTTGGTGACGTTTGTGGCCTTCAAGCAGCCGCCCAGTGCCATGTGGCTTATCGGCCAACAGAAGATGCATCTGGAAGGCGGATGAGTGCCAAAATATGGGAATAAGACAGAGAACGGATGAAGATATTGCTTTCCCAGAAGCACTCAAGGCCGTTTGCAAGACAATGCAAGGCCCAAGAACGTGATATTCTTTGCATCTCTCATATGCCAGCTCAATATGAAAACAGGGGGAAAATAGTAACGTATGGAAAATTTAGTGCTCAGCCAGGAAGGATATCCGGTGAAGCAAGTTCAAAGTGGTTGGGAGGAAACGGAATGCCGTTGAATTCACGGTCGGAGCTGTGAGCATGTGCCCAAGTCTCGATAAATCGCTTATAGTCTGTATTATTCAGCATGTTAGCTCTGCTCTCTGCGTCTCTCCTTGAAGCCTCGCTCTTACTAGTGGCTACTTACCTCGTTTGTGAGTAAACTGGATGGACAGATGTCGGATATCCAAGGGAGCGACCGTATAGGAAGGGCCTAGCTCGGGACTTGCTTGACTGGCCTGGCCGGCGGACCGGACCCTTTGTCTTATGCGAAAAGTTCGACGGGGAGAAGCTTCCTCGGGCACGCTTCCTCGGCGGCCGTGAACGCTGAGACGCAGCGTCTTTTGGCGGTCATCGCGATTCCGCAGCTCGCCGTCGAAATGATGTATGTCGTATTCGCGGTACAGATGATCTGTCTTGTTTGCGAACACACTCAAGGAATGAAAGGTAGTGTAGCGGTCTCTCCAAAGCTTAAGCCTCTGAATAGCACCGATACCCTTGACTTTGCCAAAACCATCAGTGCGGCTCTGGAGGTTGGACCAAACAACGTCGACGTCATAAAATCCGACCAGATCCTTTTTGCGAAGGTCGCCTTGAAATTGGGTGGAAGCGTCGACGCTCGTAAACTCGTATTTGACCGGAATGAAGCCATCATGAATGCAGACGCCGTCGCCAGAGGTGTATCTGACGCGATGATGTTCGTTGAATGACAGGAATCGTTCTACGTCTGACGGATCATTGAATTGGCGGTGTCGTGAGTGAAGAGTATGAGGGTGGATATCTGAAGGTATGTCCGTAGGTACTAGAATATAGAAACCATGGTAAGCCAGGTGCTCAGCAGAGAAGAAGAGAAAAGGACGACATCGGGGATAGCAAAGGAGAAGAGTGAGAAGGAAAGGAGAGCTAGCAGAGAAGAAATGGAAGAATGGTAGGTAGGTAGCAAGCATTGTGATGTAGTTATTACTAGTAGCAGTTATACTTGGAGCAACAACACTGCTACTAGGTCGTATTTATAAAGCACATATTGATGATATTGGTGATGGCAAAGAGGTGAGTCCGGCACTTACAAAAGTGCTCGAGCAGCTCGCTCTGGTAACTGCACTGCCAGCGGATACGCCGCTGTTCAGACCCCACCACTTCCCAGGGTCCTAGATACACAGTCCGTTCTTCGGGAGTGTCTTGGAAAAGGATTCTATCGCAGAGGAAACAAAGGCACAGATTGTCAGAAGCTGGACTTGCAACGGCACACAGACTTGGCGGGAAGCTGATCGTACATTGTGGCAGAATAGCCGGGGGGCCCCAGGTCTAGAGGCCGCAGCGAGGCCGACTGCGCGACCGAGTCGCCCGTGGACGTGGCTGATATCGTGGAGATTTCTGACGTCTGCGTCCAGGTCGAGTCGACGGGGCTCACGTAGGAGCGGCTGTAGGTGGGCGGCCGGCCGAGAGACGAGGACGTAAAGGACGAGCCGGACGACGACGAGGCGGCCATGCTGGGAGAAGGCAGCTCGAGGGGCTACAGTCACCGGAGGCAGCAATCCGCGGGCTTGGGCGAGGCTGGAGGAGAAGCTATCATGGCACTGGCCACGCAAGAGGGAGGAGAGGCTGGCAGCCCGGCCGGGCTTACGAGAGCTGTCACGGGCTGAGGACGGGAGCGAGCGAGCAGCCGGCAGTCGCCATGCCCTGGCTGTGAGGGCTGGAGAGAGAGATGCTGGGAACGTGAGGACGCCTGGAATTGGGCGGATGGAGGAGGATTGGAGGTTGAAGAATCAAAGGGAAGCAACGAACTCTAGGGTGCAGTTGCAGTCGGCTGCAGAATAGTACTTGGAGCGTGCTAATGCTGGTATGGAGTCACTGCCTGGGTAATAATGCCTGCGAAGTACCAATCGAAGCATCTAACACCTACTGCTAGCCGCTATGGAGCACGCAGCACTGCAGCTACTGCGAGTGGATAGGACAGGTTCAAGCTACTAAAAAAAAAAAAAGAACTGGAAGAGAGAGGAAGATATCCTTGTCAACTACTGTACCAGAAATTTACCGTTTAGTACAGTAGATTGGTGATCCGAGCAAAGCAATTAATAACAGCTAGCAGCAGTAGTACGTACGCACTCGTGCTCGCGTTAAGCGGAATACGGCTCTAAGAACGAGGGCTCAAAGGAGGAAAAAAAAAAAAAAAGTCATGGCTACAGTATACAGTCTATACTTCTTCATCTCGCGGGGCTGGCCCAACACCAGCTCGGCACGACCAGCACGGGTCTGTCTAAGACAGCATCTGCCATTAGGAGCACAGTTTGCGTGCTGGGGAAAGCTGCTTGTCGCTAGCAGCATCCTAGTCAGATCCACAGCCGACAATGCAGAGAACCCGTTTGGTTGGCGAGCGGGAATAGTGGTGCAGCAAACTCAATGCGCGTAGCGCTGCGGTGACAGTGCATGCTTTTTGCAGCTCAGCAGAATGATCTGCTAGGAATCTATAGCACTACTGCTCTATCATGTCAATACCTTAGGCTACATGCACCTTGCCTAGTAGGTACTGTAGACTTGATTCGGCGCGCCGGGAGCTGCAAGGCCGTGACCGATGGTTGTCGGTTTATTGGCGTCCGGACTCCGAGTTGGCCGTCTTGTTACTCCGAGTTTGATATTGCTCTGGCAGCCTCAAACGAAACGAAGAGCAGCCCGTAATCACATCCCCAGACAAAGATGACTTTTGTGTCGCCACAGAGCGTCTGTGCTCAGCACATCAAGCCGAGTGACCTCATGGGCAGGCATATCCCAGACCTTTGACCGATCAGGCGTCTATCTAGACGATTTGGCGCCGGCAAAGCGACAGTCCATTTATACAAGCAGTACTACTGTAGTAACTCGACCCCCCAAAAAGATTTGACGCTGCTGCTGCTAGATCCAGTGGTGCTAAACTTTGGCCTGGTCCTCCTAGTCTCCTGTTCCTCTCGGAAGAGGCTCAAAGACCCGCTCCGCTGTCGACGAGTGTAGCGTGCACGGGGGCCCATTCGACGCTGTGATTGGTGAGTGAGCCTCTAGTCGTCTCGCGGTTGGGGGCCGGGCTCTCGGAAAGCCTTTGCTCTGCCCACAGTACCGAGAGCTTCCTTATCAGCCCCTACGCTTTTCTCCCACATGTTGATGGGTATTATGTATGTGGCATTAGTCTAATGCCACCAGAGACATGCAGCAGTGGGAAGTGGGAGAAAAGTAGAGACAAGCCTTGCCTTTACCCAATCAATTTGGATCCAAGGGCACCTCCAGCGTCACGGTTGCTGCGAATGGCTCCGGGGATGAACAAGTTCAGCTCCGTGCAGTGTCTCTTATAGAAACCGTTCGATGCGACGACGCGATGTGACCAGAGCCTGTATCCAGCCGCGTCCCGACCCCCATCCTGCAGAATCCCCCAGCGCCAGGCTAGGGCCTAGAAGAGGCCATCGACGACAACTTTGTCCGCCAAGACTGCCGTCCGGGCGTTCTCCATCTAGTGCCGCAGGGAGTCCTGAGTCTTGCCTGGAAAGTCGTCTGCTGTCAAGCCGCAACGGCTGGCACTGCACTTGAGAAGACGCTTTAATCAAGGCGGCTGGCGGGTTCGCACCGCTAAGTCGGGACGCTTGGTCTAGGCTCGCAAAGCCACATTTGGCCACCCCCACTTGTCTTCAGGAACCGTCTCCAGCGCCGCCCACCACGTGCTCTCCCTGACTGCATCCGATGGCACGGCGCAGGAATGATGGCGATGATGGTGTCTGTCAAACGATGATTTTCGGCATGGGATAGGATCGAATCCATGGAGCGGTAGGCGTGCCGACTCCCCCGCTCAGTTGTGCGACGATGACATGCTACACTATTGCTTTTCTGCTTGTCTCGCGTGGCATGTATTTGCTGGCATCGAAGAGGATAAACCGGGGGCAAGAAGCTTGCTAGCACGTGTAGTCGATTTCCAGATACACGCGCGGCGAGTGAGGACAAGTCAGTAAGAGGCGTATTTGAAATCCAATCGTACCGCACCGTGCCGCATCACATCATCCACCCTCTATCTTTGGCTGTTGGAGAGAGAAAGAAGGAAAGAAAGAAAAAAGAGACAAGAAAGGACTCGAAAAGCGGGAATAGCCACACTTAGCCGGAGGACCCTTAATTTGAGAAGGAGGGGGGGAAATATCGTTGCTTCCATGTCTTTTGCGTAGAAATGTATGGACAGTTGCTCTTTTCCCTGACTCCAAACCTTTGAAGTGGCCTGACTTGTATCTACCTCCTTGGTCGTAGCACTACTACTAGTAATAAAACGTCAATCTATCAATGCTAGTACTTGTAAACTACTAACCAAGCAGCAACCCACCGCAAGCCTGCCAGGTAGCAGAGGGTAGTATTCGTATCAGGTACTGTAATACCCAAGTATAGTAGTCTGCCAGATGCTAGCACTATAACGTGCGCCTGCTCGCAGCCCCCGGACGCTGCCTGTGCTACAGAACTGCTAGTCTAGCTCATTTCCTCAGCCTCAGATGCATCCCGACCTTGGCATTTCTCCAATACCTGTGTCACGCTGGCGGCGGCTGCTGAAGACGGCGTACATCTCTAACAGCAGCGTTTCATGATGGCTTCTCTGCCCTCGCTCACTACGCCGTAGAAAGCCTCGCCTCGCCTCGTTTCGCCTTGCCTTTTCACCCTCGCCGCCTCGCCAGCGTCTCTCTGCGCCCTCCTTTTTCTCTCTTGCACTCCTTCGCTCGCCTCTCGTCTCTCACTTGCTCTTGTCGGTTTGCCGAGCTGAGATGCTCACGCCAATCGAGGCTTCGTAGTGAGCCGGCCGCTGGCATCGCGCCAATTCTTGTTCTGTCGCAATAGAGCAGCAGCAGCAGCAGCAGCAGCGCTTCGTTTCCTTTTCTCCTGTCGCTTCCTGTCTCAACCGAGTTTACGGGGCCGCCTGGAGAGAGACACACCAACGGGAGAGACCAAAGACACTGTCTCACCACAAAACCCACCGACTGTAACCCTCGCCGCCTACCTGAGGGAGTTTGCCGCGGCCAATGCCCTGGGATCTGGCGCACGGCTCTGGGCGGAGGAATCGAGGCTTTCTCGGCTTCGACAGCTCTGCCTTGTCGGCCCAGGACAAAGAGGTGCGTGCGGTTTAACGCTCTTTTCCTTGCGTCTGATATCGCCCATCCGATATCGTATCGCCCGTCTAATATCACCGTCCCAACTTTGCACAATCCCACTTCCAACCACTGCGGCTACACAGCAACAGCATGTCACTGCCAGCATCCCAAACATGCTAGCTTTTGTCTTCCCCATCCTCGCTGCGACCGCATCTTGCATTTGCAAATCGTAAAAGACGGGGACGGCCCCACCAATGCGCGCGCAAACCGGATGTCTTTCCACTGCCACGAGCCCGCCGCCTCTAGTTTCCAACTGTTTTGTTTCTAACCTTGTGCCTTGCTTTATTCTAGGATCGCCATCAGTTGCGCTACGAGCTTGACCTCAACTCTTGGAACTTCCGTATCTGGGGTGTTGCCGCCTCGGGCTTCCTTACCGATTCGTGCGTTGCTGTCTCCCCTACTTATACGCCGCCGCCTCCTCCTGCTGTATATGCCAGCCGCAACTTACATGACCTCTACTGACTAGGTCTTCTCTTCTAGATACAACCTCTTCTCTACCAACGTCATCCTTGCTTCTGTTAGCTTTGTATACTGGCCACACGGAGGGGAATGGACTAGCCTCCTCATCAACTTCTTCACTCTTTTGGGGTCCATCGTCGGACAAGTGCTCTTCGGCTACCTCGCCGATCGCTTTGGTCGCACTCGCCTCTATGGAATCGAACTGGTGCTTGTCATTGTATCAACCATTGGCGTAGCCACCAGCAGCCATGGCTATGGCGACATATCGTTTATTGGTCTTTTCATCTGGTGGCGCTTCGTTATGGGCATCGGTGCGCTTCATCCCCCGCTACGCTTCCTCCTGGACCCCTTTGGCCCCTTTAATAGATCAATACCCAAGACTAACCAGCCATCTTGTCAGGTATTGGAGCTGAATATCCATTAAGTGCAGTAATCACTTCCGAGTGGTCTAGCACTCAATCCAGATCCCGCATGCTCGCCAGCGTCTTCCTCATGCAGCCTCTTGGGCAGGCGCTGGCCCAGATAATCGGCTTGTTGGTGCTCTTGGGGTTCGACCACACCCACAAGCTCAAAGAGATGCAATGCGGCCTGAATACTGCTAATGAAGAGGCATGCCGAAAAGCCGTTGATGGGATATGGCGCATTGTCATCGGGTCAGGCGCAGTGCCAGCTCTGCTAGCCATTATATTTCGCTTCTTCCTGTTTGACTGCGGTCTGTACAGTCTCGAAGTCAAGAACAAGCCTGCCATTGCCATCATGAATACGCAACGTGTGTATGGTGCCCCTTCAGGCAACACTTCCAACAACATGCAAATGAATCCTCCCAATGGCATACATCCGGAGAACTCTTCCGGACCGATGCCGATCCAGTTTTCAAAGGAAGACTTGTACAACTACTTCATCCGAGACGGAAACTGGTATTACCTCCTTGGAACAGCGGCATCGTGGTTCTTTTTGGACGTGAGCTTCTATGGTCTTTCTCTTGATAACAGAGGAACACTGGCCGATATGTGGGCTACACATAAAGCAACGCCCCTCAACAGCCAGCTCGCATGTTGGAATTCGTCGCTTCCCAACGGCAATTCAACAGTACCACACTGGGCGCAAGTGGGACTCCCTGTGTGGCAGACAGACCCAACTCGACCATGCAGCACCATCTACGACGTGCTAATACAGCAAACCAAGCAATATATCCTTACAGTCTCCTTGGCGTCTATTGCTGGGAGCGCTTGCTTCATCGTTTTCGCGAATCGCATTCCGCGCAAGAAATGGCTCACAGTTTCTTTCTTTGTTTTGGCGATCCTCTTCATCATTACGGGAGGTATTTACTATGGCGTTCACCAGGATGCCGCTGCACCGGCAACAGTAGTGTTTGTAGCCATCTGCCATTTCATGTTCAATATGGGTAAGAAACCTCCAATCCAATGCAGAATCCTATCCCATCCTTTGCTAACATCAACCTTTCTCTTCTAGGCGCAAACACACTGACATTCATCATACCGGCTGAGGTATTCCCCACGTGCTACCGATCGACTTGCCACGGCATCTCTGCGGCGGCAGGCAAATTCGGGAGCATAGTCTCTCTGCTAGTCGTGTACGGTATCAATAAGTCGTATAAGAGCGAAAGCCGCCAGGGACTCATATTTCTCCTCTTTGGCTCTGTTGCCGCATTTGGTGCCGTCTTTTCTTGGGCCTACCTCCCTGATCCACAGAAATACGTCGATGACGGTGACGGCAAGAAATACCTGGAGACTAAAGATCTTGAGGAGCTAGGTGAGGGCCGTGTCAGGGCTCGGTTAAGCGGAGATGTCATAACATTTAGCGAGAAGTGGGCAGATATCAGGAGAAGAAGGAGGGATCCTGGTACGTCCCAACTTCGAAGCCCTACTTCCGAGTAGTACATTTATATGATTGTAATTTTATACCTATCCTGGATTGGTAATCTTTCTTACCTTGTTCATATATTGCGGTGGAGAGAATTTGGTCTGGATTATACGACATGATATCTTGGGATCAAATGTGTTCTACATATGCTACTATGTATGGGCGGATGACGTGGGATTATCTTTTCTTCATCTTCTTTTTCTTGCGATACCACTTTGAGTTTTGGAACTGAGGCAAAATATATGGTATATAATAAATAAATCCTTCTTTGAATCAACGCCAGGCATGATTTTTTCCTATGTTTCATTCTGATATCTATCTCGTTAAACAACCCCCTCAAACCCAAACGCCATGCTTACGAATATCACGCAATCTAATGCTGTGAGAATCTCTTCTTCCCTCAGCTGCAGCTAACTTCCATCACCTGGCGTCTGAATCAACAAATCAGCGGTATCAAGATAAAAATCATCCATATGCATCGTAGCCTGAACATGCGTATTCCTTTCCAGGGCCTCCAACCAGCGACGCCAGCGCGTATCCGGGACGGCATCGACTAACAAGAAAACGGCGTTTGGATGGCGATGGCGTAGGATACGGCCGAGACGGAGGGCAAAAGGGGCGAAGTGGACGTCGACAAGGGATAGAGAGGGGCCGAGGAAGTAAGGGCCTTGTTCGTCGGCGGCGAGGACAAGGGCGGTGAGGTGAGATTGGAGGAGGCCGAGAGAGGATGAAGATGTTGACGGTATCGAAGAGGAGTTACTGATGGTAGTTGGAGAGGATGATGAGGAAGAGGATTGGAGGAGGGAGAAGAAGGTGGGGATGAGAAGAGCGTTGATCTGGTAGAGTTTGGTTAGCAAGATTACCTACTAAATAGTTGACTTGATTGATATTGAGATGTGGTAAATTAACTTACATGGTCAATCCAGAGACGGCAATTTGCTCTCAGTCGCGGATCAGAAGGGAACAGCGGGATATCGGGATATATGTCTTCCAACTAGTATCAAAAAGAGAATGTCAGCATACATACATACATATTTACATATATACAGACAAACAAAAATCCTTTTCTTACATATTCTAGAATAACGGCGCTCTCAGAGCAAGCCCAGTCTCCTTGCCGAATGGCAGGAACACGGCCGCGCGGATTGGCCTCGAGAAGCGGCGTAGGAGCGGGACGCTTGAAGGGATCTGTCTCGATGTACTGATACGGCTGGCCTTTGGCCTCGAGAGCAATCCAGACTCGATGTGAAAAGGGGCTGTCGTTGTGGTGAGTCGCTGAGGTATAAGGGAGGAAAAGGTTGATAGAGGAAACTTTGGTTATTTAATACGTACCAAAAGCTCGCCGCGTATAACTTTAGATCCGCTTCTTTGCTATGCATCCGGATGGTCATTTTTGCAGCTCCGGAAGCCTTCTTCTGAGGTGGCATCTTCTATACAGATGCGAGCCAGATCAATCAGCAAACATGCTCGACTCCATAAAAGAGACCAGCCGTCTTTCTCTCCACTTACATGAGTGCTCTTAGCCTCCCTATCCTTCATCGCCACAAAGCGCTGCACGCTGCTCTTCTTAATCTCATCGCTCCTCTCCAGCGTATGTCGATGAGGACCCGCCACACCGTCTCCCTTCCCATTGCCCCCATTGCCATTCACCCTCTGGATGGTCCAGAAGCGCTGTCCCGTGCTGACAACCGCACTGGCAGCCGCCGTGCCAGCGGCAATAGCAGCGGCCACGTCGCGGTCCAGCGCGGCCTCGGCCCCTGCGTCGGGGAAGTACTCGGTGATCTTGATCTTGACATCACACAAGTCGCGCTCCCGTGCGCTGCGCTTGCGCTTCTTCTTGGCAGGGTCGTCGGATTTGGGCGTGCCCGGTGGGCGGCCTTTCATGCGGCAGTCCCAGTAGTGCGAGATGAAGGGCTTTCGCTTGTAGCGCTGCGTGGAGCGGTGAGAGTAAACGTTGTCAATGTGCGGGAAGTACGTCTCGAACTGCTCGTGCGTGAGGATGATGAGGTCGTCGACGTGGAAGAGCTTCTCGCGCCATGCTTGGAGGTCGGGAGGGTCGACGACGAGCTTGGCCTGGCTGAGTTTGTAGGGAGCTGTCGAGGCGCCAGTTGTTGCTGGTGCCGTATTCTGATAGCGTCCGTATAGCACGCGGTCTTGTGCTGGGCGTTGTAGTGCAGAGGTGCTGCTTTCCGAGATGCTGGCTGAATTGGGGCCTGGTTTCAAGATGCCAAATTGGCCTGGTGGAACTTGTCTCTGATGCTGGGAGTTGTGATAATAGCTGTGATGGTTGACTGATGACGGTGATAGTTGATATTGATGCTGGTTCTGCTGCCGTGTCATGGCGTTCTCGTGTCTTGCATCTCGATAGCCACTGCCTTGTCGTCTCTCTTGCTCCAGAACAGCCATATGTCTGTCGTTCTCATTGCCATTGCCGCTGCCTCGGCCGTTGGTACCGGCATCATTCTCGCCTCTCCCATCATCGCCACCATCTCCACTATCAACACCAACATTCGCAGCAGCATGATGATGATACGCATCTTCTCCAAGCCCCGAGTACCCTCCCATTCCCACCACTGTATAATCCATCCCCACGCCTAGAAAATGCCCTCCTCCAGGCCCAGACGACGCTGTAAATGCGCTCGGCACCGCCATGACGAGGTGAAGGCTTGTGTGGGAGAAAGAAAGAGTGGAAACAAAGCAAAAGGAGTCAATCTCCCCACCAATCGAAACTAATGAATGATTTTTTGGAAAAAAGATGAAGAATAATATCTTTTTACTTCGTCATATCATCCATGTTATGGCTTCCTTCACTTACAACAGCTGGCATGGCCGCTGCTTTAAGCCCTTTTCGCTGCCTTTCACGATGTGGAGGAGGGGTTTTGGCGGGGAGGCGGGCAGAAAAGGGCGGGAGGGCTAAAGAGCGGCAATGCGTGCACGGGCCACTTTCTTCGCCCTACTACAACTACAAGTTTCTATGAAAGAAATGATTCAGCCAGCCTGGTCAATTATGCATCAGACGAAAATTGCATCAGATGAAAGCATTTTATCAGCTCAACTCATCTCGTCTCTCCAAGCCAATCTCCTAATTCTATCTAGGCACTTCAACGTCACGCTGATTCGATCCAAAAAGCTGCCCTGTTCACAGAAATGCCACGCACGTCAAAATCCTTAACAAGATCGTATACATACAGCGTCATACCCAAGACGAAGCCATCGCCATTGCATTCATACGCAGCTAATCAGAACAGTTATACAATCGACATCCATAACGCAAAAATGTAATCAATCTGAACAAGATTTCATGCATACAACAGTGGAAGAAAAATATGTTGCAAGGGAGATATTCGTCATTGCTGGGTATTAAGCTAACAAGAAAAAAAAAGTTTTGTCCGGTGCCGTCCTTCATCCTACCGCCACCAAAATCCCTTCCAAACTCGTAAGATGATTTCGTATATGTACTCTTACAAGTTGGTACAAATGGAGCGAAAAGAAGTAGAAAGCATTAGCCAAGATGAAAGCAAAATGCGTAGAAGAATAGAGACGGGATGAAAGAGAAGAGTAAAGGGGGAGAATACACAAAAGTAAGAGTAAATATCAAGAAGATGGTTAAAGGGGGATAGAAATAATGAAACGGAAGCCCCAATTCGGCCCGTGCCACAAAATATAAACGCCGTAATATCGTCCAATCATCCAAAAATCCGTCGAAATTACAGACGGCCTTTAAACCGTAGAGCGAGAGTATGACCATGTAGACCTGCCGAAACATGGATGATTTTTTTCCTGCGAGGAAGACATCCAAGAGTAAAGAAAAGAGAAAGAAGTGTAAAAGAGAAGAAGAAAAATATCCAAAAGAAGAAAGAGAACAGGAAAATAGATAAAAGGAAAAGGATAAGCCCTATTCTCTTCCAAACCCAATCACATCACAGCACCAGTTTTTGATTCTCGACGAGTCTGGCGTTTTTGTGAATGCATGTGTGTATGTGCATATGTGTATGCTAGCTTAGTGTGGGTTACCAGAGTCCCATGATGATAGGTCCATGGCGTCCATGGGCCCCATGTTCATCAGCGCCCTGAGGACGCCCTCTCCTCCCACTGGCTGCATTCCGGCGGCTGGTCCAGACAATCCTGCCCATCCGTTTGTCATGGGATAGGGAGTTTGGGGCATGCCCATGCCGGCAGCCATCGTAAAGCTGTTAGGATCACCATAGTATCCTTGGGCGCCGCTGTTGTCCATGCCTCCGTGATTCATCATTGTTTGTTGTGGTGAAATAGGGCTCTGGCGGAACGAATCATGCCCCGATGCACCGTTGGACATGTGGCCCGGCCCAAGGTGAGGAGGTCGTGCGTCAGATGTGCCGCCGCTCGAGTTAGGAGTGCGCCCAGCTGATTGAATGCCCGGCGAGCCAGACGCATCATGGTCCAATCCATCGCCGAAACCGGACAGCCCACCGCTGCCAGGAACATTCTTTTCATACATGCTGCCGGAGTTGGGGGTCAAGACGTGCATTTGTTGGTCACTAGAGAGCCATGCTCCATTTCCAAAGTTGTTGGAGGTCGATGTCGACATACTCTGACTGTCAGTGGTCGGCTCCGCGATATCAGGAGCGTTGGCCAGGTTGCCGTTATCTCCAGTTGTCTTCATGAAATGGCATTCGTTTCGGTAGGACAAGATGCCCTTGACACCCTCTGGGTCGTCGCAAACAGCTCCAGCTCGTACAGGAAGCCCCTTGGGTGGTTCAGTAGGCTACAATGGTTGTTAGTAAGAGAGTCGTTTGTACCGCCAGGCTAAACTTCTATCTTCTCTTGCTTTGAAAAGAGGAGGCAAAGAGGAGTAGGAGTAGATGAGGGAAAGGGAAAGCTTACACTGTCGTTGGGACGAGGGAATGCGCCTCTCAGCTTGGGAATCTTTGCTGCCAACGCTTCAAAGTCCACATCTAACTGAACCAGGAAGGATTCCGTCAGGGGATTCCGTCGCTTCAGCGCGTTCATAGCGGAGATGAGGAAGCGCAGCGAGTCAATGGTTTGCGCATCTTCAGGCTTGCTCTTGAGATACTGCACAAATACTCTAGCGGAGACGTAGAGGCAGAAAGCAATGAATGGGTTCATCTACAGTCCTCTTGTATCAGTATCATACAAACTCAATGAGGAAAGTGGGGAAGGAATAATGAGACTAACCGCAGACAGATCCATGTGTGAGATTGTCCTCATGATGCTGGCAATCTCGTTGGCTGCAGTGATGCACCGAATCTTACTCTCCGCGCTGACGGACGCAGGAAGCTTGTTCTCTTCGGCCTTGAAAATGGCCGCCTGGTGCAGACAGATGGTTGAAGTGTGAATGCTCATATTTGTGAAGATGACGTTGGCATTGTTCAGGCCATGAGGGAGCTTGAGGTGAGATGGCAAGCAAAGCGAGGTGTTGAGAATAATGTGGTCCATCTGGCGGTGACGTTTCCAAAAGGGGCCGTTGATGTCGTGGTCCTGGTCGTCGTCGTCTGGACGGTGCAAGTGAATCAAGTTGCGGCCGAAAAGACTAGCCATGAGGACAATGCCGCCAAAAGATGATAGCTTGCCAGCTCCGGATGGGTTTGTGGACTCTTCCAAAGTGATTGTCTGTTCTGGGCGGCTCATGTCGAATGCTTCGTCTGAAGATGGCAAGTTTGTCTTGATGTCCCTTTCGTCGACGGTCATGGGCCAGCCAGTGCCAATGCTCGCGTATCGGTCCTCGCAAAAGGCCATCCAAAACGTTCGTCTTCGCTCCTCGCTCTCAGTCCAGTCCTTGGGCGGTGGCAAGCACATCTTGACGTCCAAGCCACTGCCGTCTACCCTGTGCAATCCAATCCTATATATTTTGTCAGCTTACGACGGCTTTCCCAGCTTGACTGATGGTGACAGATGGAGAAGCCTACATTTGTGCGAGGCGGACAGCAGAGCCCGTGTTAATCCAGGCTCTGGGAAAGTACATCATCTTGATCTCATAGCTCGACAGCAGAATGTGTGTCTGGCAGTGAGCAACGGAAATCATATGCTCTCCAAAGCCCTTCATGTAATCAGCCTCAACGTACTTGCGTGCTCTCTGATAAAACAGATCCTTGAGGTCTGAGTATTTTTCCGAGATGGAGCACGATAATGTCCACATGGCGTATCGTAAACAGACTGGTGGTCGCTGACTGGGTGCCCTGCGAAATTGTGAGCCATTTCCGTTCTCGTCGGGGGGTTTTTTTTTTTTTTTTTTTTTTTTGGATCAAGTCCATCAAATGTGTGCATGAATAAGACGCGGAGACTTTGTCTCAGACAATTGATAGAGGGACAGGATTTCCCTTTTGGGGACGTAAGACATACAAGTTCATTGCAGCGAGGTACCGGTATCTGTGTATCATGGGCATCGACGGATGAACCTTGTCAAAGTAAATTTGGTGCAACTCATCAATAGTCTCCTGCGGCGGCAGAGGTTCTTCCAGACCTAGACCAATCATCTCCCAGGTGAAATTTCCAGGCATGTTGTTGACGGGCATGCCCATGTTGGCATTGAAGCTGAAGTCGTCCATGGATCCTTGCTGAGGCGATTCGCCATTGTTGAAGTGCCAGCGCTCATCGCCACCGAGTCCCATGTTGGGAGCGGGCATGGGCATTGAAGGGTTTCCATTTGTCTGGCTATTGGCGCTGGGGACTTGGATGGGGATGCTTTTCGTCGGGCTTTTAGCTGCTGGCTCCTGGGTCTTTAACAGCGTCTCGACTTGTTCTGCGCGCGCCAGTTAGCCCCTTGCACTATAGTGTCGCTACTCTTCGTCACCATGCCGCCGCCACCGCTAAGATCATCGTCATTTTCATCGCCATCTTGGCCATCATCGTGTCCATTCCCCACATCTCTCCACGGTTACACAAGACATCAAACCGCACAGGATATCGACAGCAAAGAAAAAAATAATCAAAAAATCGAATCAAAGGGATGCTAGTGGGGGCCTTCTCACTCAATCGTTCCTCCAGCGCCTTGACGTAGCCGCGCTTGGGGCCGCTCTTCCTCCGCTGCTCGTCATAAGCACAGTTGTGTCCGAGTCGCGAGCAAGTGCTGCAGCTGGGCCGGATGCCGTCGCACTTGAGCTTGCGTTTCCGGCAGATCATGCAGGCCAGGCGCTTGGGCTTGGGGACGCTGGCGTTGTCTGGGTGCGCATCGCGAGGCGCGGCGTTGTCGTCGTGAGGGCTGTTCTGGTTGCCGCCGTTGCTCGACGAGCCGTTGTCCGAGGAGTCGGGCATGGCGAAGGTCTGGCGAAGGTCTGGCGATATAGACGACGGCGGTGCGGATATTTGGTTTCTCGTTGCTGGTAGCCGTTGAGAATTTTTTTTCTTTTTCTTTCTCGAATCCACTCGTCTTTGATTTCCAAAGTTTTTTTCAAAGAGGCCCTTGCGCTGTTACCGTCCACTCGACAAAGGGCGGATGATTTTAGTCGATCTGGCACGGGAGGGCGAGGACCAAGTGCAGAGACGATGAAGGAAGGGGAAAACGGGAAGGCACAGGGTCAAGGCACGATGAATAAACAGCTCAAGTATGCAACCAAGACGCAGCGGATAAAATGCAGATGAGAGACTGGCGTTGGTGAGACTGCCGCGTGTTGTCTTGTGGGTTGCGGAAAGCCGGACTGTGAGGCGGCCGTTGTTGGGGTGAATACAAGTCCAGGTTCAGCATGGCCGCTATTCTGCATGCTCGGGGGGGCTCAAATCCCGTAGCGCAGCGTAGTAGCTCGTGCAGGCGTACAGTTAGCGGTTGGCAGTTAGTAGCACTACTAAAATCGCCAGTGGTGCGTTCGGCTAGGTACCGCAGAGGGGGGGCATCATCGACTCGGGGGTTGCGGCCAGGTACCCTGTACCGCCAGTCTACGTTCCGGGGCCGTATTATTAATGGCCTGCTGCTGCTATAATTAGGCACATGCCGGGCTCAGTGTGTGCGGACCCGCGTGGGGCATGCCAGGTCGACAACGGTGAGGCTCTGTGTATCCCAAGTACCAGCTACGTTGTCCGAACTCCGGCTCTGGCACCGGCAGGGCCCCATCAAAGTTTGCTCGGAACAGTCCCCTGCCGCAAGCCACTGGGACGGAGCACGTATCTACAGGTGCTGGACTGCTATTGAGGCAACATGAACTGATTGAATTTGCCCAGATAGCACTCGCAGCGCAGCGATGGAGGCAATTTGGGCGTCAGCATGGCATAGGCAGTAGGCGCCCCTCCACCCCAAAACCTAATGGCCAAAGCTAAAGATGCGGCCCCTCATGCCTCGCGCATCCATCCATTCATTCGACAGCCTGCCAAAGTGCCACAAGTGTGCTACGACTAAGCCCAGCCTATCTCTTAGGGCTCCGATGGTAGCGCGTCTGCGCGTATAGCAGACTGCCTGGGCGCATGGCATGCTGAGAAGGCGCTGGATGGCGGCGCCAGATGCTGGAATCAGAAGCCAGCCAGCCAGCAAAGCAAGACGACAGATTGACGGGGCCAAACTTTTTGGGAAACCTTGCGAGAAGAGACGGACTGGCCTGGCTAGTCGCAGCTTTGGCGAGGGTCCGGCCCCCCTTGCCCCTTGCCCCTTGCCCTCCTCCCAAATCTCCAGGTCCATCTCTGCCTCGAGTCCGCCCCCTTGTCCCTTGTCCGTCACGTTATTTCGGCCCCTCATTCCCAATAACGTGCTTGATCGATGGGGGTGCCGGGCTGGGCTGGTCTTGTGGGAATGAGATATCTACGTGGAGGCATAGCAGAGAGAAGAGGAATTAGGAATTAGGAATCAGGAATTACGGAGTATTCCGCACTGGCTCTAGCGATTGTGCATGCAAACCTACTTGCAGCCTGGTGCCGGTCAGCATCAGCATCCATTCACTGCCCTTCCAGCAGCAGTTGAGCAGTTCCAGGAGCAGGTTCCATCTCTAGCTCCAACTCCAGCTCGAATCGCGCTCGTGGGTAGTGGGGAATGCCGGCCACGCTGCGAAGGCGCAGTAGCGGCGATGACGACGCTGCCAAGTCCCCAGACGTTGTTTATCAGATCAGCCTGTTTCTTTTACATGTACGTAGCAGGTAGTTCTATGAGGTAGTAGGTATTTGCTTCTCGCTGCAAAATCTGACCGGCTGAGTCGGGAATAAGGATCCAGTGCTTGCTGTTGTTGAAGAGTTGGAGTCGAGTGGCGATGCTGTCTTGGTGGCGGGCTGGTTATTCCCCAGACCGGAGGCTCTCACTCCGCCGACGGACAAAACTTTTGAGCGATTGCCACGACTCGAAGATCAAATAAGTGCGTTTCGTTGTGGCAGTGCCTGTTAGAGTTGAAGTTACATTGGTAACGGTAGTTGTATGAATGTGTGATTGCATGTATGTACCTATGTAGGCTATATTGTGCTGTTACAACGTGCGTCCATGATGGAGCCAGTTGGCGGCCGCTTCGGCGCTGGTGATGGGGCAAGGTAGGTAAAAAAGAGATACTAGTAGACTACATGAATTAATGAAAAGAAAGAAATTCAAGAAATAGAAAACGAATTACACAATTGCCAAGAACCCATGTACCCCTTGGCTTCGCGATACATGCAGCTACAGACAGCTACAGACAGCTTCAGTGCCGGAACAGGCACTCCCGCCCCAGAATCTCATGTCGCCTGCAGCCGAACGCAACAGCTCCAGGCGATTTGCGTATGCTCCGAACAGCCCTGCATGAAGCGTGCACTTTCCTGGCCCAGGCCCGAGGCAAACTAAGGCGGGCTGGATCGACGGAGTAGCCTGTTCCGCACGGCTGGAGTTGGAATCTTTTGTACCTCTTACAGCACGGCGCCGTTGAATCGTGAGTCTGTATGTCACAGCTGTCGTTGAAGCTTAGGCACAGAATGGAAGCGTCTAATTGCCTGATGCGGCACCATTCGCCACGCCCTGCATATGGCTGCTGCTGCACTGCAACTCACTGATAAGATTCGGCGGCAAGACTTTGCGATCAACCGAGAGCTTAGCGCGCCGGCATTAAGCAAATCGAGCACAGATTATTGCTTTTGTTCAAATTCCGGCTCCAGTTTTGAAATAAAACTCTCCCCACCGGCAGGCGGCATGTACCGCGCACCCTGTACAACGAAACCTTGAAGCTGCTCCCGACCTGCTCCGGCACACAGGCCATGGCTGGAAATAGGCCCTAATTGGCAATGGGCTGTAGGGGAGTTAAGAGGCCTGGGCCAGGGACCCCTCGGCTACGGTGGCCCATGATTGGGGGCTGCTTTGCAGGTGCTGCAAGGAGAATAGAATCGACTGAGCAATACCTACACTGTCGCGGTACTAATGCATGCAGCCATCCTCGGGCCTTTATTGCGTGTTATTGATACTTTGGAGGTACCACTGCAGCTTTCTTTTTTCCTTCCTGCGCACTTCTTTTGTCTTCTCACCCTGCTTTTTCCATTTTAGCCTTTGGGTTTTTCGGTAACGCAACGCACGTGGTGTTTTCAATTCCGATGAACCTTGTCTTCCCCCCAGAAATGCCACGCAAGAAAAATGATGAACAATACAAATACAAAAATAACAGAGAAATAGGCACCTACCTAATCCGGCTCTTCCAGCCCGAAGGTGAGAAAGATTTGCGGTATTGCCAAGACTTGCCACGAAAGAAAAAAAAAAAGAGTCCATTACAGAAGTACCTTACAGCATTTTAGTCGTCTTGGCCATCGTATGCCCAAAGAGGCAATTAAAGTAATTCATGACACTCAAGGCTGGAAGAGAGAACATCTGGAGTTTGTTGGCTTAGCTTCCATCGCAAATTAAATGGAAACTACCTACGAGGCGGCTTTTGGCGCAGCCGGGATCTGCTAGACTAAGGTATTCCAAATACTCCTTCGACTTTAGTAATCCTGGGCAAAAAGAATCGCAACAAAGAGGAAACCAAACTAAAAGTCAACGATGGATACAGCCATTGGACGGAAGCAACATCTCTTTCTTGGTTCACCGTTCTAGCGCGCCACATGCACAGGCGTATTCGGATTGCTGCTAGCCATCTCGGAAAAGGTGTGCTCCAATGCATAAACTCGTCTGGGCCTGCGGAGGGCCTACGGAGTTATCCGCCCGACATCATCGCCCAAACTGGGCATAGCAGCATCAGCGGCCGCCTGCTGTGGTGGTGGTCGGTGAAGGGGCACGATCGGCCGGGGTGGAGGTTGATGGACTGGAACTGATAGCCTTGCCTCGCTCTCTCTACCCACAAGTACATATATACTTATATCTAAATATATATATATATATATATATAGAGAGAGAGAGAGAGAGAGAAAGAAAGAGTGATAAATTAATATGCCAGGTAGTTAGAAACTGTAGTTTGCAATGCACATAAACAGAGAGATAGCCACGCCAAGTTCCAGAAACAGAAACTAAACGCGACTGGATCGCAAAAAAAAAAAAAAAAAAAAAAAGGCACCAAACAAGTGATGGCAACCCCACTCAGCCTTAACCCAAGTGCTCGACCCCAGAGCGCCAGTTGTGGTAACGACTAGGTATCTCACATATAGCTGCCGGTTTGGCCGCCGGCCTGGTCCATCAGAACCTTGAAAAAGCTTCTATAAATAAACCATCTCGTTCGACAAGACCCCCGGGAAACAAGGACTGCTCTGCATATACCTATCCTAGCAGTAGACTAGTAAGTAGTATTGGCCTGTTTACCACTTGTTACCCCCATATCGGTCATACGATCTCCCGCAATCCTTTGCCGGATAACCACAACGACCACCATCTGATTCGTATATGAAATATACATGTCATCCATACCTTCCTTGGGCGGGTATATAACGTCAGCTTCCGATCCGATATACCCTGAGAGTATCATTGAGTCTATTGCTGCAGAGAGCCGGAAACTGCCCAAAATTCGGACCCTTCAACATCTGATCGGAGCGCGCCATCTGACTCGGTATCTCTTCTGCTAGATGTAAGACCTAGCATCTCGCCCACGTTTCTTACGGAGAAAGAAGACTTCAAGCGTCTCCAGTTTTTTTTTCTTCCCTTTAGACCAGCCGGCCCCAGCCTAGTTCATATTCGAACACCCTTGATGAGGAGTCCTATGACTATCTACTTGCAGTATTCCCATGCTAGCATTAGTATTCCTAGGTAAGTAGGTAGGTACATAGACAAGCTTGGAAAGGGGCCCCCAATTGGCTTACCATTTCTATACTTGTGAGCAAGTTTTCCCAACAAAGTTGCCATGTCCGTAGCCATGCTACCTGGTAGTCTATAGATCTTCCTTTCCATTTGCGGAGCTTTTGTTGCTCTGCAGGCGGAAATACTCCGTCAGTTGCTCCTAGTAGTCTCTGTTACCTTTCTAAAACAAAAAGCCGGCAATAAAATTGGAACCCGTTGCTTACAAAGAGCTTGCATAGCAGACATGTATGATGGCTTTCTTTGGAGGAGATTAGGCACCCTTTGAACGTAGCAGGGGAGGGTTGTCAAGATACCTACTCTATAGCATTGTTCATATAGTAATACTTGTAAGAAACTGTTTTGGCTAAATATGGAGCGTATTAGATACCCATACTAGGTAATGTGCATGATCAAAGCCAACTATTCTGTGAACTGGCATGTAAGTATCAGTATAACTGGGCAATATCCTTGACGAGCTGCATCATACCACAAACAACATGGAACAACCGCGTTAGCCTTTCCAGGTCTATCAAAACAGGAAAACGCTGCATATCGCGTATGGGATCAAAGTCTCTCAAGGTCAGGGACGGAACACCCCCTGCCCTAGTTTCTAAACCCGTTCCTGCGGTCGACTTGCTTGTTGCCTAGGTAGGAGGCGCGGATGGTAAGTCCGGCTCCTTCTGTATGTCCTGTAACGTCTCAACAACTCATTTCTCTCTCTTCGGGTCTCGTTTGGCAGGCAACTCATCGCGATTGTTACCTCCAGCCCGACCTGTCTAACCTGTCTAACCTGTCTAACCTGTCTAGCCTGTCTAGCCTGAGCTCTGTATCTTTATCCGGCGAATTACATACACGTTCTAGACTTGCTCAATATCAGGCGATTTTGATCCAAGTTTTTTTTTTTTTGGTCTTGATGAGGCTTCCACACCATCAAGATGTTTTATCCGGATCCAAATAACGGTATACTATATCCAAGCGATGTATATTATTTCTGCCAAAGACTCCGTGCTAATTTGCATGTAAACTAAGGGGTTCTAGCCCAATCTTGCATATATCCGAGTTTCGGACAAAAAGCCACGCTGAGAGGGATTTAGAAACAAATGCCAAGCCAAAATAGAGGCTATTGTTCTCCCACCCCGTTTCCTTCCAACTCGCTACTGCACTGCTAGTACCATCAAGGCTGCTTACTTTCTGTCGAGATCTACCCCCACAATTCGCAAGACTCCAAGATCGCTATACGCCAAACAGTAGCGGGTCGGTGCCCAAGCCACCACCGGGCATGAGCCGGCCGTTTTGAAGGTGTAGACGTGCTCCCCCGTCTCGACGTGCGTAACTTCCAGTCCGTTGCCTATCAGGAATTAAGGGATCAGCAGACCGTTCAGAACTTGCCCAGCCAATAGATACAACGGCATTGGATCGGGCCGCCCATGCCTATCTGAGGCAAAAGAAGCCACCGCTGTGACTGTAACTATCCTTCAACTGACTTACCTTCATCACTGCCGCCAACAACGTAACTTCCATCAAACGTGAAACCTACGTAACCATGCAAACATTAGCCTCGAGGAGTCTCTTAAAAACAAAAGATAGCCGAAATTCCGCAACTGCTAGTCAGAACGGTCCATAAACTCACTTATGCTCCTTACAGGGCCCGTCATCCTTGTAATCGTCCTTTGACATAGCCAGTCCGTAGTGTCCCATAACGAGATAATGGAGTTTGATCCTCCTGTGGCAAGGTACCTGCCCATCGGCTGCAACTCGGCGGTCAGGCATGACGCGGTATGGCCCTTGAGCGTAAACTCCGTGGCGTTGTCGCCATCTCCCATGTGCAGCACCGGTTCAAACTCGGGGTATGAGAGGATTCGAATCTGTCCTTCCGACGTAGTAACGAATATCTTCTTGCCACTCCAGCAGAAGGCGATTTGATTCGTCTGTACCGTCTGTTGATGCGAAGCCAAGGGAGTCTTTTGCGTCGGCGATAAGACAAAGATATTATCCGACTTTGGATGAACCCGTGAGCCATTCCTGAACGAGCATGATCGACGTAAGTGGTAATATAGGGGAGAGACATACCCTGTTTCCTACGATCAATGTCTGTCCGTCTGGGGCCCAGACAAGCGTCATGGCATCGCCAAGATCTGTGACTTCATTGAAACAAGCCTTGGTCCGAACGTCCCAAAATCGCACGACGCCATCGCTGCTTAGACTGCATAATTCCGCGTCTTTTGTGGGGTTGAAGGCGACTTTTTCGATCCCTGCTGCGTGGCCTTTGAGTTCTGTTGAGAATTTGACATTGGGCTTCTCTGGATTCCCTTTAACGCGCGTTAGCCCTGTCTCTCTCCCTCTGTCCCTCTGTCCCTCTCTCCCTCTCATCGTTCACTGCATGCGTGCCAACTCACAGACTCGTAAAGTTCTATCCGCCGAGCCAGTAGCGACTAAAGTTCCGGGAGGATTCCATGCAATCGATCGCAAACTAGATGCCGTATTAGTTAATCTTGTAGCTTTTTTTTTAGCAGCACAACACCACCTACTTCAGAGGTCCAGCCGCCCGTGACGCATTTGGATCCGTATATGGCTGACTTCTCAAACTATGAAAGTACTCTGGAAATCTGTCTTTGGATAAGTTCACTCGCGGTCTCAAAATCGGTGCCATGGCTGCGTGATTCAGCTTTCAGCCTTGTTTTGGTTCTCTCGCCGAAGCTGGTAAGGAGGCTGGTGAGAAGAAGGCGCGTGTGAGCCGCCGGATTGCGAGAATTTGGCGTTATGAAGCCAATCAGAGAAGCCAATCACGCGTTTAGAGGTAATTGAGTGAAGGTTACAGTTTTGGCGACGTTATGGCGGGTTTGATTTGTATTCCTTTTGAGAGATGTCGTTGATGAAGTGACAGTGAAATATGTAACGGCGTAGAAGCTAGACCTGATAGCGGCGAAAGCAGCCACACGCGACAGGCGCAAATCGTGTGGCTGATGCTAACATTCGCTGTGGCGCAGTAAAATGAAGCAGAGAAAAGTCCACAGCTCAATATTATCTACACAATAGTAGTGAAATGCTCTTCTCATAAATTACTTCCAAGAAGCCCCAAAAAGAGAAAATGAATAGAATAACAAAATAACACTCAAAGAGAAGATAGTATGCATCTTCAAGAAGCGGTTCATCAACAGATATAAAGCTTACTTTCCTTCGTATTCCAACGTCGAAGCTGCTCTCATTACACCTCCACCACAGAGAGTTGCGAGTTAATCCAATTACCATTACTAGACTTGTGTGAGAGAAAACAAAAGGACACGGCTGCGATAAATCAACAGAGCGAACAGGCACATGAGTCAAATTTGCACAATAAAGCAACAAAAACGACTCTGAAAGCAAAAAAGTTTCTAGGTCTCATACAATTCAATCCTCATTCCTGTTTGAAAGCCCCTTCCGTAAACCGATCATGATATTTGTACACTTTTTCTGTCACACCCTGTCCGACTGGTAAAAGTCGAAATAGACCAAAGGCGAATTTCTGATGCTCTCTCATGGTTGCAGCTCGTGAGAGCCCATTCCCAACTGCATCGAAGCAGCTTCAAGATCTTCAGTTGCCGGGATCTGTCCGTCCACCAAAAGCCTGGTTACTCTTTACCGGGGCCACCGCAGCAAACCGACTCCAAGACTGGAAAACCAATACCGTACCGTTTCCATCGCCCCCCCATGACTCCAATGCGCCTGTATCAAAAACATAAAAAAGAAGAAAAACAACGCGCAAAGTGGGATTCCATGCTGAAAGATTGGAAAGCCGGACAATCGCAGACATAACCTGCTAGATATCAAACAATGAGAATGGTGATGCAATGTAGCCGAGACAATACGTCCTCCGGACCTAATGCTTCCAAGTCGCATCTAACAATGCGGAAATTAGCACTTCTTAGTGCGGTACACAAGTAGAGCGACAAATTATAGTGTGATCATGTTCACTATTGCTGAACAGTTAGGTCATGGCGTAGTCCAACGTGATAGTCGTATCCCAATTCTGGACGAATTTCGCGATAATTCAAAACGTAAAGTGGAAAAAAGAAGAAGATGCGAGTGACAGCCAACGTCGTCATGATCATGAGATTTGGTCCAAAGACAGGTGAAGATCTTCAATACCAAAGAGAGGTGCGTTCTTCTTGGCCCACTGGCGGGATAGAATAGAAGCTGCAGCGGGCATCGTCAGCAATGAGATATGACTGTCAACGGTACAGTTGTTGATAAATACCTTTGAGGAATTTTTTGCTAGCATATTTCTTGAAGAATGCTTCATGGATGGGGGGTCGTGCTAGGTAGTCAACCATGAGGTTGACAACAGGCTCAACCTCCTCTTCTGTGTAGCCTGCATAATAGGCGATGGTTGAGTCCTATTGTCATAGAGATTAGTAACGTGGAGCATGGCATAGAGTCAAAAGTCTTTGTGTAATAACTTACCCACTCGCCACGATCGAGCATAAGCCGTGCCAGGTACATGGAAGCGGCGGCGACGTGACTGGGGCGGAATGACATGAAACGGTGGTCCAGCAAGCTAATCTCCGTAAGATACTTGCCAATGGTACGCGACTGGATGTCGTAGTTATCTGCCTTTGAGACTCGGCGGAGGAAATTCATTGGGTTAGGATAGCTGAGATCGTAATTCAGTGTGCCAAGGATAAAACGCTCTGCACTCAGAATCTCAGCCTCGCTGAAGCCGTCATCGGCAATCTTCTTGAAGTTTTCAACGTGAGGAGAAAGAACCTCCTCGTACTTGGAGGCGATAAACATGGCGGTGATGCCAACGAGCTGGAGACGGTCGAGCTGGACAACCTTTTCGGAGAGGAATCGATCGATGATGTTGACGGCCAGGAACAGAGTTTCGGGGAGTAAATGAAATCGGGTGTGGACCTCGATCAGCCAGTCGACGAGAATTCCGCGTGTTTTCCACTCGAGGTCGTCCTGGTGAGACATGTAGTCGGCATTGGGAACTGAGCGGACCTCAAGCTCTCTCAAATAGTCGAATATTTCATTAGCATATTCGGCAACCATCAAAGGATCGTCCAAATCCTCCTCGTCAAGGCTCTTAATGTTTTCAAGAAGCTCGGCTTTCTCTGCGGCTTTGGCTTCAGCTCGGGCAGCAGCCTGTGCAGCAGCCTTGATGGCAGCAGCGTCAGGAGCCGGGGCCTTGGCCTTGGGCTCGGTGACTTCGGGACGAGAGCGCTTCTCAACATCCACATGTGCTCTCTTACGAGCAGGTTCCGCCTCCTGACGTACAGCTTCCTTTGGTGCAGCTGGGGCAACTTTTCTCTTGGGTCCAATGGCTCCAGGTCCTGACTTCTTTACTTCCGGCTTCTTGACCTCCTTGTTCACCAAAGCTGTCCGGCTTGTCGTTGCAGGGCGAGTGCTCTTCTGGACGCCTGTGGGTTGAGCAGCTTTGGAAACCAATCCAACCTTTGTTCCTGTAGTCTTCTTTCCCTCCACACCATCCGCCTTGCTGACATTGCTGACATCGCCTAGAGCAGCGCGTTTTCTAATTCCGTTGACAGCAATAGTACTGACAGTCGTTTTCTTTGTCTGAAGAGTAGACTTGGTAGGTGCTACTGAGTCGTCCACGTGGAGAGCCGCCGCCTTGGCTCTCGTCATACGCGTTGTAGTGCTGTTCTCGTCATTCTCGTTAGAGATGACGCGAGTACGAGGCCGTCCCTGTATATCGCGTCAGCACACTTTGACATAAAATCCAAGCTTTTCATAGGATGTAGGTCACTTACAGGAGGCATATTGGAAGTTATGAAATGAGATAAACAGTCAGTGGTCGTATAAACAGCTTCAAAGCCCAACACTGTTTCCTCGGACATGTTAGCTGAGTTGGACGCGTTGAAGAAAAGATGGAGTCAAAAGCAAGATTGATTCGAAGAAGAAAAGGAGCCTCAGAATAGAGCTCCTGAGACATTCATCTTAAGACAAGGAGCTCGGAATGTTACTGACCTCTCAAAGGCGAGGCTAATCAGGGAACCGAACACGTCTAGCGTGGCAGGAATGCTACTGCGAGATAGGGTCAATGACTGGCGTAAGTATTTAAAATGCTCGGGCTAGGTGCCAAGTAGAGCTGCTATGGCCAAGTGTAAAAGAACGGCGGCAGAAAGGGTATCAACAGTACGATTGGGGATGCAAATTGTGTATGAAAGAGGATGGTGAGGGCGCTGAGCTGTGTTTTGAGGAGAAACGCCAGGGAGCGCGGAGTGGGCCGTCGCGGCTGGTACGTACCTCGACGAGTTGGCGTGGCTCGCGATTAAATTGGTTGCCCGGCACGAAAAAATACTTGGACGGGCAAGCTAAGAAAAGAGCCTGTGATATAATGCCGATGTGTGAGCGTCTGTCTGTAGTAGCTGCTAACCAGGGCTGGCTTTTCTCGAATTGATGAGTGGGCACAAAGAAAAATAAGGTGGCCAAGTTGTGCGAGCCGTTGGGACAGCGGTGAAGACGCTGATGGGCCTGGTCTGAGATATACCGTACAGTAAATGGTGCTGTCGACAGCCCTGCAATCTGCGACGAGGCCGGAGGGCGGCTCAAAGAGTGGACTGGATGGATATGGCGACAACTGATCGATACTGCGGCGTAGAGAGTGAAAGAAAAAGAAAACAAAGGCTAAGAGAGAGCTTCCAGAAAGGCTGCCGAGCTTGGGTGCTGATGCTGTATTGTACTGCAGGCAGAAGTGGGCGGGCGACGAGTGGGTGCGAGACGTGGGCGAAACCAAAACCGACGACTCACAACGCGACGTTTGGCGGCTGCTCGCGGGGCCGGGGGTGGCGGCCTGAAAAAGTGCAATGTCAACAGTAGCAACCGCGGGGCAACGGGGCGCTGATTGGCGGGACGCGAACTGGCAGGACGAGGTCGCGCGGGAGCACAAGCCATAGGCCGTGGCTGGTGGCTGAAAAAATTGATGAAAGGGCTTTGGTTTGGTGGCTGGTCGCGCGCCGGCTTGTGCTAAGTCAGCAGCGAGCTCTACAGGCTACAGCACAGCTGCCAGCACTTTTAGCGAGGGGCACAAGAGCACCTACCGAGAACAAGGAGGGTGCTAGTGGGGGACAACCACGCTTAGCTAAGCATTTCATTCTTCTCATTCGGCATAACGTTTTTCATGGCTCCGTTGAAATTTCAACGAGGGACCAGCCAGAGAGGCACGACAAGTCGTCCGATTTGCGACGATCAGGCCCATCTGCTCGACAACGACCGGCTCGGTGCTTGGAGACTTCTGAGCCGTTTGGGACCGTCATCTCCAGCTCCCAGAGCACTACATTTTCGATTTTACGAGGCTGCTCTGGGCCAATTGCTAGGCCGTGAGCCGCTGTGCGCAAAGAGCGCTTTCGTCTACTCCCCGCCAAATGCGAGTCGAACCCACCAGTAATTGATTCCCCTAAACACTCAGAACTTCTTCTCCGGAAAGTTAGACAGAGAATCAAAAATGCTCAAACCAAGACTATCAATTGCTCCGGCTTTTGGCAGCCGCCAGCTCCTTTCGGCCTTTACCAATCTGTCACTGAGGGGTTATGCAACAAAGGCCAGAGCTGGTTCTGCCGCTGGCGGGCGTGCAGCTGAGACGCCGGCCAGCAGTGAAAGGCAGTCGAGCGGATCTGTGATGCTGCGCACTTATAAGCCCAGGACGCCGGGTGTACGACATCTGCGACGACCGATAAACGACCACCTTTGGAAAGGACGGCCGTTTCTCCCTCTGACGATTCCGAAAAAGGGCCAGGGCAAGGGAGGACGAAACGTCTATGGTAGAATTACCGTAAGACACCGGGGAGGAGGTGCCAAGAGGAGGATACGAACTGTCGATTTCATACGATGGCGCCCTGGACCGCACTTGGTAGAGCGAATCGAATACGACCCTGGACGCAGTGCTCACATTGCCCTGGTCACGGAGCAAGCTACGGGACGCAAGTCGTACATCATTGCCGCAGATGGACTGAGAGCCGGTGATATTGTACACAGCTATCGTGCTGGTATCCCTCAGGATCTGCTCGACAGCATGGGTGGTGTTATTGATCCTGGTATCCTTGCAGCAAAGACTGCTTTCCGAGGAAATTGCTTGCCGATGCACATGATTCCCGTTGGCACAACGGTGTTTTGTGTCGGCTCAGCGGCAAAGAGAGGCGCTGTCTTCTGCAGGAGTGCGGGTACATCTGCCACAGTAGTGAACAAGAACGAGGAGACAAAAGATGACGGTACCAAGATCATGACGGGCAAATATGTCGAGGTCCGGCTCCAGAGCGGCGAAGTTCGTCGTGTAAGCAAAGATGCATGTGCCACCATTGGAGTGTCGAGCAATGTTCACCACCACTACCGCCAGTTGGGTAAGGCTGGTAGAAGCCGGTGGTTGGGCATCCGGCCTACCGTTCGTGGTGTGGCGATGAACAAAGGTAACTGGGCCCTCTTTTTTCACCTACCAGTATTATGCAAGAGATTAATCGTCGTTAAATAGTTGATCACCCTCACGGTGGTGGTCGAGGAAAGTCAAAGGGTAATCGTCACCCCGTCACCCCTTGGGGCCGACCGGTAAGTTGGACATCTATTCTACTACTAGATAATGGAGAAGAAGCTAATGACATTTTCCTACTTAGACCAAGAGCGGTTACAAGACTCGCCGCACGCACAATGTCAACAAGTGGGTGGTGACACCTCGGCCTCGCAACCACGGCAAGCGGAGAGACAAGAGGTCGTCGAAGGAGTAATTGTAGATAAAACAATGGGTACGATAGGAACCGGGGAGCTTTTAGAAGGGAAGGAGGAAAAGACACGATGCTATGTATACGCGCCGGCGGCAAGGCTTATACTGTGGCTTGGCGCGACTGTATATTATGTGCTATTATCGATATGCCTTTGTTGGGGCTAAATTCTGATGAACTTATACGTATCTCTCTTGCATGGAAGTGATACCCTCGGATACTGCCGTGACTGATACGAGTCCTCCGTTTGGCTGTTTGTGAACTTCAAGACTATTACTACTAGTGCTCTCCAGTTGACTGAATAGCTTCTTAGGCTCGGTGCCATAAAGGTCAATGATCGTCTTAGCATTACGCGGACAGAGGTAATGGTGGCTTCTACCGGCGAATCATTACACGAGAAAGATCCTTAGCTGTCTCAGAAACATGGATTCTACTATCTAGCATTGAGCAGAAAGTTGCAAAGTTGCTTTCTGTTGCCTTTCTCCGATATACCGCACAAAGCCGAGCTGCATGCGCATGTCCCCCAGTAAGGAGAAGCAGGCCTCGCGTAATCGACCCATGGCGCCTAGGGACGGAAGAGAGATGAGGTGGCTGCAAAGGTACAGTTTACAATAGTCTTCACTAACACTAGTGCAAGTGCGTACTAAGTAGAAAAAGAAGTCAATTTGTTCGTCTTCTTTTATACTATTAGTATACCCGGGACAGCTTGGTGTTATAGTACCAACCAAGGATAGACTTGCATCCCTGTGGGGAGGAAGGAATATTGCCTGCGACTTGAGCGAGAAAAGTTTGACCTATGAGAAGATGGTTTTAGCGAGGCTGTTACCATCAAGAAATATTAAGTCCCAGGTATCTGTAAAGGCTTATGCTTGTCGATTAACGTTGATTTAGCCTCCTCCTGCCCTACGGAGATCGTAAGTCGGGAACAGTGTGCGGGAAAGAGCCAAGAAATCAAGAGCCAAGAGCCGGCGTCTACTACGTCAAAAAGAGAAAGCGACCAGGGGGCTCGCTTGCCAAGCTTTTTCTAATGCTCCTTCCTTGGCCCTTCCGTGGCCACTGGGAAGCCGCGCACACGACCCACTTCCGTTTCCAGATTCAACAGCTGGCTAGCAATTATTTGGGGCGGCGATGCGCGCGCCAGCACTGCCATCTTTTCTCATCTTACTGGAGCTGTTCCAAGCACAAGACCTCGTAACTCCGACAAGGTACTCCATCTTTGCCTGCCAGCTGCATGGGGCACTGTGTCACCATCTCGGTGTTACAGGTAGGTAATGAGCAGCGTCTAGGTATTATTCTTCTACACTAGTGGTGCTATTCTTGAGATGCTGACCGGGATGATGATACGTATCTCGGCAGTCCAGAAACATCAAAGGTTTCCCAGTGCTAGGCATATGAATCGAAACTTCAAGGGCCAAGCGCCAAGATGCCATTCAGCAGTGCCTGAATCTCGACGAGTTTGTCTTTCTCTGTGATCTCTTCGCCTCGGCCCCTCGCCAGCAGGGCGATTTATACACGCATCTCGCCAGCCCTTGACTTCTCACCACCGTGTGGCGTTGTATGAGACAAGGCGAAGAGATCTGCCATCACCACAACCGCCACCGGTCACGCTCGCGCCCTCTCCATGGGCTGTGCTATGCTGCCACGCGTCCCTTGGGAATGACACTGTGTTGTGGAATCTACCCAAAAATCCTCACCTGAGCAGAAGACCAAGTCGAGACAATTCGCCGTTTTAGCGGCGCCACAGCCACTGAGCGGAGAGAGATCTGAGCTATCCACAGCACTGGCCCTGGCCCTGGCCCTGGCTGGAACTTTAACCCTGCCCATCTCCATCTCCAGTTTAAAAGCTCTCCCCTTATTAGACAAGCTTTCATTTATACCCCCCATTAGCCTCCCTTCCCTCTTATGCTTCTTTAATGCCCATCTCTTTGTTTCTTCTTTGTAGCAGATGCGATCATATCAACAAATCACCCGAGCCGGGCCCGACGCCAAAATGGGATTGCCCTCGATCCGACTCATTACGTCGTACATATTCGACTGGATTATTCTTATTATCGTTACTGTCGTTGGCTACGTCTTGGGCCGAATTACGCCCAACAAGCGGCCCTTTTCTTTGGTTGATCCAGACATCTCGTGAGTTCCATGTCGAAGCCCTGCCGAAAAGCTTGATCTGGGTCTGTTTCTGTTCAGACGATTAACGAAATAATGTCCACTCTAGATTTCCTTTTACGGTGCACGAGACTGTGCCGGACTGGCTGCTCTTTGTCTTGAGCAGTGGAGTCCCTGCTGTCATTATCATCATTGTCTCCATCATATTTGTGCCAGGTGCAACGGTGCCCAAAAACACCCCTGCCTCATTAGTTTGGAAGCGTAAACTATGGGAACTTCACATTGGTCTGCTGGGACTCCTCATGTCAGTTGGCGCTGGCTTCTTCTTTGTTAGTGGCATCAAGAATATGTGCGGCAAGCCTCGACCTGATCTACTTGCACGATGCGTCCCCGACTTGGAAAACGCATCGAAATACCTGATTGGCGGCTTCAAGGGGGAATTCGCCCTGGGCAACAGCATTGGCCAGCTCTTTTCGGCCGATATCTGCACGCAGACCGACAAGGCAAAGCTTGACGATGGCTTCCGAAGCTATCCCAGCGGCCACTCTGCGGCCTCCGCCGGCGGTCTCCTCTACCTCTCGCTGTTTCTTGCCAGCAAATTTGCCGTGACGATGCCGTTTGTAGCTACGGGCACATCTACGTCCAGCCATGAGGTGCATGCTGCTTTCCCTTCTCGTGCAGCGTCTGCGGTTGAGCAGTATGACGACGAGGTGTCCGTGCCCATGGCTGGCAAAAGCGCAGATCAAACCATCAAGTACAATTCCAGCATTCAGGCGTTGCGTCGCCAGGCAGCGGCTCCTCCCATCTACCTCCTAGTCATCACCGTGGCACCTTTTTGCCTCGCCATCTTCATCGCTGCCTCTCGCTGGTTCGATTTCCGACACCATGGCTTCGACATTTTGTTTGGCTTTTCCATTGGTATCTTTACAGCCATTTTCAGTTTTAGATACTATCACCTACCCATCACCATTGGCGCTGGTTGGGCTTGGGGCCCCCGGAGCGCAGACAGGGCTTTCTGGGCAGGTGTCGGTCGTTTGGGCTACGTTGGCGAGAAAGATGTCGAGCGTGGCACGATGGTGTCTACGAACTTTGGGAGATCTACCGACGTCGAAGCTTCACTGGCAGCGCCTGCGGGAATGAGTTATCGATCTCCTGCCCAGACGGGTGAGCCATATCAGGATGTAGAGTTGAACAACTTGAACAACTTGAATGGGGGGCACGAATCAGGGAGTCGAGCATGATATTGAATCGACATTTAAAATGATACCCAGCTCTCCCGTTAAGGGGAAAGCATATAGATATAAAGGGAAATGGAATGTGAGGAGGATAGGGGCAAATTCGTCGTATATTGTTTGTATTACTGGAATCATAAAGTTACCACCATTAGACAAGATTTATCGCATGGGAATGTTACTTAGGTAATCAATGTCCGCTTTTGTCACTCCTTTTAGTACGATTCTGTGTAACTACGGGCAATCGTGTATTAACGGAACCAAGTTCATTGTGTAGAGTTTCGTCGAATTAGCGTAGCAACCAAGAATACATTCGTTAAAGCCCCATGCGAGTTACACTAATTGAGAGAAACAAAGATGCATATTATAGAATAAAGAGGGGGGAAAGGAAAAAGAAAACAAGAGAAGGATAAACAGAAAAGAAAAAGGTCATGCATGGAATAATAAACCCAAATTCAGAGCTTGTTTGGTCCCCGCCTCTGCCGCCGCCAAACGCCTTTCCGTACAACATCAATGAGGGAAAGAGGGAGGAAGATATGGAAGAAAGGTGTTTGTGTGACAAGATATTTGAGCATCGTAGTTTTGTTTGTTTGTTTTTAACTCGTCTTTCCAGCCCTTTTCTCATTGCCATTCGTAAAATAAAAGAATCATATTTCCTTGTCCCTTTCCCAGATGTACTTGATAATGCTTTTTTTTTTTTTTTAATTCGTCTCTCTCATCTTTTGTTATTTGTGGTTCGTTCTTTCCTTCTCCAAATCACATCGGTCCCTCAATCAGCCTCATGTTCGTGTTGGTATTAGTTCCGTCCACTCCTTCAAATTCGACATCGTCCTCCTCCTCTTCCTCATCGTCATCCATCTGCTCCTCTCTGAAGCCAGATTCAATCTCCAGCTTGCGCAGCCTCCTCCGCATGTCGTCTCTCTTGAGGTCCTGCCACCGCACCAGCGCAGCGGCGGCGTGCACCTTGAAGCCGTAGACGCGGGGGATGTAGCGCTCGATGCTTTTGGATGGGATGAGGGCGGGGTAGACCTGGAAGATGATGTTGTGGAAGGAGGTGCCGAAGTAGGCGCCGTCGATGGAGGCGTGGCGTGAGGACTTGGGGTTGTAGAGGTCCTCGCAGCGGGCGCAGTAGAGCTTGACGGGCTTGAGGTTGGGGATATCGGAGAGGCCCATGGGGAGCAAGGGGTGAGAGTGACAGTTGACTCGGGGGCATTTGCCAAACTCGGCCTTCTTGTACTTGTCGAGCTGTAAAGGTAGCGCCTGGTTAGCATCTTATCGACATGAAAACAGACGGTCCAGAGGCTCTCAAGAAATATGTTTGGAGGGGAAGATTGGAAGAGATAATGGCGATTATGAAGAGGAAAACTGTACCATTTTCGTCAGACCGCGTGTGGTCACAATGTATCGCGCGTGCACCAGGCCGTACAGGTGTCGGGCTGAGCTCTCAATCGTCTCGCGCATGTCGTCGTCGCAGTCGAGGTCGAAGACGTCCGTCACCAGGTCCAGCGCATATTGATAGTACTGGACCTCTGTGTTGAGGCCCGTCAGATTGAAGCGGTCCGTTAGGTAGTCCTCATCGATCTCGCAGAAATATTCATTGCCTCTGGATGAGATGAACTGCGCAGATGACGGCGCGTCAGCTTTGGTTCAATATGATGTTTCCCTTGTGTTGTTGTTCTCGCGTCACAAGTGCCCCCCGGTTCTCTATCCTCTCCGTTCCCGGTCATGGACCGGCAAACGCCGTCGGCACCGACACCGGCGGAGCTATATGTGCTCCCTGGCAACAAATCGGATGGATAGGGAGGCGTAGAGAGCAAATAAACAGGTGCAGGCAGCAGAAGCGACTTACCCAGTCTCGCCAATAGCTAGTGTAGTCACTATCAGACTCGCTCGCGTACTCATCCATCGTATGTAGCAGTGAAATGCGGAATTAGACCTCAGCGCGAGGCAGAAAAAAAACGAGGCTGCAGCAATGGGCAGCAAGCGCTATGGTAGACCTCGAGGGGGGGGGGGACCTGACCGACCAGTCGCGGACAAAGGAGGCGGCGGTCGCGGTTCCGGCCGATGACAGCGGCAGTGAGACGAGGATCGGGAGGCTGGAGCTTCGAGAGGGCGGCGGCGGCGTCGCGGTCGGTTTTGGCCCAAGCCCGGGTTTGACGTATCTCGACTTTGGCGGTGGTGGTGAGCGGTAGTTCTGCCAGTGATGGTGGGGTACGGCGATTGTTTGTTTGGCGGATAACGTGACTGGGGCGGCTAGTGCTGGTCGCTGGCAGTTGCGGCTCCCGTTGAGTACTACTAGATAGGTAGGTAAACCGCTACCAGCTGGTGGCTTGAACGTTATTCGCCAAGCATATATGCATCAAGACATATAAACGGGAGGGAGAAGTTACTGCTTAGTGGCTTCGGTAAAGGCATTATGGAATAGAGATAATATGAAATGTCCAGAATGAAGCGTTTGTCAGATCTCTCACTTTGTGCTAATGCACGTAGCTGTCAACCTGCTAGCCTCGTAATGTGCATACCTACTCCGTATAGAGCTTCTACTAGGGCAGCCTCCTCTGAAGATCGTTACACGACACGCACTTGATTAAAAATAGGGAACAATGCAGCGGGATACGATGTAGATTCTACATGTCATAGTGAGCACGTTACTGTACTTTTGTCAAGAAGAAAGAGAGTGCAAGGAAGAATGGGTGAATAAATCAGTAGTTCATTACCACTAAGTAGTAAGCATATCTCTTACACATCCCATCAGGTTGCTGGCTTTACCTTTTGCTATCCAATCAAAGCCCCTACCTCTTCCGTTTCGCCAATTCAAGCCCATAAAAAGCCATAGTTATCTAGAAAAGAGAAGAAAAAAAAGCCCCCACATCTTCATCACAATGGCCGTATATAGCCATGTCACCATATAGCCATATTATGGTAATACCGTTATCTGTGCCGGTCAGATGCACAGTCATCTATTTCCGCCCTTCTTTTCACCCATCCAATGGACTGATTGTCGAGCCCATGCTACCGGCATCACTAGGAGACCGCATACCAGACGTTGTTTCACCATCGTCTCCGCTACTATTCCTGCTGCTCCCATTAAGAAACCCCAGTCCAGTCGCGGGAAGCTCAAGTCTGCTTGAGATGCCCTGAGTCACGCCAACGTTTGCCATCTTCATGGCTTCTTTGAGCGTCTCTCCAGTCTCGTCCATGGCAGCCAGGAACCTCGCAAGCTCTTTGCACAACTCCCAGTCGCCCTCTCTGACTGCCCTTGTCAGAACGCGGACTGACTGCTCCAAAGAAGCCTCCAACTCATCCAGTGTGTGTAGGATGATGAGATACCCGCCCGCAGTCTTGAGTGATCCTCGTTGTAAAGATTCCTCAAACAGCTCTTGTGCTGGAGGGAGGTATGCGAAAAGAGTCTTCCACTGTCGGACTTCTGTCTTCCTCGTGCACTGTAGAACAATGTCAAGATATTCCTTAGAAGATGACAGGAGAGACAAAACACGCGGCAACACAGCATCTTCCGGCTTTGGTGATGTGTCAGCTTCTTCGTCTAGCACACGATGAAGTAGCACTTCCAGCCCGTGAGCAAAGTACTCTAATCCTTCATACTGCTGAGAGAGATTTGTCGCCTCCACCGTCATGTTGTTACAGAGATAGAACCGGAGTATGTCTGGTAGAACGAGATGCGTCTATGAAATCAAGCCAAGTCAGCACCAAGTGAAGAGTCAGCCATAGAAATTTCTGTCCACTTACCCTGATTGCGAAGTGAAAAAAGGAAAAATTCACATCGCGCCGCTGTACCAAGTCCGATTCCACGCCAAGGACGATGCCTTTCTCTAAAAGAATAGAAAGGGGGTAAAAGTCTACATCTATGGATACTGGTGGCGGCAGTTCTCTCCCGCTATCACCCGTCGCTGCCGTCAGGACATCATGAATATCGGCCCAAGCTTTAATCTCCATTCCGTCAAACAACCACAAGGAATCGCGGAGGGCAAGCGGTCCATAGCGCAGCTGACTCTCTTCGGGAGAGTGGCTGATATTTATAGGAGGCTGATCTCGCATGCTCACGTGGTATTCCACATTCTGCGCAATGATGCGCATATCATACTTGAGCTGACCATCTTCATTCGTCGAAGGGCTAAGCAACACCAGCTTGCCGTCGACTAAGAAGAGAACGGACGCAACGGCCACGTCTTGAGAAGGGTCTCCATCGCTGATCTGGCTTTCTGGCAGGATCCAGCTAAGACCTCGAACTCTGGCAGGAGACCGCACAATTCCGTGAAATGCAATCTGGCCAACTTGAATCAAGCGAATCGATCCGCCAGTTGGCACAAAAATGTAGTGGTACAAGAGATTTTCGTAGGTGTATACGAGAAGGGAGTCTTCCCCAGATGCCGCAATCAGCACCACGGGCGCGGGCAGCCGCTCGGTGTACAACACATGAGAATTATCCAGCGGCGCCTCACGCGAGTAGAGCCGCAGTTCAAACGTCCGGTTATCTTCAATCGCCGCTACTAGGATATGTTGATACCAGCACATGCCTCCGCGAACTGAGAATGAGTTTTCCATTGCTTCATCAGTAAAAGTCTTCCATCGTCCGCTGTTGACGCTGTAGTGCGCCAGTCCCCGGCGACCAGCGACAGCAACATAGCGTCCATCCGGAGAAATGACGGTCTGGCGAATCGGCCACTGGTTGAGCAGGTATGTTGATGGTATTCTCGAAGTATGCCACAAGAAGGGCTCAGCCGAGATGCTCGTTAGGTCGGGAAGATCATAGCCCCGGTATATCATGACACTCGTCGGCGTTTGGAGCACGGTACGAAAGACGTTGGCCTCGTTGTAGCAACCGGTAATGGCATTTTTTGCCATCTCAAGTGACCATATTGCTTCATGCCGCCGCCCTAATAGAAGAATTTCAGAGCCTCCGCCAGTCCAGACTGCGCCTCTGATTCCCGTAAGCCATTGCTCACCATTCGTACTTGCGACACTGGGCTCAGCTCCAAAGCTATGACTTCCTAGCTTGCCAAACATGCTCCAAGTACACCAGCCCTTTTCGAAGCCCGCGAAGAGACAGTATCCGTCGGGTGAGTAGGTCAGGGTTGTAAAGACGCCAGCCGTCGCTGTGGAAAAGGGCATACGATGTGTGTGAGAAAGCACAATATTGCCCGCATAGTCTCGGACAGAGTAAACGTGGATCGTGCCATCCGCACAGCCAATGGCGATGAGTGAAAACCGAGCGTTAATCACGGCGCGCACGGCACGTCCTCTCGAATCTTGCGGAGTATAGAAACAATGCCCGTTGAAGAGGCGTTTTGCGTCGGCACCTTCTGCTTCATTTTCATTTGTGCTCTTAGGTTGCAGGCGCTGTACCGCATAAACTCTCCCGTCGCTCGTAATCCAGGTAGCCAGATTCATGGGCCGATCATGGGTCATTTCCACGATGGAAGCCTTTTTCTCCACCCAGCCCATGCGACTCAAGATCTCTGTCCTTGTTTGGTTCCCACTGCTGTCGGGGGTCCAGCGGATGCATTGTACGGCGGCAGGCTTCCTTGTTGCAACAACTAATTCGTCGTCGAGAGCTAGGGCACTCTCTATACCGGCGTCAACTTTGATAACCATGCGGAAGCGAACGCTGACATCGCGAACCCCTCCGCCCTCGCCCGGTCCCCATAGAATCTGGTCAGGTCGCAGGTGAGATTGCGGGCCAATGAGACTCTGTTTTCTCTTTTGTACGTTGTGATAGTTTGGAAAATGCGGTTTATAGACTCTCGATTCGCCATCGGTGGCTATTGAGTAAGTAATGAGGTATCCTTTAGATGTGTGCACCACCAAGATGGCAGAATCGGGGCGCAGCAGGAGGTCGACGTTGATGCCATAGGATTCCAAGGACGATTCGGATCGAACTACTACAGCAAGAACCACAGCAGGCTGGGGGGGAGTTAGCCAAGAGAGCGATGGAATCCGGCCATGCGACCAACATACCTTTGTCTGCCAGAGCGTGATTGATGTGGCTGTGATGACGGCAAACATCTGGCCAGTGCGGGCAATGCGCAGAGCAAGTACGGGGTCCTTTACGGGCACCCGTCTCTCTTCAGAAATCTGGTCCTTCGCAGCGCCGCCGTCTGGGAAGAATTCATAGCGTTCGACAGGCTTGACAGCCGGCGTGGCCGGTGTCATGGGTGTTGGCGGAGGCTGCACATCGTCGGAGTCTTCTGGCGACGGTGATTTGAGCGGCTGCGCGCCGGACTCGGGCTGCGGCGATGTGACTGAGGAGCCTGAATGGCTCTGCAGGCCATCGTAGGAAACGTAGATGTTGGAGTCGGAAGCTCTGCTGCTGCTGGTGGCATAGACGCGCGGAGTTCCGATGGGCCAATACATGGCGGAAGCCGAGTCTCCTCAGCGCTTCGATGTCGGGGGTTCACGGCGCAAAGGGTGTGTCATTTCTGGGTGCTGCGGTTCATGACAGAGCCATTGGGACTCGTTGGCGCCCGATTGTTGCAATGCGAATTGCGGGTGTTTGCTGTTTTGAGTTTTGAGTTTTGACAGGTTGTCGCTGCATGACAAGTTGGCAGGGCGGCTTCATCACTGGGGAAGCTCCAGATGCATTACATAATCAACGGAGCCTGGGATGGAGAGAGTCACAAAGCTTATAAGGAAGTATAAGCTTGACCAAAACAAGCGATCAATTCTAATAATAATGAAAATCACAAGACGAGGTGAGTAACAATAGATTGAATGCCAAAAGAACAACAAAGTATCAGTCAAGAGCTGGGGAGGCGTGATGTCGGAGAATGTTGCTTTGTCACATCTCTCGATATAGATCGACAGAAGCTGGTCAGAGCTAATGATACACCGAACAAAAGCTACACACGGCACGGTGAGATCTTATCGAGATGAGCCAATTGAAAAGGGCCAACGGGCCATAAATCGCAAGACAGGGCTTTAGTACGAACAATAACGCTATCAAAGTTGCGGGGAGAAAGGGTAGCAGTAGCATACCTTACGCCTTCATATGCGTGTAAGTAGTAATGCTGCTGTAGAGTACAAATACACATGTACCCAGGTAGATGCTGCTACAGTAGTCTTCGTTTGGCTGCTTGACGTTTAGGGTCCATCTACTGCTAGGTACAGTGATAGGATGCCGCTGCTATTAGGCCTTTGTAGTATCTGCCCAGACACTGTCTTATCGTAGAGTCTGATACCAATAGTGCTGGCCATCCACGGTCTAAGCTCCGTGCTTGCCGCTGTCGGATGCCTCCAACTAATCCAACGCCGAGCATCTCAGTATTACTGCCTACCTAGGAAGTATCGCAGACACGCTACAGGCACCCCGATCCGCCCCGCCTCCAACTAGAGCCCCAGAACGGCTGTCGTGCAGCTTCATGTTGTCGCCAGGGCGCGCCAAAGAGTACGTAATAAGCGGGTCAGACTCAAGTCCCAGAGGTCCGGTGAGGCGCCAAAGCGCTCCAGTTGGTTGGAGAAGCCCCCGCAGTGCCGTTCCAGTGGGCGGGATACTGGCGGTTACCGACGGCGGGGCCCCGATCCCGGCACCGGCCGCCATTCCCCAAACCATCGCGTAAAATGACAACGACTAAATATGGGCGTGGTTGACTGACAAATGCCGGTACGGAGGCAGAGGTGCAGCTCTACTGCATTATCGCTGGAGCTATCCGTACAGGGTGCTAAACTAATGCTCGGAGGGGCAGCAGCTCGTTATCAGCTCCCGAGGGCCACTTTAAGCCCAATCAAATACATGCACCTTCTCTTACATAGGTAGTTCAACCTCTCACCTCCCTTTCTTCATCATACACAACCCGCCGGCCCTGTCTCACAAAGGTCGAATCCTACTCGCTCTCTTCATCTTACTTGCCGAGGTAAAAGAACCATATAATTCATACGTCGAAGCAACACCATCTACGCAGTAGCAATCACACCATACGCATATACACCACTGCAGGTGAAGCTATACACAGCCAACCCGCCACCATGCTGCCCATCACAAAAGCTGCCCGGCTGCGGGCTCTTTCAGTATCCCGCAATGGCGCCGCCATCATCTCATCCCGCGCAGCCAGATCACTGCACAGTAGACCAAGCCACAACAGCGCCGAAGCAGCAGCCGCAGCACAGCCCGCCACACACGAAGTAGACTATTCGCCCTCTGTGCTCCGTGATATCGCCGCGAGGAGAGCCAAGGCGGGCAAGCTGGTGGCAGGCATTGCTGCAGCATCTGACAGTGACATGTTTAAAGGATCGGTAAGTATGGCGTGAATGTTGATTCAAATATCATCTTGCCTCCGTTGTTATAGAGCAACAGCTGACCTGTCTCTCATCTCAGCAAGCTGGGAAGCCAAAAGCGAAGCGATGGGACGGTATGTTTGCTGCCCATCAATATCCTTTATTCTTTGGCTAACACAAAATAAACCTGCAGACCACCTGAGTGCAGAGAGCAAGTCAAGAGAGCCCTGTTCTCTTAAGCAAGCAGCCAAGCACCTAAAACAGCCAGGACTCATCTCTCTCGGCGGCGGCTTGCCCTCCAGCGAGCTGTTCCCCCTCAGCGAAATCGACATGAAGGTTGCTATGCCGCCCGACTTTTCGGAAAAGGCAACTGCCAGACACGGACAGAATGTCACCATTGGCAAGTACGACGTCCGCGATCGTGATGGTACTTATGATCTCTCCATTGCGCTCAACTATGGCCAGTCCACGGGCTCTGCTCAGATGATGCGATTCCTGACTGAGCACACCGAGATTGTTTGCAACCCGCCCTACGCCGATTGGAGAATCTGCCAGACCATTGGAAGCACCGGAGCGTTGGAGCAGGCGCTGCGCATGTTCTTGGACAAGGACCGTGGCGACTCGGTCTTGACGGAAGACTTCAGCTTCTCAACGGCCCTGGAAACGATTGCTCCCTTGGGCGTCAAGGCTTTTGGCATCCCCGTCGACGAGCAAGGACTCATCCCTGAAGCCATGGACGAGCTTCTCACCAACTGGGACGCCAAGGCCAGGGGATCCCGAAAGCCTCATCTGCTGTACACCGTCCCCTCGGGCCAAAACCCAACCGGAGCAACCCAAGGCACGGAGAGAAGGCAGGCCATCTACCGAGTTGCGCAGAAGCACGACATCTTCATCCTCGAGGATGAGCCCTACTACTTCCTCCAAATGCAGCCCTACACTGGCCGAGGCCAACCGGATGCTCCTGCGCCCAGCAACGTCGAAGAATTTGTTTCCTCTTTGATACCCACATATGTCAGCATGGATGTCGATGGCCGAGTAATGCGCATGGACTCTCTCTCTAAGGTGCTCGTCCCAGGATCTCGCATGGGGTGGATTGTCGCTTCAGAGCAGATTGTCGAGAGATACCAACGCCATGCCGAGGTTGCCAGCCAGGGGCCAAGCGGCTTCTCTCAAGTTATTGTCCACAAGTTGCTAGATGAGACATGGGGTCACGAGGGCTACCTGCGGTGGCTGATGAATCTGCGACTTGAGTATACCAAGAAGAGAGACGCATTGCTGGCTGCGTGTGAAGACAATCTGCCGCGAGATCTTGTGAGCTGGACGCCGCCTGCCGCTGGCATGTTTGTAAGTCTTTTCTTCATCTCTCTCCGTCTACTTACTCTTTCCCCGCTGCTTTTTGAGATTCTGACACTTGTTTCCATAGCTCTGGTTCACCGTTGACCACACCAAGCACCCCAGCGCCGGCTCTCGAAGCCTCCTGGAGATTGAGCAGGAAATATTCGACTCGTGCATCAAGGGGGGTGTGCTCGTGGCCCGAGGATCGTGGTTCCAGACTGAGAATGCCGGTCCCCTGCCGAGCTTGCACTTCCGTGCCACATTTGCTGCGGCAAGCCCTGAGAACATGAGTGCGGCGATTGCACGTTTCGGTCAGGCTGTCAAGGATAGCTTTGGCAGAAAATGATGGCATGACGCAAAGAGAAAAGAAGAGAGACAGGGTGCGAATGGGATTCCTATTGTGCGTAATTGAACCTTTACAGCCAGAGAAGTACTAAGATTGAAAGCGCATTTGCAGTTGTCCACTGTTTCATCTGTATGATTCACATGTAAACCTGGAAGGTATTGGGGTTTTCCTTTTGTCACATTGCAGAATATAGCGAAGGAGGGATTTAAGCACGAATTAGTTTTTAGCTAACAGTATATAAAGAAAAGCATCATCATGTTTCAGTGTAGGGGAGAAGATGTCGACGTTGGTATACATGCCTCTCCAAGTCATAAATCATAAGTTCCAGCCTCTTTTCCCTCATGTTCCTCCTTCATTTCTCATTTCTTTGGGTTCCATATATGTACATCATATCACATAACATTCACGCTTCCTTCTTCGGCTCCCAAAACGCCACATGCACCCCCTGTCCCGGAGACAGCACGATATCCGACTTCAACAGCGGATCCCCGCCATCAATCTCATGCATGAAGCTTTGCACCCGCTCGAACCGCTGAAAGATGCGGCACAGCGTGTAGCCCATCTCGGTGAGGGCAAACTGCTGGCCGATGCAGATCCGCGGGCCGGCGTTGAAGGGGATGTAATCGTGCGGCTTCGGGTGCCACGCGGCCCAGCGCTCCGGGCTGAAGATGCTCGGATCGGCGAACGCCTCCGAGACGGGCGGGTACAGGTCCGGGCGGCGCTGCATGACGAGCGTCGAGTATCCGACGGGCGTGTCCTTGAGCACCGGCAGCGGCTCGGAGCCGTCCGGGCCGCCGCCCCGGGGCAGGGTCGTGTCCTTGAGGGCGACGCGGACGTTGAACGGCACGGACGGGTAGAGGCGCAGCGTCTCGTTGAGGACGGCCCGGAGGTACGGCATGTTCTTGAGGTGGTCGTACGTGGGGAGGCGGTCCTGGCCAATGGTCTCGAGGATCTCGGCGCGCAGGCGGGCCACGGCGTGCGGATGCCGGCCGAGCTCGTAGATGGCCCACGAGAGGGCCGAGGCGGTGGTGTCGCGGCCGGCGAGCAGAACGGCGACGATCTGGTCGCGCAGGACTTTGGGGTCGCGGGTGAAGCTGGCGAGCTCGTGCAAAAAGGTGTAGTCCTTGTCGGATTTGGTGTGGGCGGCGAGTTCCTCGGGGCTCATGCGCAGGGCGCGCTGGATGAAGTGGTTGACAAAGCGGTTCATGACTTTGAGGCCGTCGTAGTAGGACTTTTTGGGGATGAAGGGCTGGAGCTTGTAGGCGCGGGCGAGGATGTTTTGGACGCGTTGGACTTCGTTGAAGGCTTCGGCGAATTCTTGTTTTGGAGTTCTGAAAAATCAGTCAGTCTGTTGTTTCTCGCTATGAAGACGAGATGTTCAAGGAAATCTCACGTCAGGGATTTCACGTCACTGCCCAGCAAAAAGTCGGTAGCAACATCGAGCGTATAGCGGAAGAAGAGGTCGCGAATGTCCATCCGTCTCCCATCCGCCCGATCAAGATCAATCACCTGGTTCTCGCCTTCCAACGGGCCCCCATTCGCCATGGTCCTAAACAGCGTCTGAATATGAGCCTCAAAGCAGTGCAGGTCGCTCACGCGGTCCCTCGTAAACTGCGGCCGGATGAGCTGGCGGCTGTTGTGCCACTGCATGCCGTCCGTGGTGAAGATGCTGTCGCCGAGGAAGGGCGCCCACTCTCTGTGGAACTGCTCGCCCTTGCCAAAGTCGTGGAACTGCGTGGCCAGCATGGCCTTTATGTTTTCGGGGTCGGCGGTGAAGGCGACTCGCTGGTTGAGGATGCGCATCTCGCACGTCCACGAGTTGGAGAAGAAGACGTCTCGCCAGAGCTCCATGTTCTTGTGGGCAATGGTGGAGCGGATGCCGTAGTAGATGAAGTCTAGGGCTGCTTCATACATTAGCCGTGGATTCTCTTTTGTGATTACATCCATAATTTTTTGTAGAGTCATGAGTGACATAAGTGAAAGAGAAGATCAGGGTTATAGCTAACCGAATGGAAAACGAGATGGGAGTGAATGGCCATAGTTGCCGAGTTTCTTGATGCGTCGATGCTCCCTTATGCGGTTGATTGTCATGACAAATGCTCCAATGCCAACCAGGGCGATGGAGAGCTTTTTGATGGAGACATGCTCCAAGAGAGCCTCGATTAAGCCCATATTTAGCTCTCAAAGCTGAAGAGGCATGAAGCTATATCATTCGAGTTGGAAGGCAACCTTGTTTGGCTTTTGATGAATAAATGGAGTAAATGAATAAAGTCACTCTTCTCACTCATATACTCAGTGAAAGGCCTTGGTATGAGATGAATAGTGATAATCCAAAGGCAAGGGCTGAAGAAGCTGCCGAAAAAATGAAGAGAAGAGGCACGCTTGAGCTCAATGGAGAGACATCATGAGAGGCGAGAAAGAGAAAACCGGTCATTATGAAGCGGCCAAACAGCTTAAAAGCAGGGCGTCAAAGGTTGCTGCTTCGGACCCTTGAACGTCTCCGGGAGGGCTAAAGTAGCGGGTGGGGAGGTGAAGCAAATTGGCTAATTGAAGCCACCAATACTATCCATTCCTGGCGCCGTATTCCGGGTGGGAGAAGTGACGCAGACACGCAGATTTCACTCTTCAAAGTGGCCCAGGTTTGAAACTGTCTTGATTATTATCATCTTTCGATATCATTCGTCTATAAGAGGCTTCTAACAACATGCCCTCAGCTCCAGCCGGAGCCGCATATCGTAATCTTGCAGAAATACGCTCGTTTCCAGCGGTCATCCAGTTCTGTACCCCAGCTTCTAGGCTCTCTCTAGAGCTGAAAATGGCATATCTATCACCTGTTAATGTAACTTGAATGTTGTCCAGCCGAGGCAAGTTCGTACCGTCGTGACGTTGGCGTCGATGATTCGTCCGATTCGTCTGCAAGTCCATCCATGTAATAGCGGGGTAAGGGGAATTACCTACCTAGGTGGGCATAAGAACTGTAAATCATCGTTCATTGAACTCGTGCTCATATGATGTTTGTGTTGGCCCAAGCCGGCTTTTACTATTACGTATCATGCAGGAAGTTCCAAAGAGCTGATGGCGATTTGGAGAGGTTTGTTATATAGCTAAACTGGATTTTTATACACAATATAGGGTAACGAGTACAGAGTTCACGATGCCCTCCATGATGAAGGTAATCATACATTACACAAAAGTTAATTCAGGGTATCTACATGTCAAGAGAGATGAACATGTCTCTAGACTCTAGAATTTCTTTATAATATAGTGTTGATAGATGACTATGTTTCTCTTGAGGTACTCAATAGCGGCTGCAGCTTCGGGATCCACATGTTGGAGGCATTCACAAACATGCTTTCTAAAACAAGGCGAACTAAGGTTGATGGCATTGAATCATGAACATTCTAGTTCTAAAACCTTTCACGTCATAAATCACATTTATCATACAGTACATATAGATGGAGCCTCGCCTGTTGCCACTTACTGTGATAGTCTGCATTGAGGCTTCGAGGTCCAAGCTCCTTGATGTTGAGTTCGGGAGCTAGTTTTGACATGTGCATCCAGATCTAGGTATTGAAAGACCTATTCAATTGTAAATCACCTCATCTCCCACTCTTCAAAAGAACAGACAGCAATCTACTACTCTCCATCATGTATCATCCCGCGGTAGCATTGCATATTGCTTCAAAGCACAGATCGTAATGATTTATACATCAGCATCAGCTTCAAACCCCACAAACAATTAGATCCATTCGTACTAGCGCCCGTCCACCCCACAAGCCACGCGCAGCCCACTATCAACTACACCCAAACCGCAGCATCGTCATCATCTTCCGCCAACCTCAACTCTCTCCATAACCTCGCCCACCCACCAACGCTTCTCCGCCATGTCCAGCTTTCCTCCCGACTTTCACGCGCCCACCCCTCCGATCCTCCCTCCCAAGCCCAGCAGCCAAGAGCCCAGCCGCATCGGCACTCCGGCAACCGGCGCAGCGCCGCCTCCACCACCGTCGACCTTGTCCGAAGCGGGGCAGCAGTATCGGAGCTCCGTGATAGCTGGCCTGGATGCAGCAGCAGCAGGAGGCGTACCAACACCGCCGCCTGCTCCAACGGCGGTAACGTCCAGGGCTGCCGATATTCCAGATCCGGGCGACCAATGGCTTCCGCAGGTGCTTCAGGATAAATCGTGAGTTTCCTTCTCCGTGCCACCTACACCCTAGACAGCCAACTAACCTCTCCTTTAAACAAACACAGCATTCAAGACCTCGCCGACATCCTCTCCAGCCCCTCCCTCCTCAACGGCCTCACAAACTCCCCCTCCTCCATCCACCCCTCCCTCCAAGCCTCCCACCAAGACCTCCTCGCCGCCCTCTCCTCCAACATGGACCTCGCCACACGCCTCTCCGACCTCGAGTCCCGCCTCGCCCACCAGCGCTCCGCCGCCCAGGCCCAGCTGCTCTCCATGCACGCCCTCGAACGCCAGTGGCGCCAGAAGCAGTCCGACATGGACCTCGCCCTCGCGCGCTTCAGCCCCGCCGCGCTCTACCAGCTGCTCAACCAGAGCGTCCAGGAGCAGGCTCTCGTGTGCCAGGCCATGGAGGAGAGTTTTCTCGATAGGGACGGCCTGGAGGGTGGTGGAGAGGCGACTACTTCGGAGAGGGAGGCGGCTGAGTGGATTAGACGGTATAGGGAGGCAAAAGTGCAGTACTACTTGCGGCAGGAGCGTAAGGACAGGTGGGATGAAGGCCGAGTCGGTGGTTGGAGGTAACCTTTCTTTGGTTGTTGCTTTTGGTTTTTCGGAGAGTGTCTGGAGGCCATATGGAGTTTCTTTGCTGATAGAAGGCGAGTGGCTATACCAAATGGTCAATTTTGTTTCCATGTATTTAGATTGGGGCACGGATTGTCTGCCCGCTGCGATGCTCGTTTAATTCCGTAATGAGCTGGCGATATAGATGGTATATACCCCATAAAGAGAGTTTCATCTTTAGTTTTGTACTCTTAATAGTCACTTACGCGATTGTTTTTTTCCAATCTCCACGTGCTTTTCCAAGTAGTAGCAAATCTCCACCATCTTGATGTCCAAACAAATAGCCCCAAAACAAGCATCATAAGCTGCTGACAAAATGTATGAGCTTCATAATGGAAACTCTCAATTATTGAATTATTATCTACATGAAGAGTATAGCTATTTTGATTTTAACATGAAGGGGAAAAAGTCTATATCACCGAGCTTCTTTCTCTCTATGTGGCGGGCTTTGATGAAAGGATAGCGTCCCGAGGGTATCAGTATCAATGTTACAAAATTGTGACAACAGGCTATGCAATGCTGAAATTGGTCGTGTTTTCTTCTTCTTCTTCTTTTTCCGTTGCCTTGTTTCTTCATCTTTCTTCCAAATTTCTCATGAAAGCGCTGTATCTTAAAGGCCCGGGCCAAGAGCGCTAAACGGGCTCTTGATCATGTCGGGGCTGCGGGGGCTCATAGGCATTGCGAACAGGTCATCCTCAGCGTCGTTGGAGCTAGACTGTAGAGTGGCCGTGTCGCCGCTGAGAGCAGCATCAAGAGATATCGGGCCGGATGGGCGGCTGCGGGAAATGGCCGCGAAGGATGATACGGCAATGTCACCTCCTAGAGGGGATAGCATGTGAGACTGACTATCAGGGCTTGTAAACGTATTTGCTAGGTCAGGGGCACTTTTGTGTTAGTTTTGGATGACGAGCGGCAGAATGACTGAGGAGTGATTTTTCTCTTTTCTCTCTGACGGGTGACTTACCTGCTGGGCTTGGTACCAGATCTGCCGGTGAAGTAGCCAGGCGCAAGCCCTTAAGCTTGTCACCAAGACGTCCAGAGACGGGGGAGCGAGGACTGGTAGGAGCAGGTGCTGCGGGAGCACGTAAGAAGTTGTCAACGATCCACTGCTTCTCTGCCAGAGCCATCTCAAGGCCTACACTCTCAGCGTTTGCCCTCATCTCGGCTTCCATCTCTAGCTCGAGCTCCCTTAGGCGCTTCTTGGCCCATATCGTATGCAACACGCCTCGAGGACCAGATTCCGCCTGGAAATGCTCCGGGAATATGGCCGGCAGCGGCTTGAGAACCAAACTGGCCCGCCCAGGGCGCGCAATAGTTACCGTTGCCGGCACCTGCGCTTCAGGAGGCAGCATGAAGTAGACACGGCGTCGTTCGTCGTTCTCATCGGTATCTCTGGCGGGAAGGAAGGTAGACTTGCCCGGCCACGAGACCTCCCAGACAGCGGCATTAGCGACAGGATTGGATGGTACCCGGGGTGGCGCAGCCGATGCATTATCAACAGCATCGCCAGCGGTAGTGTTCGTATCTTGGCTGGGCAAGCCGGAGGCCGTGGTCGTAGCGGCTCCAGGATACCACTCGACCATTAAGATCTTGGTGCCGCGGTCGCTGAACTCGAACCGAGCTAGATGCGTGGCAACGGGAGCTGTGTCCAAGGCTGCGGCGTCAGGGGTGGTGAGAAGCTTATCTTCAGCATCATCCCGGGCGACAACAGCACTGTCGACGGCAGCTGGGGTAGCTGGCTCAAGAGTTGATCCGACAGCCGGCTCGTTAGCAGCAGATTGAAGTCCTTCTTGGTGCTGGTGATCGTGCTGCTCAACTTTATCATGCGCAGGCTCCTTTTGGGACTGACGATCGCGCTCGAGGTCGAGCTCAGCCTCAGCTATAATAGATGGCCGAAGAGGCCCCGATGATGGATCCATGGCGAGAAAGCTTGAGAAATCAGAAAAACAAAGATAAAACTCCGTACGATGGAGGCTCGATTGGCTGGTCCTTTAGTATGTAATAGCAATGTCCGGGGCTCGGTGATTTTCGGATCAGAAGTCGGGGAATCCTTGTTGTTTTCCCTTTTGAATTTCTTTCGTTGTCAAGGTCACAGTAGCTGGTGCATGATCGCTGCTCCAGGTTACAGCCGACTTTTGCGTTGAGCGTATCAAAGCTCTATCAGGCAGAGAGTTCAGACGATGGTTGGATGGCGGCGAGTTGAGCTGAGTTGAATTAAGAAGCTGGCCTGGCTGACATAATTGGAAGAGGGGGCGGGCGGAGCTGTTTCCGTGCGGCGCCACGAGGAAGAACCATCGTTTGCTTTGTGACTTATTTTCAAGAAGAGAACGAGGGTAGCTTTTTTTCTTCTTCTTTAATCTTCAAGATTTGTATTTCTTTTCACCAGATGCTTCGATCGTTTACAACTTGTACTTTCCTCCTTGGCGAGGGACAACACTTTAATACTACCACCAGCGACATTGAATCCTACCAATTCCTGTAGGTACCGGTAGGAGCGCAGAAGCCCCTCTAAAGACCGAGGTCTAGTCCGAGCGAGAGGTTATAAATAGCTCGATTAGTAGTGGAGGGGACTCTGTAAATAGCACCAGACTCAGTTAAGGGACTGCTGGAGCTAGTAGCTGTGGGCAATGCGACTCGGTCGCTCCATCTTGCCGTTAGCTGCGTATTCTGCGCGGGTTGTGATTTATTACCTGCAGCACAGCATTAAGTTGAGTGCATTTGATATTGAGAATGCCTTCATATCCTCGTACTCTAATGGTGATATGTTGATGGTGAATGTTTGTTTTTCGCAATCAAGGTTCAATTATGCTTGCTTGTCTGTTTCCCCAGATTCTGTAGCACTGTATACCTTATACATAACCACTTGACATCCATCTAGCTCATACCAAGTACCTACTACTAGGTTCATGTAAGGACTCTACTTTCATCTCTCTTTACAATACTACTAAGCTACCGCTTGCTCAGCCTGTTTACTTGATGTCAACTCTCCAACATCTTCCAAAAGCAAGCGCAAGCAGAGGGAGGGAAAATGCCCAGGAAATACCGGCTTTAACAATTCTCGGCTCGTTCGGTGGAGTTGATACCACCATGGCGGGAAGCGAAGTTGTTTAATTTGCTGACGTCTAAACTATGCCTGCTCATGCCCGGGCGTATTTCAACCGAGTAGGCGCAGATGGCGAAGCTGGGGCAAATATTGAATTTTTTCATAGTTTTTTCTTCACAACATGCCAAAAATTCTCCTCCCCATAGCTCCCGCAGGTTCAGCATAAGGTGCTTAAGGTAATGTCTATGCTTAATACAGTATCCGGCGCCGGCTTGACAGGCTACACCACCATGATACTTGCTTGGTATAAGTGTCTTGCATGCTTTTATATTTCGATCTGCAGTTCTAATAGCGAAGGAAGCGAAAAAGTACGGAAGCAGCAGTATGGAAGACATGTCCCACTAATTGCTTTTCATTTCAATCAATGAACTCGCTCTTCACTTGAGCATCGCCTTAGCAAATAATCCTGTATTCCCTCATTTAAAAAATTGAACGCCCCATTCACGGACATTCTCTTCGTGTCCTCCACAACACTATTAGGTAGGCACTCAATAACATGGAAAAGTGCCGTAGCTGGTCCCATCTAGGTAGATTAGAAGTGTAGAGATGCATTCACTCAGCTGTGATAGGGCCCCGCAGCAGTAGTAGTACCTAGGTAGCAGTGATTAGTGTCTACTCCATACATAATCTTATTAATCTTCTCTGATGGTAATTTTGTCTGGCAATCAAAATAAGAGCCCTTGGCAGCTCTGTCAGCGCTGGACGTAACAAGGCTAGTAGCTGATGATGTTGCCCGACCAAGGCCAATTGTGGAAGTTAGCAAAGAGAATATATTATACAGAAGAGGCTAATGAGATGATAGAAATTAGACCCTGTTGAATAGTTGATGCTTAGCATTTCAAGCTTTGCATCTTGCTGCCCAGCGGCATTAGAAGCCAGGCAGCTCGACAAATCAAGCATCCAATGACAGATGCAAGAGGTGCTCGGCATCGTCGCCTGTCCTTGTGACACTCGACTCACGGCAGCGGTCCCTGGTCCCATGCAGAACCGAGCGTCTTTTTCTGTTGCCACTCGTATTGGGTGCTGCGAGTGGGCAGTTCAAGAAGGATAGAATGGAAGCAACTGTTTGTTACATGCTTTTCTACGAGTAATGCACAATCTGGAGTAATTAGCAGTGATAGTGTCTGATGGGACCAGCCCCTCCCTCATGGCTATTTACGGATAATGTTGCCGTGGCTCGTTCTTTGTTCTCTTTTTATCACGACAGCCACGCTGCGGTGACATGTGCAAAGTTTGGATACATCGTATAAGGTACTTGAGACACGAGCGATGCACCTGCTGCCCTTCATGTAGCTCCTCCCACGTGATGCTGTCTGATGCCCGTCCGCCATAGACTGGCATGGCGAGATTCATGCTGTCAGGCGAGTGTCGTCTCATGAATTCTCAAGTGGCATGGATGATCAGACTTGGCAGAATTGTGACAGTGTCCCACTACCGGTGGCATCTCAGCTCTGCCGCTAAAAGGAAGAAAAAGAAGAACAGACAGCGAGCAGGCACACCTCCACGGCTTGGTCAAAGTTTCTTCCGCCAGGGGCCTCCCCCCAAATGCAGGCGCATCTCCGCTTTATCGCTAGCAGCACGGCTCAGATCCGCCTCTGGCCAATGGCATGACGCAAGTTCCTCTTTTTCCGGTCCTCGTCTAGGCCCCTTCGGGCTAGACCAGCGCTAGACTCGAAACCTACCGTGTCACTGAATTGCCGTGCTGCTCGCCAGGTTTTTTGGCGCCGGTTTCTTTGCTCTAGCGCTGTGTCGACCGCTGCAGCTCAGCGGCCGTGGTGGTCTCTGCCCTCTGGTCGCCCAGCAATCCGCAGCGCCTGTTTCGCTTCTGGCTCGCCATCTCCATTTCCATCTCCATCTCCATCTCGCGATCTCAGCGCTCCTCCTTGCATCAAATCTCAAAGCGTCCTCCGCGTGCCGGATTGCACTTCCAGACGGCCAATTCGACCCCGACGCCGCCACATCGCTCGTTGAACCCACAATTCGGCCAGCTCCTCTCGCCATCTCTCTAGACGCTAATACCAAGGAAAGACGAACGACGAAAAACAAACCATTGCCGATTTTGTGTGTTTCGGCTCCCAGCTCGCCTCCTCTTGGCGACGCCTTTCTTCCCGACCGGCCGATTTTGAGGCTTCATCGCGGTCGATCGGGGGAAGTCGCCGACAGGTGCCGTCTACGGCCATTTCGAGCTGTTTCGTTTTGAGAGCTGCTCCTGGCTTCCCAGTTTGATCATCATCGCCGTAGTACCGCCCACCAGACGCCAACCTTGCCGCCATCGCGATGGATCCTCCCAACAAAAGAGGCTCTGCTTTCCGCAGGAAACCGATTAGAAGTCAATCTTCGGGGCTGTCTGACGAAGACGGTAGCGACAACGAAAATTTCGACTTGGCTGCGGCCACCGTGTCCGACGGCTTTCGACCAACACATCCATCACCAACCGACAGTTCATCAGTATTCTCGACGACAAACAATCCCACCAGTGCCTCGGCCGCCTCTTCGCAAGCTCGATTGCTGTCACAAAGCCCAACCCACGAACAGGCGCCGACTTCCAGCCTCTCCAAGCCTTCGGCATCTGGATCTGCCCGCCCATCAAGCGCAGTCAAGCCTCCACGGCCTCATGATTCACTCACACTCCGTAGCGATGGTGCAAACCCTCTTCAAACCGACCCGTCATTATCGTCAGCGCTGGCGTCGCACACAGATGCTCCGCGGATACGGCCTCAGAGCCCTTATCGAGGCCCCACTGGTCCTTCGCACCCGTATCAGATGTATCCGCAGAGAACACTGAGCAACGGTACGGCTTCTGCCGATCAAGCTACAAGGCGCGGCCCTGCGCATCCATATGCCCTCTACCCGCAAAACACCGTCACCAGCGGCGACGAGACGCCTAGTCAGATACCCATTGGCTTTTCGACATCTGGCGATGGTTATCAAAGGCAAATCGGCCCAGACGGAGAAGACGTAGGAGGCTTGGTTGGACCTTTGGGGCATACCGAAGAACTGCCTCCTTATACGAGATACCCCGACCAGGCTGTTGTCCGAAAGGCTACCCCCACTGCAGCTGTGCTGCCAGAGGATGGCGCATCCAACAACCCAGATCAAACCGATACTGGAGCCGGAGGAATTGGGGTAGCGACGCGGAATCCAGAGTTTTCATCTACAGAGGAAGACCTTCAGCCATCACAATCTAGACCATCCACTCGCAGCCATCACGACATCAACACTGCTGCACAAAACCAGGCAGAGAAGCCTCAGATGAGCAAATGGCAGCGTAGGGCAAAGAAGAAGCTCTGGGGCATCGTGCCGTATTGGGCAATATGCCTACTCATTATAGGTGTTGTTCTCGTTGGCGTCATATTGGGTGCTGTCATAGGGACGGTTTTCACGCACCATAGATCGCAAAATTTCGGCTCAAGGTATGTCTCACTTTGCCTTTGGATTTCATTTGGCTTCTCAATATTTATTGACTTCTATGAGCAGTTATCCCCCGCCGTTTCCAACACCCACGTCTGATGTTATACCATTACCAGATGTCCCTCCACGTCTGCCTCATTTACCTACTGGCACATATGAACTGCCACTTCTGATTCCTAACCAATCGCCCAAGGGTTGCCTCAACGATACAAGACAAAGTGCTGCTTGGAACTGTAACATACCTACTAGCTACTATGAAATGAAGCTCGGCAACATGTCAAATGAAAAAGCGACTGCATGTTATAATCTCTCTCTCAAGCCTGTCAGTCTTGTCGATTCCCGGTTTCTCTGGGGTGCACAGCCTCCCAATATCGATGGTGAAACCTTGACACTTGTCAACGACACATCTGAGCCTCGCCGTGGACCGGCGTGGTGGCTCAAGGTTACCTATGACAAGATAGTCGTGGTCGCTCAGGATGCTTTCCCCCCTCCCTCCACGACCAAACGTTGGGACAACATGGGCAGGCCATTTGACGATTATGATGTAATCCGAACAAAAAAATCACTTGGAGCTCAAAACGGCGATAAACCCTGGATATGTACCTGGCCTGGTACGACACTCGAGGTTTTCATCTACCCCATCCAGAATTCCAGTGTCGGAGCCAATCCAACTTCAGGTACAGCGACATCATCAGCGGCCTCTTCGACGAACTCTGTGCCCAACCCGTATGCAGCTGAGGGGTTATTCCCCTACCCCAGAAGCGTCAAGCTTATAGAGAAACGAGATGCCAGCAACACTCCTAGACCATTCTGTCGCCAAGTTCAGGTCGTCGATAATGGGCGTGGCATAGCGAATGTGACGGATAATTCTGGGAACCCCGTTCAAATACAGATCAATGAGAACTACGACTCGGACGACGATCAGCAGACATCCCAAAATAACCGCTCGCTCCGGAAGAAGTGGGATCAATCTTGGAACTCTCAGAAAATGGAGCAGTTGACGCCTTGCGGCTGTCTTTGGTCGTCTTGATATCCCATCTGTCCTGTCTTCCTGCCAGCACATAGAGGATGTTCGGCCTTTTTCTATTCTCTCTGTTTTATCTATGGCGCTATAAACTCTGCTTGGGCTTCTTTGATTACGGCGTTTTGGCAAAGATACTTGGGTTTGGGCTGATGTGAATTTCTCGCCCCTTTTCTTCATCATATACAAAAGGGAGGCTCTCTTTCCTTTATTCAAAGGCGTTAGACTTGTATTAATCTTATCTGCATGTTGTGACAGCTATTGTTCATACGGCGTTGGGGACTTTCTCTTTTTCTAGCGCTTTTACACATCTGCGGCCTATGAGCCCAGCGCGCGCTTTCCTCTGCTCCTCTTGAGCCCAATTATCTTCTTGTCTTAGGGGAACGGGGAGGATGATTTGTATTTTTTTTGTTGCCATTTTCCTGGTAGTAGAGCGCCACGTTTCTTCCGGCGAAGAGTTGATGTATTATTGGGTCGGCTTGAAACCGATCCGAGGCGAATGTCATGTGTTATTTTCATGTTTGGGGAGAAAATGTTTACGAATGGAGATGATATCATAGCTAGTTAGGCAATAGACTTGCTGATTGGAAAAGAGATGGAGAAATAAGAAAGACTGTTGTTTACGTGCTTTTGAGTGCCCTCCGCGGTGATGTAGAACTATCTACGTTTTTCTTCCTTTCGAGTGTGTTAATATTAAATGATCAGTTGGATGAATATACTCCGCGAGTCTAGGGTGTTTTTGTTGCTCCCCAATTACGCTTGGTAGCTTTCCATGGGATAATGTTTGATACTTAAAGTTGAATCTATTCAATTCATAAGATACGCTAGACAGGCCAGAAGTCGAGTAAGAATAGACGGCAAATCGTACATGATGAGAATCGAAAGAAAACGCCTGCTCTTAACCTGTCCCAAGTACATTCCCAAATAACGCCCATGCATATATCCTCCCAAATTTTCCCTACAAAACACTAAAAAGCAACCGTTCAAAATGTAGTGTGGCCGAGATGTCTAACACACGATCTATACATTTTTCCAGAATCCGCATACATCAAATCACTACCAGCATCGCCCGAAGACAAGAGTCAAGTAGCCACGGGCTGCACAGCAGGAGCAGCTGTCTCCCCCGTCGTTGAGCGAATCTCATCGCCGACGATGTCCTTTCTCCCGTCGCGGAAGTCTCGCATCAGCGATAGGAAGATTGAGTTTTGCCATTTCTCGCCGCTCTCGTGCTTGACGCAGTCGAGTAGCTTCTCGGCAGCTTCGGCGACGGCAGACTTGGGGTGCTGGACATCTACCTGTTCTCTTTCCGGCTCTGGCTCTTGGAATTGCTCTAGGACGGGTTCCGGCTGGGCTTCTAGCACTCTCGCGTCGTCGTTGAGCGCCAGGTTTTCGATTTCGGGAGTGTCGAGATCCGTTAGCCGAGAGGCCTTGACTGCCGCGGCTATTGCTTCGGTCTCCTCCAGCTCGAGGGCCATTTGCTCCATGGCAGCGTCCACTTCCTTCATATTGCCGCCTCCGTGAGCGGACATCCAGCGGGACATTTCCTGGTCAAATTCTGGCTCCTTCGCGGCGGCAGCTGGAGGGCTGAACATGGACGGCGCAAACGCGGACGCAAAGTTTGGCTGTGAAAAGGTAGGCTGGAAGGTCGTCTGAGCTGGAGAGTGGTTCATTTGACGGGATGCGGCTATAGTCATCGGAGCAGGCGACCGTTGCTGCGTCGTGAAGCGGTTGAAGTCGGCGGCCCAGCTATTCCCGCCTGCCATGGGCGCTGCCATCTGCTGCATGGGACTCGAGAAGCTGGGAGGAGCTGCTACGTGTGCTGGTGCGACTTGTGCAAAGGGAAGCGACGGCGTCAGTCTGGTCGTGGGATCGCTCTCGAAGCCGGGCAGGGCAGAGGCGCCGCCCATGAAGGCGCCAAAGTCATTTTGCTGGCCCTGGGTGGGATGCAGCGGTGAGGAGCGGAAAGCCTGTGACTTGAATAATGGAGAATGTTAGCACCGAATATTGCGACGCGAGTTTGAGCCTCGTCGCGCAAAAGCGACGGATGGGAGAGAGAATGCGTACGTTCTGGCCAAACGCCCCTCGGCTCACATGTCTGTCTTGGTGGTGGCTGAGGTCGCGAGACTGGTGGTCGACGAGGCGCTTGAAGGGCGTAGAGCCGCTGCAGGAAGCGTCCTCCATGGTTGCTGAGTTATAAAAGGCGGGAGAGAATCTTTTTCTGAGCGATAAAGATTGAAAGAAGACGTGAAGAGTGGTAAGAGAAGGAAATACTGTAAGACGTGGTTAGGTGGTATAGTCGAAGCTTATGACATACGACGAATTATAGAGGGGCCCGGCTGGCAATAGCCTCGGCGAAACCGGGGGTGGCGGACCTGGACCGGCGGCAACTGGAACTTGTGTAAGCCGGAAGCTGTTACTTTGAGCGGCTTGGATGGAAAAATATGTATATTTGAATGAGCTAATATATGAAGAGGAGAAGAATGAACGATTTTTTCCGATTGTGCTGAGCTTGTAGTTGTCAATGAAGAATGAATTATGCAGTTGGCCGTTGAATGGACCGAGGTGCAAACGCAGGTACCGATGCCAGTCCGTACTGCGCTTGTGATGGAAATGGTTTAACGCCCATGTGACTTGGGCTGCCAAATCTGGAGAAGAGCATTACTTAATGAGTCTTACATAATGCTTCCTATTGGGGACGGCAAGCTTTCCAGTGTCAAGCTGCTCCACATTGTGGCGTGAAAAGCCATCGGAGCCTTTAAGCTCATACAAGACGACAGCTGAGTCAAGTGGTACAGAAAGCTACGTCAGATGAAAATAACGGCATTGATTGGGCGTAGATCGGTGACACATAGACATGGCAAGAGCCGGACTATGAGCGCATAGCATGTCTCAGCTGGAGAGCAGCATCGAAACTACCGCCTCGATCTTCTTCGTACTGTACTGGTTTGCGGATAGGTACTTGCTTCCCTGTGGCACCTGTTAGACCCTTGCTTCTGGGGCGGGGAAGCCGGCTGCGACTAAAGGAGACAGGGGTCACAGCCGCCCATCATCTCAGGAGCTTACATGTAGACAGCGAAATCAGGCCGAAACAGCGCTATAGACTTGGCGACGTTGACTTCAGATTCTCAGCTCTTGAATATGAGAGCGGTCGATATGGAGGTGGAATGTTGAAATTGGAAGCTGCTCTTTTCTTTCGTCAATAAGCCTATGTGTTGCAAGTGGTTGTCCATGCATGCATGACATTCTAGTATTGCCGGAAGCGGTAGGTATGTGGCAGGTTTGCCACGCAGAATTACCTCTAGGAACTTATGCACATATTAATACAGCCTGAAGATGAGGATTTGCGATTGATTGATTCAATTCATTCAGCGAAAGTCCGGAGACGTGAATTGAAATGGATGATCTCTACTTGGTGCTTTTTTGCCATTGCGCTAATGCTGGCTGGCACTTGACTGCCGTATCCACACGCGGGATCAAGGCAGTTGACGGGAATTGCATGTATCGGACACGAGGCACGCGACAGCCCGATGGCAGCAAGAAAAGCCCGGGTCTTTGCCTGTTGAACTCGGATTCGAAGCTTGGCAGAAAGGGAAAAAAAAAAGGTATTGAAGATATTTCGTACTCGTACCTAGTTCCGTCTGTAGAGCCACATCACATGCACAATTTTAGATGCTACTGCTGCCAAGACTTTGGGGCCAATATAACAGGCCGACGATGCGCTTTTACTAACATTGACCAATATTGGATTTCCCCGTTTGAGCCTAACATTGGCAATACTCGCAATAGTAATGACCTACCTACCTACCTAGTGCTTGTACTCGCAGTGTTACCCCCTACTTACCAGCACGTATGTAAGCATGAATAACATGAATAGCCGTGGCCGGCACGGATATTGTAGAAGCGCGGCATGAGGCTAGAAGACGCTGTGCTGGTACCATTTCGCCTGAATTGCGCTGCTATATGAAGCCACCACCACCGCATCACAACGTGCACCAGAGACAGCAAGGCGCGCGCGCTGAGAGACCGACGCACCAGTTACAAGGACTGTAGAGGTGCCTTGCGTTTCGCATAGTGGTTGGCTGGAGCACTTGATGCGCCAGAGCTCCAATCGGTACCTGCGACGCAGAGAGCGACCAAGTACCGCCTGGCCCTTCCCCTGAGAAGCCTAAGCCCAATGGCTCCAGGGGCTGGGGACCCTGCTGGAGACACCCCCAGAGCCCGGTGACCGCCCTTGAGGCCACAGGCTGATCCCTAAACTGGAACCTCCACCGCTGGAGCTGCTAGCAATGCCAACTCTCCACCCCCCCTTGCAACTCTGCGCGAATGTGTCAAGCCGTGTCTGCTCATCAATTACGGATACGGCAGCGCGTTCGTCCTCGCAACTCTCTTCCAAGGTGTGGCCCAATTTTGTCCCCGATTCACAGCACAACTCACGCTCATTCTAGCGGCGCTCGGGCGGAGAGACTCAGCCGATGACACGCGAGTGGACACTCCGCTGAACCCCCAGAAGAGGCCAACCAGATCCCGGGCATGGGCATGGCATGGGCACGAGCCTTGGTAACAGAAAAGTTGTGAACCCCGTCTGGACGCCCCTTCATTACTGCGACTATGTCCTCCAACCGCTCTCCAAGCCCGCCGCCAGCTTCTCAACCTCAACCTCAACCTCACCCTCACCCTCACCCCCAATTCCAATTTACATCTCCGGTCGATTATTCAACACGCCCTCGACGCCGATCCTCCATTACCATCGACACAGTCTCCACCGAGCCCTTCCCCGATTTCTCTCGATCTGCCGCCGCCGCCTTAGCTGAGGGTGAAGGAGAGGGCGCATCCACGAGCACGTTTATACTGGGCTCGCCATATGCTCTCACGGGCGCCATTTCTGCATCAGTGGCTTCCTCGCGGGCTGGTGGACGACCCGACGACAGTACAAACATCGAGATGGAGCCCATTGTAGGACACAGAAGACGGAAGAGCGCGGCCATGAACTCCCCTGGCCTGCCTCAGGCCGCCCCAGGGAGGCCAATTGCTGGTGGTAGTGGCAGGACACACCTTTCGGCCAACCCATCCGACCTAGACGACTTTGAGGAAAACGGAGGGAGCAGCAGCACATCAATCGGCTCCGGAAATGACGACGAGGCGAGAGGCAGACCCAGCTTCAGCGACGACGATTTACACAGCGATGAGGAGACGGGGCTCAGCAACAAGGAGCGCGCCCGGAGGCAGAAGAAGCGCCAAAGGATCACTCAGCTGGGGCAGCGCATAGTGCGCGACAAGAGTCTGTCGTCAGAGGAGCGCCAGGAGGCGGACAAGGACGTCGTCAGGAAACTGCTCGTTAACATGTTTTTGATTCTACTGTGGTACTTTTTCTCGCTGTCAATTTCACTGGTAAGTTGATTGCACCCAAGAATGCGCTGCGGTTTGCACGACGTTTTTCTCTCCTTTTATATCTGACACAATCGTCTCGCAGTACAACAAATGGATGTTCGATAAAGACCGTCTCAACTTTTCCTTTCCTCTTTTTACCACATCACTGCATATGGTGGTGCAATTCCTTCTCTCAGCCTTGGTTCTCTATTTTGTACCATCGCTGCGGCCACAGCGATCCCACGCATCTGACATGGGCAGATCTCGACATGAGACGGAAGCAAACGGCGCCTCCATGTCAAAGATGTTTTACCTGACGAGAGTTGGACCCTGCGGTGCAGCCACTGGCCTGGATATTGGCTTGGGCAACACCTCGCTCAAGTTTATCAGTTTGACATTTTACAGTAAGTGAATATATCATTTCTGGTTACGTATCGCCACAATATCGCAGCCTCTAACGCTTTCTAGCCATGTGCAAATCATCCTCTCTTGCATTTGTTCTTCTATTCGCTTTCGCATTCCGCCTCGAAAAACCTACCTGGCGCCTCGTGGCCATCATTGCTACCATGACGCTGGGTGTCATCCTCATGGTTTTCGGCGAGGTCGAGTTCAAGCTTGGCGGCTTCCTTCTCGTCATTACAGCAGCCTTCTTTTCCGGCTTCCGCTGGGGTCTCACGCAGATGCTGCTTCTCCGCAACCCTGCCACTTCTAACCCCTTCTCTAGCATTTTCTACCTCACGCCAGTCATGTTTCTAACTCTTATTTCCATTGCGATTCCCGTCGAAGGTTTTGGTCCCTTGTGGGAGGGATTGAAGACTCTTAGCCAGGAATGGGGTCCTTTTATGACACCTCTGTTCCTTCTTTTCCCCGGATGTATCGCCTTTCTGATGACAGCGTCCGAGTTCGCCTTGCTGCAGCGAACGTCTGTTGTCACGCTTTCTATTGCCGGCATCTTTAAAGAGGTCGTCACCATCTCGGCCGCGTCTCTCATCTTCAAGGATAAGCTCACCCTCATCAACTTCATTGGCTTAATCACCACAATGCTGGCAATCGTTGCCTACAACTACATCAAGATTACCAAGATGCGCCAAGACGCCCAAGTGCAAGTCCACGTGCGCGTTACCGACGTCGATGCCGATCTCCCATCATCAAGCGCGAGCGACTTTGAAAACGACAGCTCAGAGGAAACGGCAGGATTACTCCATCAAAACACGGAAAGGGGTGAAGTGCTGTTTCAAGCCGGTAGCCTGCCGCCGCCCACGCCACGGGTTACGAGGGATGAGTCAATGGACTAAAGATTTGAGAAGAGCCGATGAAAAGATAGGACAATCGACTTTTTTTTCCGGGATATACAAGTACTCGTTTAAACCAACTTTACTTGGCGAGACGAATTCTATAACCTCTGTATCGTCTGACAAGACTTCGATTTTTTTTTATGTATTATTTCTCTTGTTTGAGGATAACAAAATCGTTACCGCACAACTTTTCATAACTTTTCACTTTACATCGGAAAGTCTTTGTACTCATCATTTTCAAACATCAACCGGAAAGACATATAAATGGGATGGAATGCATCGGAGCATAGACAGTTTTGTATTTTTGCATTTCTTCCGAGGTAACAATGTTCTTACACACTGTTAAGAAGAGGGAGGAGGAGAGAGATAGAAGGCGTGTGAAAGAGAGACGACTGAGTCGGGATTTCGAAATGAGCATGGATGATGGAAAGCATAGAGAGACGGCTAGAATCAAGGAGTAACAACAACATATACCCATACGACATTTAGAGGTGTATAACTGGGCGAACAAGAATATACATGGTTGACAATTTATTCAAAAAAGAACAAAAAACAATGCTTGTCTGTGCAATTGTACATGTCTTCTACTGCTAGCACTAATTTATATGAAGATATTTCTATGAATGAATGTTTTGTTCTTTATTCACGACTGGGTATGTTCTAATAGCCTCCAACGCCAATATAGAGATGCAGAATAATCACCAGACACCCGACTTCTTGCTACCAACTTTGCGCGACAGAAAGTCATCACTTTTGTCTTAACCTAAGAGTCGCAGACCGTTTTTGGTCTTCTGGCCTGGCTTGGCGATACCCGCGCCTGGCTTGGGACCGAGTTGTGGTTCATAACCCCCAGCATTGGAGTTGTTGTTGTTCCTGTTGTTTTTGTTGTTCTGATAGTTCTTCTTGCCTCCATGTGACTTGTTCTTGACGTTGGTCGCCTTGATCTCCGTATTGGCCTTCTTCACAACGACAGGGTGACTCTGGATATATTTGCCGTGCATCTCCTTGGCAGCCTGGAAGAAATCGTCGGCGTCGCTGAAGCTGACAAAGCCGTAACCTTTGGATTTCGTGGTCCGCTTGTCACGGATGACTCTGGCTTTTTGAACAGACTTCCACCGCGAAAAGGCCTTCAAAAGGGATTCATCTGTGGTCTCTCCCGCCAGGTTTCCGACGAAGAGGCGCAGGTGGGAAGGATCCCATTCCAGCAGTGTGTCGTCCGTCCATTTCTTGCCACCGCCCTCTCGGACAACCGTCTTTGACTTGTCCGGCTGCTGTGCGGCCGCATCTATGCCTTCGGCCTTTGCATACTCCGCCGCCGGGAGTGGTTTGCCGTCCTTATCGACCTGAGGCGCGTAGGCACTTTGCCATTGCGCAATCTGGGCAGCTATGTCCGGGTCATAATCGGTACTGCTCGCGCTCGCGCCCGCATTCGCACTCGGCCCTATACTTGTACTTGCACTTGCACTTATACTTGCACCAGGCGTAGGAAACGGGTTCTGAATACGCGGTGCTGCTTGGTACGACTGTGCCTGATATGGCTGTGCCTGATAAGACTGCGGCTGCGAGTAGGCATGAGGGGCGTAGCTGTGCGGCTGTTGATGGGCGCCGTGCTGCTGATGCTGTTGGGGAAACGAGTATGCCGCCGTAGAGTGGCTCACCCCTGTGGCCGAAGGGCGGCTGGGATAAGCTTGATACGACGAGCCATAATGCGTTGCTGCTGCAGAAGCTGCAGGGGCGGCTGGATAGCTGGGGACGGAGGCTCGCGCAGAGTTGGCATTCGTGTACGACGGCGGTGCGGCAGACTGGCCCTGCGAGTTGAAGCTCGATCTGAACCCGGGCCTCGAGTTGCTGGCGGGAGGTCGCGCGGGAAGATTTGTGCCTGGAGGTGGCGGATGTGACATGATGAACAACCCCGTGATCTTCTTTGAATTTGTATGGGATTCTCGCAGCGGTGGCGGAGAAGAAAACGTACCTTTGAGCAGGCTTGAGCTCAAAGTCCTCGCTATTAAGGAGTTGGTGTCTGGCAAATGTTTTTGATATGCGAATTGATGTTCAACGAAGAAAACAGAACAAAGGTTGTCGCAATTGCGATTTTGCTAGATCTAGAGCGTGGCGTTGATGCAGTTTGTTGATATCGGAGTCTAAAATCCGGCAAGAGAGAATCACATCACGTGATATACACCTGGGCAGAATCTCGCATGGTCATGTGATATGGACGACCTCTTGTTCAATATGCAAGATGTTGCTTTAAAATATTGATATCAGTAAGGCTGGGAATCAACAGCTGCGGTCCTAAGTTTCATTTCGTGATGGCTTCATTTTGTCCTGAAGCTTGCAGGACATTCATACAATCACACAGCGAACCTTGATTGGCTCTGCGCTACTGGAAGTCAAAGAGGGCCACGGCGCCGGTCACGGTCTCGCATCCCATAAACGGGGATCGGCTCTGGAAGACCCGCAGCTTTCGGGCATACTCCAAACTCGGATCGGTGGAGGAACTGAAGAGGAAGTTCTTGAGGATTGATCCAAAGGCTCTGCACAGCAAGCAGTGACATAAGCCATGCAGGTAAGTACATGTATTTGGCTCAGCTCGGTACGCATTACTCATCGCTGGCAAAGTAAGCGGTAATTGAGGCACGCGGGAATTGAGGCACACGGTAAATGAGACAAACAAAACCGACAACGGGCATCAGGCATGAGCCGCCAGACGACGCTGCTATTCGTCGACACGACCGTTTCCCTGGTCCGGGAAATGCCTTCAGCCCTCCGTCGAAGCACTACTGCTAGCATTAATTCCGCAAACCCGCAAAGCCCGCACGAGGTTTATAAGCGGCCCCAACTCGCCCACTTTTTAGGGGAGCTTAACCGCCGTGCTACCTGCATTCGAGAGAAGACGAAAGATGGAAATAGAACGAAGATCGTTTATCCACCGGCCTGTCTTTTGGATGGCGATGATAGGTATGCACGTATTCTGTGCTGCAGAAAGCTTCGTTGATGCTGGAAATGGTCCTCTCAAGTTGTAAAGAAAAGCTATTTCAGCAAAAAGTTTTTCAAGACGTGGCGTAAAAGCCAACGAGGATAATAGTACCCATTAAGTTTTGTTTGCTAACTGCCTTCAATAGTGTGATGTCAGCAAACCCGAAAAGAGAGACATATTATTCATGTGCAAGGCTCTGAGGCTTTAAGGGGTCCTTCCGTAGGATTAAAAGTCGCAGTTGGACCGGGGCTTCTCTATTACTCGCTCGCTGCCGAGCATCGTGGGAGGCACTTCAGGGCCGCATCTGATTGGACGCCCAAAAAATTGGAGAAATCTTCATCAAGTAGCGGGGTACAGGAAGCACCACACTCGGCGCAAAGTACGTGGACAGAAAGGTATGAAGACGCAGAGGCAACTTGTTCCGAAAAGCTTAGGAAGCAACGTATTGGGGCACTAATTGGTGTTGGCAAACACTAATTTGCAGGCGTTGGGATTATGCTCGGGCCGGCTCTGGTTCTGGCGTGAAGCTGCTGAGTTCAAGTATGTGCGTGTATGCTGTTGCTCTCCAAATGAAGCGTATATGAATGTCTGCGCTCAAGCAAGGCGTCAAGCTAATGCATACAAAAGGCTGTATGTAGACATCTGATGGGCCATCGGGCTCTTTCTATGGAACTAGTTGAGCGGCCTCTATCATTTTCAGTGGCTTCTTACATTTTTATGACTTCATACTAGCAGTGCTAGGCATAGTCACAAGTTGCCGGAGTAGGCACTCGGTCCTCTGTTCCCACCTTTCATCAGTCATGGCTCCCCATCGGTGTCTCCCCGTCGGTAGCGCACGTTGTCCGTTGTTTCGGCCCGTGGCTGCAATAGGCATTGGGCTTGTCTGGAGCTTCTAGTCCTAGCAATGCTAAATTACCTCATCCTTCAAGGTGGGATGGCGTAACAAATCCGGTGAGAAATGTTGCGCCTATGCTAATTGACATACAAGGCCAAGTCGTTGGAGAAGTCTGATAAAGTTGCTGGCTAAGAGAAATTTCATGTAAAGTAGCCAAGAATTTTTTGTTTTTCGTGACAGGTGAGTTGCTTTGGAGTATCAGATGAAGGCGATATGAGACGATAAGTGCCTTGGAAAGCAACGCCAAAGTAAAGCCGATTCACATGGGCATGGATGGCTGCTGGGATGCTCATGAGGCAGCCTCATGTTTGAGCTTTCAAAGAGCCTCCAGCATTGAAAAAAAAAGGAGCGCTTCTTGTTCTCCTTTTGTCTGTAGTTTTCCCTTTCCCTTCAACATGTCACTTAGACACACGCTGCCCAAGCGAGAATAAGAGTGACGAAAGCTGAGGCTGAAACGCTTAACGAGTCATCTAGCCCTTCTCCTCGTCCGTCCTCCTGGCATCACCACTGACAAAGCGCCGTGCTTTGTGTTAAGCGATGCGTGCAGGTACTTGTGTCTCGCGATCCCTTGTATTACATGCCAGATTATCAAATTCTCCCTAATCGATGGTGTTCCCAACCCGAGGCAGCCGGACACGGGAGAGCAAGTGGTGGGGCTAGAGAAGGCATGCGCGCTCATAACAGAGTGCCGTCATTGTCCCGATCCAGCTATCGGTGGTGAGTCCGCCACAGTAATCAGCAAAATGGAGATGGCATGGGATGGGATGCTCCGTCGAGCGGCAGTGGCCCGGACGGCGCTGGGCATCCAAGAATGCGGAATTTCCCACAGTGGCCCGGGAGCGTGGGATGCGCTTGAAGGAGGCTACCGCTGTCGAAGAGCAGTACCACCATGTACATGCACCCGGCTAGATATGACAGCGTCTGTAGCGTCTGCGAGTTGAATGCCTCAAACTTAGAAGAAGAAAGCCTCGAGTCTCGGATTCAGAAGCTTCAACGTTATTTCTGATAAAACACGGGTTAGCGCTGTAGGCTGCGTTAGAGGTAGACGAGCTCGACGAGTCCCTAAAATCCCTAAAAGCCTCGCAGCAAGGCGGCGAAACGGCAAGATGACGATGCGCCGCCTCGCGCCAATCACCGCCAGGCCGCCCGCTTTTCTGGGGCCCTCCGGGACTTGCGTGCACCAAAACCTCGTTCCAGGTCGCCCATGGATCTTTTTTGGGCTGCTGGGCGTTGCTGGGCGCTCAGCCGGCCCATCTGCGTTCCCACTATATTTACTTGCTCCGTCCCTCCCAGCCTGCGGAAACGTTGCTTCTCTTCTCTCCTTTCTTCTCCAACTCGCAATTCCTGATTGTTGATCTGGCGATAGCTTCGCTTGTCTAATCTATTCTCCCGTCTTTGCTCTACCAAATCACACAACATGTCTGGCCCTGTGTAAGTCAACTTCTCCTGCGCTGCTATTGGGACAAAGGACGGAAGCTTTTCTACCCCTCCCTCGCCTTTTTGCTGCCAGCTTTCTACCCCACCACCCCGCCTGAAAAGCCCAACCGATTACTGCTCGATGACCTCAATTCCCGCACTGAGCCGGCGGCATCGTGGGCTTTGTGTGGTGTTGAGCTCGAGCCGTGGCCATGATGGAGGCAAAGTGCTGGTGATTGACCAGTGGTTGTTGCGGTAGAAGCAGTGACGGTATTGGTGCTTGGCGAGCACCTCTTCTCACTTGTTTCCGCTCTACTTCCACCTCTCTCCATCCACCTCTCTCTTCTTCCCCAAGCTTCTGCATTCTCCCGTTTTTCTTCTTCTCTATTCTGCACCCTACTCATGCATGAGGTAGCGCTCGCCTCGCCAACATCAAGCTTGGCGGTGCCTCGCAACCTGATTCCTCTTCTCCAGCCGATGCTTCGAAGAATGCTAACATTGTGCCAAGCGCGGATCTGGGCCTTATCGGCCTTGCTGTCATGTAAGTTGCAATATCCAAACCCGAGCTATCGAAAAATGGCCTCAATTGCTGACATCCGGTGCTACAGGGGACAGAACTTGATTCTCAACATGGCTGACAACGGCTTCACCGTCTGCGCTTACAACCGAACCGTTTCCAAGGTCGATGCCTTCCTCGAAAACGAGGCCAAGGGCAAGTCCGTTGTCGGCGCCCACAACGACAAGGAGTTCATCGCCAGCCTCAAGTCCCCCCGCCGTGTCATGCTGCTCGTCCAGGCCGGAAAGGCCGTCGATGAGTGGATTGACAGACTTCTGCCCCTCCTGGAGAAGGGAGACATCATCATTGACGGTGGTAACTCTCACTTCCCCGACTCTAACCGCCGCACCAAGGAGCTGAGCGCCAAGGGCATCCGCTTTGTCGGCTCCGGTGTTTCCGGAGGTGAGGAGGGTGCCCGGTTCGGCCCCTCTCTGATGCCCGGTGGTAACGAGGAGGCCTGGCCCTACATCAAGGATATCTTCCAGGCCATTGCTGCCAAGAGCGACGGCGAGGCCTGCTGTGAGTGGGTCGGCGACGAAGGTGCTGGTCACTACGTCAAGATGGTCCACAACGGTATTGAGTACGGTGACATGCAGCTCATTTGCGAGGTAAGCTCAGTCCTTGGTTCAAATTTACGTCTTATCGCTGGTGTGGATTTAAAAGCTAACAGTAAGCTTGTGCATAGGCCTACGACATCATGAAGCGTGGTCTCGGACTTTCCAGCAAGGAGATTGGTGACGTCTTTGGTGAGTGGAACAAGGGCGTTCTCGACTCTTTCCTGATTGAGATCACCCGTGATATCCTCTACTTCAACGACGACGATGGCACTGCCCTCGTTGAGAAGATTCTCGACAAGGCCGGCCAGAAGGGTACCGGAAAGTGGACTGCCATCAACGCTCTCGACCTCGGTATGCCCGTTACCTTGATTGCCGAGGCTGTCCTGGCTCGATGCTTGTCCGGCATCAAGGATGAGCGTTCTGAGGCCTCCACCAAGCTCCGATATGTTTCTCGTGGCAGCGGCAAGTTTGAGGGTGACAAGAAGCAGTTCCTTGAGGACCTCGAGCAGGCTCTGTATGCTTCCAAGATCATCTCATACGCCCAGGGCTTCATGCTCATGCAAGAGGTAAGAAGAAACCACACATGACTATATTCCACTAAGAAACTGGGGCGTGTAACTAATAAGCTTTTTTTTTTCTTCTAGGCTGCCCGTGAGTTCCACTGGAAGCTCAACAAGCCCTCCATCGCCCTCATGTGGCGTGGTGGCTGCATTATTCGATCTGTTTTCCTCAAGGACATCACCTCTGCTTACCGCAACGAGCCTGACCTGAAGAACCTGCTCTTCGACAACTTCTTCAACGACGCCATCCACAAGGCCCAGCCCGGCTGGAGAGCCGTTGTTGCCCAGGCTGCTGAGCTTGGTATCCCCACCCCTGCCTTCTCCACTGCCCTGTCCTGGTTCGACGGATACCGCACCAAGGACCTGCCCGCCAACCTGCTGCAGGCCCAGCGTGACTACTTTGGTGCTCACACTTTCCACATCAAGCCTGAGCATGCTTCAGCCAAGTATGAGGTTGGCAAGGACATTCACGTCAACTGGACTGGCCGCGGTGGTAACGTCTCTGCTTCAACATACCAGGCATAAGGGAGTGGTGCTTGGAGCGGGGCTGAAAAATCTATAAGTTGGGTATGAATAGCAATGATAATGTTATATAAAATGGGATAATTAGGTTTGCAGTGCGAAATTTCAAAATAGTAAAAGTTAGCTAGCTGGAGTCAACACTTGCTTGTGATGTATTCAAAAGTGTAGATGCGTAGTGACGTTTCATCCCAGCTACGGGGTACAAAATATGTCTCCTCAGCCAATACAGCTCTCAGAGAACTGCAACGAGGGTCATCTTTGCGAGACATGAAGCAGAGAAAGGAATAACAACCAGATAAAGCTATTACTGCGCACAAGCATTTCTTTGAACCATTAATCTATTAGCTGTAGCATATACAGTAATTGCTATTGAGATGATACCTCTAGTAGGAATAGTAATAGGGACGGACCTACTAATAGTACCTTAGAACTTGTCTTACTGTCTTACTGGCCGCGATAACATCCAGGCTTATGGGCCCACTTTAACAGCCAATCCTGATCTGCCATTCGCCGCAACTCTCCTGCAGCCTCGTCGCGACAAATTTGGGCTCGCGCGACGCAACGACAGCCGCACCCTCTGCAACTCGCATCGCCCAGATCCTGGACATTGCGTTTCCGCATCAACTCCATCCATCGGCTCGCTCCGTCCGCCTGACGCGCGCCTTGCACCCGAATCATATCGCTCGGCTCAATTCCCTCGCAGTCGCTCCCCGGCGCTTTGGATGCTTGGGGCTGCCAGACTCAACAAACAACCCTTGTCGCCATTCCCACTGCTGTAAAAGGTCACCAGAGAGGCTGCGCTGCCGACAGCAGCCAACATGGCGCAACCAAACCCTAGCCACAGCGTCCCCCAGGACCTTGTGAGTCCCCAGCCAAGTTTTTTTCTTGTCCCGAGCTGTCGCTAATCAAGCGGGATAGATGCCACATGTCCATCTAATCTCATCGTACCGATACCCAGCGATCCCCCGGCTCGATTTCAACGAAGTCGCCAAGTGGCTGATAAACGCCCCTCAAATCGCGAGAGACCAGGCGCCCTTCTTCTGGACATACCTCGATAAGCCCGCCGACGGCACCATTTTACTGACGTGGCAGCCTTTATCGAGGCTGGGGACCAATTTCGCGACAGATGGCTTCGTCTGGGCGCCCCCAGAGCAGATCTACAAGCATGACCTGGGCAACGGACTGGTTTGTTTGACCAGCTAACCCCCCAAAATAAAATGAACACACACTGACTGTTTGCATGTCTAGATGCTTGAGATATACTACCTCAAAGCAGGTTACATCCCTGGCGAGCAATTCACTCTCCACGCTCGAAGACGGTTCCGACTCGTGCCTGTCGCTGGACACCCCAACCCTCCGCAGCCGGATCCAAACTTGTTCATTGTGCACTATGGCCCTGCGGAAATGAACGATCGCGTCCCTGTTGCCATGATCCCATACGACGAGAGGGTCAATGCCATCATGCAGCAGCGCCATTTTCTTCAGAGAGCTGGCCAGATTCGCCGGAAAGAATTTATGTTATCTGACCGGGTTAACTGGCCCTCACTACCGGAGCTCACTCGCCAACAGCTAGGGCCCCAGATGAATCCCCGTGGTGTACCTCAGCAGATGGCATACCCAGCCCAACCCCCGCCGCCTGGGCCTCCCTCAAAGAGAGCCCGCCATGGACAGAATCAAGCCCAACAAGCGGCATTACCGCCGGGAATGCCACCAGTCGATGCGGCCTTTGATGACGATGAAGACATTTCGAGGGGAGACATGTTTGATCACTTGACCCCGCGAGAGATTTCAATGAGCCGTTACCAGCAAAATCACGAGTGGATGGAGGAGATTCTGTCATCTGCGTACAGAATAGGTCAGATTACACCCGCAGATCTCGGTTTGGGTCTCAAGGGGGAGCTGGCATCCCTGACAGAGGGTATTTTCACTGCCCAAGGAGGCGAAGCATCCAGCCAGGCTCCCGAAAAGGCCTATGTCGGACGTCTGGACCCCGGCCAAGCTGACGAATTCCGCAAGCGGGTCGACAAATACGTTTCTACGACACACGATGAAATCAAAAAGATGGAACAAGAACATCGCGAAACAATGGCTGCGTTCAAGGAAAATTCCATTCTGAAGATCAAGGAGCGGGAACTCAGAGCCGTTGTGGATGGCGCCAAACACGAAAGCCGACCTCATTCGGATGAAGAGCCCGTAGGTCGCCAAGTCTCTAAACACTCAGTCGAAGAAATAGCACAGCAGGTAGAGTCGGCATCAGGTCGGAAAATTGTCAGCTTGCCGCTCTCTAAGCGGATTCAAGATGGTGGTTTTCAGGCTCCTCCTCCTGAACCGGTAGCACCGGGCTCAACTGCAGAGCTCTCCCGACAGCCATCTCGAGCGGGATCTCAAGCAAGCGGTGCGATGATGGGTGAGACTGACATGGATATGGGCGATACAGCATCTGGATTGTTAGACCAAATGCACACCGGCTTCTCGTCTACGTCAACGCCAGTCAACAACTTCCCGACGCCTCAAACTCATCTATCCGCGGGTCAGTCCGGCGCAGCTACGCCATCGCAAGCGGTAAATGCCGCCTCACCGGCACCTGCGCCTGCGCCTGCACCTGCGTCTATACCGGCACCTGCGCCATCTGCTCCCGCTGCTGCTCTGCCACAGCCGTCTGGCGATGTAGAGATGGGCGGAACTGATACTGCCACCGGAAACGAGGTACGAACTACGCCCGATCATAGCACCGGTAGTGGGGATTGGGTTGTAGCTCCCAAAGATGGCGACAATGCAACGGCTAATGATACGACCCAGACGACGACGCAGGCTCCTACCGATGCTGCTACTGTCACAGATGCTGCTCCTGACTCTTCCGCCGCTCCTACAACAGACGCTGTTATCGCTGCTACCAGTGCAGAGGGCGATGACGCCAAACCACCGACGCCAGCAGCTCCAAAAGCACCTTCGGCCGCGACCACTCCTGCTGTCACCGAGGGAGGATCTGTATCTTTTGATCAGAATGACTTTAGCTCTCTGGGCGATCTGGACACGGCGGGAGATGCCCTGGCGGGATATGACGCGCCAGATCTAGACGGCTCGGCAGGTGGACTGGATGATGGCTTGGACCTTCAGATGGACATGGAGGATTCCGCGTTTGGAGATGCTTTTCACGGCGTAGATGCTTCTCATACCCCAGGAGACGGACAAAATCAGGATGGCATGTGAGATAGTTTGTAATTGTTCTTGTAGGAAATTGGAACGAAAAGATTTTTGATTAAATGCTATTCCCGCTGTAGTACTTTTCTTCTTCTTCTGTTTCTTTTTTCTCTTTTTGTAGTAGGAGAGTGTTTGTAGCCACTCTGCACTAGGTATAATGAAAGCGGCAGGGTGGCTGGGAAGATGATACTTCTTCTCTGCTCTTGATATTGTTGCTTGCTACATATTTCGCTCTGTCTTCTCTTCTCTTCTCTTTGTTCATTCTGTGGTAGAAGGATGTATGATTAGCTGGGGGTTTGAGTGCTGCTGCACAGGCATTATGAAAGCGGCACGGTGGCTGGGAAGACGGTTCTTCAGCTCCCAGGTAACTATTTGCTACCGCTCTTGGTTGCCATGCACTCGTATTTGAATTTCGAATTATTACATTAGACGGTAGGAAGTTTCTGTACATCTTGCATCCTCTTTCATAAAACTGTCTCAGAAGCCTTTCTATTCGCCGATAAAGGTATTTGCATAAAGACATCGTCCCCCCCGTCCTGGCCCCAGTTAATTGAATAACATGGGAGGCTGGTCTCATATAGTCCTCAGCTGAGGAGTATATGCTTATACCTGGGTAGTCCTATATAAAAAAAACACTCAAACTTCCAGTACTAAAAAGCTCACGCTTCTTTTTTTTTTTTGGATTTTTCTGATTTATGAGTAAGACCATCCAAACCCCGCAGTTCAATCTTACGTCAGGCTCTGCAAGAGGGGATGTCCGTAAGGCTGTGTGCTCTTTCCTTTCAGCTCGTCAGGTGAGCCGGCCACCAGTTCTGTGATTGTTTTTCTTTCACAAACACCGTCCAGAATTCGCGTCTGCCGATACTATATTCCCCTCTTCTCGGCTTTATCCACCTGCAATACTTCACAATGGGTGGACATGTCCGCATTCATCCTCAGTGTGGCGCGTGCGGCTTCACATTTACCGAGTACGAGGCAGTTGTTGCGCGTAAGACGGCCCCATCTTCTATACTGCCCACCGTATACACTGATATTCATTCCGTTTAGTCTGTCAAGAAGGCGATGATGCCATTGCGATCGCTTCCTCAACACTAGAATATCGGCATACGGCGAATTGCGATGGTATATGCACGCTTGGAAGAGTATATTGCCGCTATCCTGACTGCAAAGAGTGTGCCTCCTCTGCGCCGACCGTCACGATTCACGAGGAATGCCTCGACTTCCTTGAGCAGCTGACTACAGCGGAAGATAAACTGTCGTGGCTGTGGACTGCCGCGACGTGGAGAAGTCCGTGGAATGGCGCACCGCCTCTGCAGCAGGCCCTTTCTCCTGTTATTGATGCTGGGCAATTCATCGATCGGGCGGCTCAGGCCTGTGAGATGCCCGGTCTGTCGTCGTTGCCCAAAGAATTGGCACTCATGATTTACGAACAATCTGACCGAAGCTGTTTACACCGGTGTTTGGCTTTCTGGTCCTATGCGCGATGGTGGAATCGGTCGCACCAAAAAATGCCAAAAACGATCCCCATCGAAGAGATCGAAGAGTGGCATCGCGGTTCACATCCGGTGATGAACAAGGGCGCTAGACACGGCGAAGTGGAGAGTGATGTGCAGAAACCCATTATTATCCTTTCGATCGATTTCCAAGGCTTGCGGAGTATAACAAGGGTGCAAAAGGGCGACACTACTAGCTATACGAATGCCAACGATAACCTCTTGCAATCCGATACAGTCGTATATGTCGTCGAGGCAGCTGAATGCTTTGCTTCTGCGCAAGTGGAATACAATGTGCGTTTTTTCTTTGCAAGTTGGAGTTGAGGCGTTGAACTGATTCATGATTGTTACTACCAGTATCCATTTGCGCGACTTCAGCTTACGGGTAGGCCTGAGCAATTCCGTGTCTGGGATACACCTTCGCCCCCACAATGGCAAGAGTGCGTTGTAGATACAGACTACGATTCTGCTTCGCGTGCAAAGAGCCATCTGTCGACTATTGATACGCGCAGCACTACGGGACTTACATTTTTTACATGTTTTGCCCGGATATGGGCTATCCATGCACACACAAATAGACGGCCTTCTGCGCAGAGTACATTCGATATGTTGAGTCCCAAAATTCAAGCTTTTGTCCATTGGATTCATGTTCCTTTTGGCTCTGAAGACAAACTTACCGCTTTTGGCTGGAGCCATACTGAATTTAATGCGCGTTTCTTCGTGAGTCGTTCTATTTTAACCCGATATATGAAGTTCAATCTCGCTGATGAGGGGAACAGCTGCGTTTGAAATTGGCAGGGGATATAATTGTGGGGTCGACGTATAAGATGAATGACGAAAACGTGCAGTTGATCCAGCATCCTCTCACTCTTATCTACGAGAGACCAGATAGCGAGGGGGTACACGTTGTAGGTGGCCACGCTGGCGGTGCTGCGCCTTTGGCGGCTATGCAGCTGGAAGCGGATGAGGCAAAAGATGCTGAGGCGGAGCCTACATTTACCTTCCAATATAGGAAACAACCATTCAGATCTGCCAGTTACTCATCAGCACCCCTCAGCAATGTCATTCGAACTCACGTGTTTTATGGAAAACACTTGTCGACTTTAGTATGCCGAGGGATTATGTTGGAGTATAGGGATGGATCGAAACGAGCCCTTGGACAATGCAAACTAGGTGTTGATCGGAGTGAAGAGTGCATGAATCCTGCACAACTTTGCTACACTCCAGTGGTCAAGCACAATGTGAATAATGTGCAAGTGAAAGTGTTTGATGGGAATTCGCATCCCAAGCATGAGGAAACTGACTGGACATGCTGTTTGATGAAAGGCACTTTGGAATTTTGGTTTAGCGAAAGGGAAGTGGAATTAAACTGGAAGCAGTAGCAGTATATATAACAGTTAAAGGAAAATGAAATATATCCAGCATCTCAGTCCTATTGTCTAGGACTCAGGTGGCTACAACATCAGCGACTTCTGCTATTTCTAAGCGTGTTTAATAATTTCACAGGTACTTCCATATGTAGACCAACTGCCTTCCAGTTAAGCCAATAGCTGTGGTGTTGGATGAAAGAACTGGAATGCCAGGGAAGTCTCCCCTATTTTGTTTACATTGAGACATGGCATCGGCGACGCTGAGTATATGGAGATATGAAGGGGGATCTGGGTAGCATTATGTTATTGTTCCCAAAAGTTGACTCTAACCGTGGCAGCTTTTCCTCGAGATTGCCCAATAGAGGGATACAGCCTCCGATAGGTTATATGGCTCGACTCTTGAACTGCGTACATTACCATGACTCAAGTGTCAGATTTCTCGTTGATCCTTTTTAATACCATTCTGGTTATTCATCAGATGGGAAAATGGGACTTACAAATGACGCATCCATTGCAAGTGAAAAAGTAGTGACCGTAATTGTAGTCGATTCCACAGCCAACAGTGTCCCCTAGACAGTACGGTTTGAACAGCTTGCCCCTCTCATTGCACCAACAAGACTCTTCATAGATGCTTCCATCATGTCCATCATATCCGATCGACCACATGTTGCGGCCTGGGACTGTGTTTGCCTGGTTGGAAGAAATCACCCGACAAGCCTATCACGACCCGTGCCTTTTCTTCCACATATTTTGATGCATTTTTGCGTGTTGTCTGCAATAAGAATACCTGGAAATAAACAATGTCTGACCCTCGTGGGGGGAAAAGGGAAGTTGGCACGAATAGTGACATGATCCTCGTCCTCTGGCCGAGCTGTTTGGATCGTGAATGTTGATGAGAGGGGGGGGAAAAAAAAAGAGTCATCGGTATGGATGGAGATGCTTACCTGAAAAAGATGCCTCGAGCCCTCCATTCAAGATCTCAAGTCTCGTTTTTAAAACAGCCACTATCAATTCTTTGTCACAGACGTGGCCATGCAAGCGTTGTTGGCGTCCTGGTCTTCCGAAGGCGCTCTTTTCGATACCATTGATATCTCTTCCGGGGCTTGGCTTGGTAGAGAAAATGATGGATATTCTAGTCGTCTTGGTCGCTTTCATAGTTATTGATTTCGCGCATGAGTGGCGCGAGGCTGGTCCAAATGTTGGGATATTCAATTCCCGTGGTTATCCTGAGCTTTTTGAAGCCGAGGGCCGATTTATCCATCTTGAGATCTTCAGAAACAAAGCTCAGACAAGCATCCAGAAATTCCACGTCCAAATCTTACCTAGATATAAATCTGAGTTCGACACCGGTCGGTGGATGGCCATGCCGGCGCTTGAAAGGATCCAGGCCTGACTCAACGAACTGAGCGGCTAATGAGCCATCTACGATGTATCCTTCACTGTTCGGCTTATTGATATCAACAGCGATATCTCCCTGGTGGGCTAAAATAGCCTCGACAACATTTATCCCGTTGCTTCCCATGGCAATGTGCAAAACAGTCATGCCCTCGTTGTCGACAAGGTTTGGATCTGCAACTCTCTCTCAATCAGCAGCCGCACAGTTTTTTTGGGTTTCTCCAAGTAGCTGAATGATGAAGAGAAGACTAGCTTCTTCGGGCGTCTGATGATTGACATTCGCCCCGTGGTGTTTGTTATAGCCACGTGGAGGGGAGGCCAATTGTCTATATCGCAGATGCTGGTACCGGTGCTAGCTTCAAGCAGGCAGTGCCATTTCTGCCGCTCAGGAGTAAGATGTAATATAGATTGGAGTCTCTCCAGAAATGTTCACGTGTTCATGGGCGCTTTGGCCTCGATGAGGATCCTAACCATGTCGAGGCTATGCTGACTCGCCGCGAGGGACAGTGCTGTATCGCCATTGTCATTACGACATTTGACGTCGGCTTTCCATTCAACCAGCTGTTGGACATGAGCAGCGTTCCCGGCACAGACAGCCTCAATTAGCAGTGTATTCTCCTTCGGACCCTGATAATTGACGTTTGATCCAGCCTCCAGGAGGAGCTTGAGCATGTCTAAAGACACTGAGCGATGAGCGGCTTCCCAGAGCAGCGTGCTACTGTAGTCGCTTATCATAGTTACCGCTTCTGGTATCTTGTCAACAAAGAATCAGACACACGGCAGCTGAGAATAAATGTGCAAGTCGATTGAGACGACTCCGGAAAATAGCGTGGGATATCTGACAGCCAAGACCTCGCCTTAAGCGGCCACGTCTCGAAATCTCCCATCAAAATCAAGAAGACTACAGACTTCTGACTGTTGGAAAATTGATCGCAGTACGCTTTTGAGAGTTTGCCCAGACCATGTATTCTGGCGCAGTAATATAGCCATAAACTTTTAACGAGGAGAAACAAAAGCGGCCTCTGAGAAATAATCTGGTGTACAAAAGACACCAGGATATCATATTGGCTCTTTATCGGCATCCGATTCCGGCCCATGAAGTCGATGACAACTACAGGTGATTCCTGAATGATCTTCTGAAGCAAAAGCTTCATCACGGCAAATTTATCCTGTCCCATTGGCCCAATTACCTGAATTGAGCGTCCACGGACATACTTCAAGGAGATATGACCAATCAATGATGCATAACTCTCTTGCAGTTCGTTGCACTTCCTGGCTGTGCAAGGTTTTTATCTCGTCAGGAGTTCAATTCGAAGGGGCAAGCACCCGTAGGTATCAAGATAAAGCGAATTACATGCTTGGGAGGAGCTTGCAGCTGGTCCATGATCATCATACACTATTTCGAGCTTAGTCACTTACATGTACATTCGAATAGTATCCCTCCACAGAAAAGACCGCATAGCACTGGTAGAAACTGAAGTCGAGCATACCTGGAGAATGATGCGAGCTTGGAGGTATATAGAGAGGAGAGAAGTGCCGTCTAAGCCTTTCGCAACTATCCAGATTATCAACATCTTGATTCCATGGCACCAAGATCTCAAAAATTGCTGTTGGATTGTTGTATAACTGCATCCCACCCATGAACAAAGTTGGTAATCGGGTATCGAGAGGCAATTCGCCAGAACACGTGCGATAGCTGGGACAAAAGGGCGGCAAGAACCGAGACTAGCTCAAGTGGCCGACGTCGGTATTTGCACGTGCCATTCTCTTGGATCATTTTAACAATCGCTTGATCCCACGTTATAAGCTCTGTATCTAGTTTGGAGAAAAATCATCATCTCCTGTCATACTAGTTATAGGAACTGCGTTTTCTGATCCATATTCGGCATTGATGCTTATATCCGGGGGGGCTATTAGGCTCATCTTCTATGTCATCAAGATTGAAGTCGTCCTCCAAGTCCACGTCTGGGACAGAAGGGCCATGTATGTCATGAAACACAGCTTGTGTCTGAATATGAGCTTCTGGCACAAGACTCTGTATCAATTCTCTAATGAAAATAATACGTTGAGCCTCAGCAGCTTCCGAGAAACCAACCAGATTTATCCTATAGAAGGATACGCGTGTTTAGCATATGTATTTGTACTACCTGCGGCTCTTGGAATGTCTGGGAAAAGACTTACTCGTCTCTGGGTTCGTCGTTTTCGGACCTTTTCTGCGTCTTTTCTGCTTCCCATGATGTGCTGATTGTTTATTTTCTGGAAAAAGTAATCTTTTTGGCCTGCAGATAGAAGGTTGGTTCAGATTAGACGGTAGGTAAGTTTCCGTATTTCAACCATGTTTTTACCTCAAGCTTATATTCCTACTATGAACAAAGATTTCTTTTCACAGACAAACAATCGTGCAAAGACTGGTCGTGTGCTCTGATCTATTATTGCAGTGCCAATTAGCCTAGCCTGAATAGTGGCACGTATGCATACTATCGCTTTGAGGAGGAAGCATGCGGCAGCAAACTCGGTTCATAATGCCATTCATGCCGTCTGAGGTCACCATGACAACAATTTTCCGTCTTTGGAACCCTTTCATCTTAATGATATGTATCCGGTCGTCTAAGCGTAACGTGCTTCAAACAGCAGTGACAAGTGTCTGTGCAGAATCATTATTCATGTCTTCTTTATATATACTCCAGACTGGGAAAGTTATCAAGCACCCCAAGTCCATTATCTAAACACTGCCACATAGGTAGGTAGTTTAGGAGAGTGGCTGAGCTACATATAAAGTATTCAATTGCAGCAGTAGTAGCTTATGCTACAGCTACATGTAGAGCGTTTGATAACAGAACTGGAGCGGTAGATAGCTATCCTCTGTTTTTTTTCCTCAGGTGCCGTCATCGATTCCGCTTTAATACATTCCGTCATATAATGAATGACGATGGTACATGTGATAGGAGGACATGAAAAATAGAACGCAGAAAGAAAAGCAAGCGGAGTGAGGTAGAAAAGTCGTTCTTTATATCAAATCAAGCGGGAGAAGTAATAGTGTCATTTAGATAACCCCGTTCGCCAAACTATCGTTTGGGATACCCTGCGTATAGACCTTCATCCGACACCGATTGTTTGCGAGTATTTGCATCTGTATAGTACCATAATAGTCAGCAAAGAGATTATCGTTGGCAGGGACGTGATTGGAAAGCGAGAAAGAAGGACAAACAAGCGTAAACTCCACCACAGCCGTCAATTATTCTTATTGCCCCGAGCGTAATTACGAATGATAGCATCAAAGCTATCTTTCGAAGAAAAAAAAAAAATAGAGCCAACTATAGTCGACTCTGAATGTTCCCATAGCCAACCTCTCTGAGATTTATAAATTCCAGCAGAAAAAGCAAGGCATCTCCTCAAACATAAAGGTACGGACAGCTCCTCTCACTGCTTTCGGATGTAGTTCCGAAGTAGGTCGTAACTTTGCTCCTCAACTGCCTTCTTCAATAGGTATTTAAACACTTCGGGCTTTTCGATGCTGAAATCAAGAAACGCTTGAAGATCTCCGCATTCAGCCATGTCAATAAGCGCTTGTTTCTGGTCTTCTGATAGCTTCGAGAGTTGCTCCATTAGAGCCTTTTCAAGATCAGACATGTCCATATTCGCCGGATTGAGGACTGGCAGTAAATAAACCGTGACGTGGTGGCGAGGCGAAGAGTGGAGGAAACAAGAGCAAAAAGAGCAAAAAGGGATTAAGAGAAACCAGAGAAGCTCGCTTGTGCAGAGAATGTGCTCTTTAAAGTCAGCTGAAAGTGAGAAGAACGTTGACCTAGAATGCCAGGCAGATTGGCCACGTGCCGTTGCGTTTGCATCAAATACCGGCATTGTGCCCAGACATATAAAGCATTTGTTGAATATTTAGATGTAGATAGAGTCAACTACGATACATGGAAAACGTTAGAAGAAATCGTATAAATATCCATTATTAGGCGACTGTACTCTAGCGCACACTCAAGAAACAAACAAAATGGAAAGGACCAAGGCAAACAGCCCATAGTAACTCCATCCTTTGATACACCCCAACGCCATTCATGAAATAAGAGTCCCATGGCCTTGTCTATAATTTACAATTTAAATCAGCCCATGTCCCGTATAGCCCAAAAAGTGGCCAATTCAAGTCTCCCTATTTTCAACCAAATATCACTAGACTACGCCCTTAATGTTAGCAAATGAGCTTTCGGGGTAATCAAGCATATTGATTGAATCATCCAAGTTGCCCAATTCTCTAGCCACTGTCAAGATCAAGCTGTTCTCTCCTGTCTTGTCACCTGAGGCTTCCCAGAAGACGGCACCTCCGAGGTCCCTGCTCAAGAGATACTCGGCCTTCCATCGAGCAGTGTCGACGGTATCGTAGGAAACGAGTTCTTTCGTTGATTCATCATAACAGTACGCTGCGATGATTCTACTATTGATGTAGACGTCTGAGCCAGGTCGTGGCAGGTCGCGATACAGCCAAACACCCTGCTCAATGGAGCCCTGTCCCAAGCCCTGGTAGGGCTGGCCAAGGCCTTGAGTATTCATGAATGAGCGACCGTAGAGAGGAAGGCCGAAAATGATCTTGCTAGGATCAATTCCGTTAGCTAGGTAGTCATCCACTGCATTATTGGAGTTGAACTTGGTGCTGATAGGATTGTGAGCGTCAGCGAAGACGTTGGCTTGATTTCCCGAGGTATCATCCCAGCTGCCAGCGAAATCGTACGCCATGAGATGCCAAGAATCGACATATTGGTCCATTGCCGGCATGTCTAGAATGCCATAGTGCTGAGGGCCAGCAGGCGTCGCGACAGTGAGAAGGTAGTGGTAATCTTGGTTATTGCGCTGTGCGTATTCGTCCAAAGCTTCTCGACACTCTCTGAGGAGGTAGACAAAATTTTGCGATTCTTGCTGAGAAAGGGGGTATTCGTAGTCGATGTCGATACCATCGAATCCCCAGCGGGCGAGAAGTTCAACAGCGGTCCGAGCAAACTGGCGTCGCCCAGCTTCCGAACTGAGAGCAGGATCAAATTTGCCCTGTTGCGACGCGGTCCAGCCGCCGATAGAAAGCAGAGTCTTCATTTGGCGGTGCTGCTTCTTTAGCAAGAACACCTGTTCTATAGCACCGTGGACGTTGTTTGCGGATTCGTCCCAACTCTGGTTGTCCCCGAAACGCTTTTGCTCGTCGCCCCAAGTATCAATCGAGATGCTGCGTGCCTTATTAGCAATTAGGCAATTGAAGTGAAGGTTTTTGTCTTCTTTGAGGAAAAGCCTTACACAGATCCATCGCTGCCAATTCCAGCAAACGCGTACAATAAATGCGTAATCTCGTCCGCGGGGAGATTTTGAGGCAGAAAGCCTGCACCGTAGATGCTCCTACTATCATTAGTAGCTATTCTCGACAAGTTGGCGTTGGTCGTAAATATGTGACGAGCTTACCAGTCTGTAAAATACACAACATTCTTCTTCTTTCCATGTGGTCTGTTCCTGGAGCCCTGTTGATCACTTGCGCCAGCGTTGTTCGATTTGGAAAACGGAGGCCTGGCTTCTGACTGTGAAGGAGTATCATTTCCGACTGGCCACCAGGCCGAAGGAGAAGATGGCTCTGGAGTTGGATTGGCCTGCCACGGAGCCGAAAGTGGCGATGTAGGCGGTTGCATATCTGATCCCAGATCGAAGGACTTGGGAGCCCATAGCTCTGGCTGTGATGACTGCGAAGGAAAAGTTTCCAAGACGACGGGCTCGTTATGGAGCGGCTCCGAGCCGAATGGTAGAGAGCTAGCTGGTCCGATCGATACTGGCGAAGAAAGAGGCACTACGTGCTGCTCTGGGTCTTGACATCTTTCAGCAATGGTTGGAGCAGCCAGGGCAACTCTGGCCACAAGTGGCAAAGCGGCGCAGAAGAGTTTGAGCATTGTGCGTGGATATCGAGCCCAAGGATGTAGTGCCAACAGCAGAATATCCGAGATTGAAAATATTGGCAGTATCAAGTTTTAAGGCTCCCTGCGGCTTCTTATATGAAGAAAGTCAAAAGCAGTGGATGATGCTCGCAGTGGAAGAGCTGAGACACTGTGTCAAGAGGTATTGGGAACGGCAGACTCGCCATCTCCTGAATCGCTGCGCAGTCTAGACCACATAATCATAAGCTTTTCGCTTCGAAGTACAGTACATCGTGATTAGAGGAATGTAGAGACAGGGCAGTAAAAAGGTTGGTACCATGCTGGTGCGTGGCTCTCAAGAGAGTTTAGACGACCGGCAAGACCCGTTTGTGGCTTTGTCGTGGCTCACAGCCCGTTGAGTCAGAAAGGACTACGCGACACCTTGACCGGCCCTATTCTTGCCTGTTCAAAGGAATTTTTCCTTGCGCGTTGTACACTCCGTTAACAATAGCTCGAATGGTGGCTGGTATACGGAAGGCGGCGATTCTCTCCGCTTAAAGTTGTGTCAGAAAGACAAAGCAAAAGCGAGCCAATCACGGATGCGGTGTTCGTCTGTCGTTCCAGCCACTCGCTCAAATCTGGGTGTGCACTGGTTTCGGGCCCAAGATTAGAACGCAGGGTAAGACATTGTGCATCAGCCTCAGGGGGGGAGCTAGGAATGGAATACTCATAGCCGCGGGTGGGAATGCGACAAGCCGCACTAGGATTTTCTCAGCAAGGGAGAGTAAGGGAGACAATCCGAAAAGATGGGCCGACAAAACGTGATCTTCCACGATGAGGCGTCGATTCGCCCCTATGGTGGCTTGGCCATGCCAAGGAATTCTATGAATCGGATCCTCAGACAATACTTCCGGTAGCATAGCTGAAACTCACTCGTATACATCAGGAAGCGGCCTGCAGCTGTGTCTTAAAATAGAATCGCATTCAGGCTATCATCGTTCGCAGTACGTATCTGACACTTCTTCCTCCACGGCTACAACATCTCCAACTTGTACTGCGGGCCTCGGGGCATTTACCTCGTCGTATTGCTCAGTAGGTTCATGGCGCATATGTGTACCAAAATAAACCTTGCCGTTTAGACGCCTCGTTTTCGCAAGCGTTGAGAACGGTTCTTGCCTTCTCTCGCCAGTATTTTGATCCACGCATACCATGTGACATCTCTGGCAGGCTCCCAAGAGCTTGAAAATGTGATCTCCAATACTAACCGTCCTCCACATGTCTTCAGAGTAAGCAGGACGGCTTTGTTGGCCTGGAGAAGTCTCAATCACGATATTCGCCCGAAAGACTGCTTCTTCCACAGCTGCTCCTCCAGTCTTTACGATGCTCTGATTGAGCGATTCCACGCTAGGGGTACATATCATCAGAATCGGGCTCTCATTGGATAGAAGAATCTTCCCCGGTTGGCTCTGCTGCTCAGAATCCGAATCAGGGGGAGAGGGAATATCGGGGAAAGAAGAGTACTGGCAGCTTTGAGCACTTTCTGTCTGCTGATGCTTCTGCATCCGAGCTTTGGAGAGCCTGCTACCAGCTCCCCGGCCTCCTGCTGGAAATCTTGCCAGCACACATGGAATTCCAAGAGAGTCGGTGAAGAAGTCGTTAATTTGCTCAGAGAGATAGGCTTGCGCAGATATGTTTTCGCCACAAACTCTAGAGCTTGTTTGGCGAAAGTTTGTGTCAAAGAGAGATGGGTCGTTGGATAGCGGTATATCTACATAGGTCGGCTGCCCTTTCATCGCGCTTCCACGATATTTCACGCGGAGAACGTCCTCATCAAAGAGCAGCAAAGGCTGCAACAGGGCCATTTGTGGATAGCGCTTCTGGCTGAGAGCAAGCCCTGATCCTCGGTGAATCAAGCACCACTCTCGATCCCAGGCTAGCCCCTCGGGCCGCACTTCCCAACGAACCCCAGGCGGAACGATATAGCCGCTACAGCTCTTGATCGGGTATACAGCAATACTTTTGACTCGAAGCTTTGATGACGCACCGATAGTTTTCAGGCTAGGATCGATCTGATTTGGCGTTGTAAACAGGTCCTCCACAAAGAACTCTTTCATAAAAGCCAGAAATTGAGACACATCCGATTTGGTACTCATTGCTCCTAGGCTAGCGCGTATTATGCCAGTGGGTTTGTTGGCAAATCGGTTACTGTCTTCGCCACATCGAATTCCAGCAGAAAGATTTCGCTTCATCTCCCAAGGTTGTAAATCGAGAGCAGACGCAATCCCACCAGGACTGCACACACCCCCTGTCCTTATATGCATCTTCTTCAAAATGGCCAGTTTCTCAAATTCAGCGAGTCCAATCCATAAACCACGACTGTCTTGAATATTAAAAGAAATGACTGGTCCAGTATCAAAGAGCGCCGTATCATCAGGCATATCTGAATAAATATGACAAACAGGGTTCCCGTTTGCGTGCCGTAAATCAGACAGCCCACGGTAGAGTTCACGACTTAGATATGCTGTGTGAAAACTGATTTGATCCATAGAGCCAAAAAGCTGTTGATGAGTCGATATTGCTATGCCAGCGGCAATGATATTGTGGAACGGCAGTGTCCCGTCTTCAAGACGCTCATGGAGAGATAAAGATTTCAGAGCATGCCACGGCTCGTCTCCACAGACTACCACGTCCACCGTGCCGCCACCAAAATATTTTCGATGGCTGAATATAGACGCCGCAGAACGCCTGACGAGGAGAACGCCCAAGTCTGGAAATCCAAAAATCTTGTATAAACTTAGTACAACGAAATCCGCAGCAAAGTCGGGATGTGAAAGGTCGAGTTGTGAAGTGGCGCTAAGTGATGCCGCGTCTAAGAGTGTCAATATTCGGGGCGAAGATTGATTCTGACTATTCTTCAACTTCTTGGCCCAAGACAGGGGATATCTCCTGCCGTCCATATGAGACTGGGCTGTGTATGCGAATAATGTGGTACGATCACCAAGCGTCGTTGGCTTGAACGGATTTTCACCGTCTAACCAAGACTGAACTCCGGTGTTATCGAGGCAGACACTTCGATGCGCTTCTTCTCTTGCTCCCACAACGCTAGTATGGCAGGCTTGGTGATGAGCAAAGACAAAACCTTCTGGCAAGGATCTCATGCCCTCAACTACTAGCTTTACGCCAGCAGTTGCATTCGCCACGAAGACCAAATCATACTGTTCCGGATCGGCCTTGAAGAAATTCAGAAGGCGTATCCGTACTTCGTCGATCTTTGATGTGGACTGCTGGGACGGTAATGATGCGGAATGTGGGTTTCCGTAGAGAACTGATGTCATCTCTTGCGCAAAGGAGTCCATCAAAGACTTTGAGCAGAGCGTGCTCCCGGCATGATCAAGATATACAGAATCTGTACGGGTGCTATCAGTTAGAGGTTGCGACTTGGGGCCATGGCGCATATCCAAGATATTTACCTTGCAGCATTGGGTATTCCTGGGCACGGAATGCTTCGACCGCGCTGTTGTATTGGAGCCGGGCCATCTTGCTGACCAATGCTTCATATACAGAAGATGTCTACCGTGTTGATACTTGTAGGACGTGACCCTAGCTAATTAATGTTTGCAATCGAATAGTTTAGACTAAGACGAAGGCACGCAAGAAATGCCGAGGATACACAAAGAGGGGCGGGTCTGAGCGTGTGTCAACCTGTTTGACAACTGATTGTCAGTGCCAGATGTGATAGATTCAACTGCCGCATTCTATGAACGGGCGAGGATTCGCCAGTCAAATCGGTATGGCGTTGGATGGATATATAAGTATAATATCTAGGTTCAAGAGACCCATGCTAGTAAGCAAGATGACGCTCCTTTGAGGCAGTTGGGCACACGTACATGCCGGATGGATAGTCGGAGATCGCCACTCTCCAACTATGGTGGGAACACACACTGATTAGGTAATGCAATCCACACGTGCTAGCGTTGGCCTACAGTGCCTCAAGTGCAAATACCGTGCGTCTTCGCGATTTCCGATATGAGATTCTGCACAGTGCCCATATTCCAACAGCCACTCCCCCACAAAACTGGCGTTGCGCGTGTCGCGGCCGTCTTCGGCTCCACCTCTGGATGCTCTCAGCCTCTACCAACTTCATCTCTTCATCTCACTCTCTGCGGCTGTCCTCGGGGCGCATCACCACGCAGTCGCGCAATCGCCTTTGATCGGATCCGCGCTTCTCAATTCAGTTCGTCATCCCTTTCTCGACTCGTCTGTTCTCCTCAATTCTCCTCTCTGCTCCTTGTCCTCTCCTCCCCCTACTATCCGCCTGTCCTTCTCCCTCTTGCCGCCGTGGCTTGGTCAAGCTTCCGGCATCGATCGGCAATTCTCTGCCTCTTTGCTCTCCTCTATTGTCCTCTCAGCTCCTCTCGTTGTCCAACCTCCGTACCGGGTCTATTTGTCTCTTTTTGGGCAGTAGCTCTTTTGCTATACACGCCCTATTATCTCTCTTTTTCTTCTTTTTCTTGTCTATTTGTCCGATCTTGGGTCAGAATGTCTTCTCTAACCGCCGTTTTACCGCCATCCAGTAGGGCGCTCTATCAATCGATTCCTCCGTAGGAACGAGCATTGCCTCTGATGTTCCGTATTATCTGACTGATTATCAATCTGAAACCCTGAAACCAATTCTTCGTTTTACATATCCACTGCTACCAACAGAAAATGGACTCCTATTCAGGATCTTATCGTGACGGCTCAGCTCGATCGCCCAATGAAAGGACGTGGGGCCGTGATGATTCGAGGAGCAGAGATGACAGAGGTGACCCCTTTTACCGCGCGAGGTCCCCTGGTTTGTCCTGCCGATTTCCCACTAATGATCATCTCTACTTACTAACCGCCGTGGTTTCTAGGCAATGAGCGCCGAGACCGCCGACGTTCACGTTCCCCGCCTCCTGTTGACCGGTACGAGCCTCGACCTCGCCGCGATGGCCGTGACGATAGAGACCGGGAGGACCGGCGTCGCATAACCTCCCCACCAGCGAACATTGATCGCTACGTGCCTGGGCAGGACAGTGGACCGGCTAGCGTTCCCGTAAACCCTTTGGCTGATCCATCCAAGCTTCCTTATCAAGTTGGATTCTCCTATTTCGGCGAATGGTGGAGAATGAACGAAAAAATCAAAGATGATAAAGAACACGCCCGGACAGGGCGGAGAAGGGAGCCCGACAGGAACAGAGGCGCCCGAGACAGCCAAGAGGAGCGTGAGAAAGAAAAAGCCAAAATCCAAGTAGCATACGATGCGTATAAAGAAGATCTCCAAGCCAAGATGGCCAGGGCTTTCGTTTCGGAGCACAAAAAAGAGCAATGGTTCAAAGAAAGATATGTTCCCGAAATCAGGGACGAATTTAAAGCTAAGCTCCAAGATTTTCGACGAAGTGCGTATGGCCAGTGGGAGCAAGACTTAGAATCTGGCATTTTTGATGAGTTTTCTCTCGAGGGCATTCCAAAAAGCGAAAGCAATGGAGCTGGTGGTATAATCGAAAAGGAGGAGGGCGAAGCAACAGCCGCCAACGAAATCTTGGGAGTTGGCGATTTGGTTCCCGTGAATGGAGCTGATATCCGTGATGAAAATCAATTTCAGCCCACTCTCCTTATCAAGACTATTGCCCCTCATGTTAGTCGCCAGAATCTAGAAGCCTTCTGCAGAGAAAATCTTGGAGAAGAAGAAGGCGGCTTTAAGTGGCTGTCTCTTTCCGATCCAAACCCGAGCAAGAGATACCACCGTATTGGCTGGGTTATGCTTCATCCTTCTTCGGATAGCGCACCGCCAATGGATCGCGCAAACCCCGAAGATGAAGATGGAGACGTAGCAATAAGATCGCCACCCCCTCCTGCTTCGGCCGCAGAGAAAGCTCTCGAAGCTGTAAACGGAAAGACAGTCAAAGATGAGGCTCGGGGAGACTTTGTCTGCCATGTCGGAGTTCATAACCCTCCCCTTCATCCCAGAAAGAAAGCGCTTTGGGATTTGTTTTCCGCACCAGAGCGAGTCGAGAAGGATCTTCGCTTGGTCAAACGGCTAGTCAACAAATACGAAGAAGACTTTGGCTCTGATTTCCAGGCCATCCTGAAAATCGAAGAAAAAGTTGACGATCTGAAAAATGCAGGTCGCCTACAGCCTGCTATAATTCCCACTCCAACGAAGAAACCCACCAAGTCTCGAGAGCCTGGAATGGACGAAGCAATGGACGATGATGAGGAGGCCGCTGAAGAAGAGGAAGAGGAAGAAGGAGCGGTGGAAGATGAGGAAGTCGATGACGAGGAAATGTTGGTGAAAAAGAAGCAGCTTGACCTCTTGATCGAATACTTGCGCCGCGTCTTCCACTTTTGCTTCTTTTGCGTGTTTGAGAGCGACTCTGTGCATGAGCTTACACGTAAATGCGCTGGTGGACATCTGCGCCGACCCCAAAGCACTCTCACCTCTTCTGCCAGGGCTGTTGCCAGGGCCAGTGCCAATGGAGATCCATTCCCCGACAGGAAACGAAGCGAGGGCGATAATGATGCTGACGGAGAGTCGGTCGAGGGAGACAAAAAGTTCCGCAATCTGTCTTCAAAAACTGAGCAACAGCTTCTCCGCGCCTATAACTGGGTCAAAACCTTTGAAGACAAGCTTACGCAGATCCTGGAACCCAGTGCCGTGGATATTCGCAAGCTTGGTGGCAGACCAGTTGATGAGGCTATCGATGAAGAGCTGGCCAAACATGTCAAGCAGGAGGACGAGCACAAATGGAGATGCAAAGTTCCAGAGTGCACCAAGCTTTTCAAAGAAGATCACTTTTGGAAGAAGCATGTAGAAAAGAGACATGGCGAGTGGTTGGATAGCTTGAAACAAGAGGTATGTCGGCTCTCGCCATTACCACAAATTTGTCTGTATTTTTTGTCTGTTGCTAACCCAGAAAAAGTTTGAACTTATCAACGCCTACGTCTCAGATCCAGCACACATTGCTCCTTCGCGGACCGATGCGAACTCAAATGGTCACTTCCCACCTACCAGCGGCCAGTCAGCATCAGGTACCCCTCGTGGTTTCAACCTGCAAAATTTCTCCATGAATGGTGTGATGGGTATGCCTGGATTCCCCATGGGTCCCGGAAACTTCCCCTCGTTGTTTGCAGGCATGCAAGCCAACAACTGGAACTCTACGGGTGATGACCGCTCAGGGGGGCCTGTCCGTCGAGGCGGAATGTCTGGCGGGCGAGGCGGATACCGCTCTGCGCCGTATGATCGCCGTGGAGGCAACCGCTGGGATGGAGGCGGTGGCCGAAACCGCAATGGCGGGTCTCGATGGGGAGATGGAGCTGGCGCTGCGGCCGCCGCTCCTCGAGAAGCCGTGCAGGGTCGTAGCTTGAAGAGCTATGAAGACCTGGACCAAGTATCTGGCAGTGGAAATGGGGGTGCTGAGCTCAACTATTAAATCTGCTTGTGCAACTAGGTGGAGTAATCAAGGAGAAAAACGACAGTGGAATTTTTGCTTTATTTACACTATAACTATTATCATTTGGCTGCAGAAGATGCGTCTGCAAGTTTGTACATTAGGCTCAGAGTAGTTTACGCAACATCATATTTTCAGAATGGTACTTGATATCTGGCTTCAAATTAATCATCTCGAAAAAGCTAAACTGCAGTATGGAATATGGCTGCGTGATTTTCGCATGAATCAGCCGGCGCGTTGTTTATAGCCTCTTAGAGGGCTGCTCAACTGCCACTGCTGCTACTGCTGCTTGCCAAAGACCGTACGACCGCGAAGAAAAGGGGCGTCTGGAATCGACCTAATTGAGATCCGATTCGCATAGCTCCCACCTCAAAAGCATACCGATAATGAGGGCATCAACTCTTTTTTTTTCATCGACTAAATGTTTATATGGTGGCTATTCTTTCCTCGATGCTGTTTTCGCTAAACGAAGAGTAGAGGCTGCATAGATTGTTGGTATCATTAAGGTAGTGGTTGGCGGCCGTTATTAGTATGCTACGCGAGCGTTTTTAGAATACCTCGTGTACAAGTTTCATAGCTATACACTGAGGGCGAAGTGTCGTAGAAAGGAGACAAAGACGAATTGCATTTCAAGGTGCCTTTTCGAACAGTTCGAGAATGGGTTTTGCTGCCTAAATAGGGCGTCAGCACAAGACTTTGCAAAGTGTCTGATATATGAGCTTACATCGATGAACTTCTCCAAGTCTTGATCTAGATTGGCTAAGTCATCCTTTCTTCTCTTGTTCTCTGCTATGAGCTTTTGTTTCCTTTTGAGAAGCTCTTGGCGACGCTGTTCTAGTATTTCTCGCTCTTCCCGCTCGTGTTCGATGCGTGCAAACATGCGCTCGTCGTCGTCTGCATCTGCATGCTTTGGGTGTAGAGCCAGGAACTCTTCGACGGGAATAAGAGGCAATTGCTGGTATTTGTGGCTAGATTTAATATGTCAGCCATTGGGCGCTCAAGTGCGAATCTACCACAGCAGCAAAGAGGTATTCAAGAAGGAGGCGCATACTCGTATGATTCACAGCCTGTAATCTCGCCCTGAAGATGCCGCTGCTCGTAATACAGATTTTGCAGTTGAAGATGCAGTCGGTCGACCTCTTGACGGGCCTCGGCGGTCTGCGCCTTTGTGTCACGCGCCGACAGGCAGGCGTTCCTGTGCAGGCCGCGCAGATATGAAATGTTGGTGAAGAGCTGCTTCTGCTGCTTGGCAATCTCGGCCTGGATGTCGGCGGTGGCTCGGCCGTCGCTGGCCTGGTCGGCAAGTTGGAGCAACGCGTGGGCCTGGTCGCGGGCCTGGTCTGAGATTTGGAGGACGGCGGCGAGCGACGGCTCTGTGATGATTTTTTCGACAGCCATTGCTGGTATAGGAGGGCTGTAATTGGCAACCTTTCTGTAAAAAATACTATTTAGATTATTATGGTAAGTTATTGATCGGTCGGCTTGATGTCTATTCGCGGATGATGATGATGCTAATGCTGAAGGGTCGATGAATGATGGACGAGTAGCAGCAGCAGCAAGGCTGGAGCTGACAAAGTGGAGGCCAGTACACGCTATGGGCAGTTTTAGCGCGAGGCTGTCAATGGGTTAGCACCGCTGTCAGGCACCTTTTAGCCTTTAGCCGCCTACGCCCTGTTCTGCACCTATTTTCTCTAGAAGCCCGAGGCATCGCCAGTTATGTTTGCTCTCTCGATCCAAGCCGTATTGAGGATTGCCATCCCAGCACAAAGTAATGCAGGCGTGTCGGACACCGGAGACGCGGGAAATTACCACGCTGCCTGCCTGTACAAGTAAGGAGAGTGTGGAGGCGGAAATGCCAAGATGCTGTCCCGGCTCTATGTGAGCGGCCAGGTTCAGTATGCCTGTCTTGTCCTACTACTATTACTATTGCCATCTCCTGATACTTAGTACTATCATCATTCCAAACATGAGCATGCGGTCGTTACTCGCAACCTCAACTTGGGCTATGTGCTACCAATCACGTATATAGATGAAAATAAAATAAGACCCAAGTTGGATTTGCGGCTGATGATCTTTGCCAAGCAGCCAATGAGGCAGCGCCATCTCGCATTCCCACCCCGGCGCGGTATTTTTGTCCGCGGCATGTGAGCGTTCCCCAGAGTCATGGGATGATGGCGGTAGGCAGGGCAGGGCAGTTTTTCTTAGTCAAGCTGTAAGCCGAATGAAATTATGATTTATTGATGAACCACACAGTAGCAACAATCTGTTCCATGTGAATTACCTGTTAGGTTAATAGGCGGTAATAGGTACATGCGCCGACAAAATAATTGGTTGACAGCGGAGGTTATTCGGACTGCCCGCTACTAAGGCCGATTGAGTTTTATTTCTTTTTTTTTTCTTACATCATTATATAGCCGCACCCTGATAGCACGGGGTGCTTTGTCTCACTTTATCCCGCCACCCTCATTTTCCTTCTTCCATCTAGACGCAACTGCGGCGCAATAACCGAGGGATTCAAACAGGAGCATTTGGCCGTACAACGTTGAGGACAGGATTTTTTCTCTTGCCTCCGGTCTGCATATCCACGCAAATCTCCGCAGCCCTGCAGCCAATCGCGCGGCCTCCTGGCGGCCCTCAATCCCCTAAATAGGCTGCTGTTGCTGCTTGACCCGCATCGAGACGAACCGAACCATCAACCAATTCGACTTTTGGAGCCAATCAGTGCTAAACGTTGGGGGAAGAATCGCCAATTAACCGCATCGTCCCGCTCCATCCGATCAACAAATCGAGGAGTCTAGCAGAGCCAGCCGCTCCACTGCAAGATCTCGTTTCTCTGTTTCTTTTTTTCCTGTTCTTTTCCTTTTTCTTTCCCTCCGCTGTCAGACGCATTCCTGGGATCTTCGCCTCTTTGATCGCTTGGGCCAATCATCCGCAGCAGCCAAAGCCCGTGCCACTACGCAGCCCAGTTGACGGCCCATCGCTAAGTCCAAGAAATGATAGTCTGACAGACGTCTCAAACTCTCCTCTCCTATAACACTCAATCAAAATGGCGGGCGTCACCACTGCTCTGACGTCCGCGTGCGGCTTCAACCACGACGGCGACGACAAAGACTCGACTGGTGTAGCTGCTACCAGCGGTTCCGACTTGCGCCGCGAGGCTCAGCAACAGGCAAAACGACGACGGCACTCTTTCTTTATCCCCCGACGAAAATCCATCGTCGGACACATCATGGAGGGAGAGGAGAATCTCCTGCTCAAGGTGGACTTGTTCCTGACCGAACTGGAGCGGCGGCTGGATTTTGTCGAAAATTATGTAGACCTCAGCAAAGACTCGAGCATTTCCCGCGCATTCTCTACTCTTCAGACGGTTCGCTCGAGATGCTCTCAGGCGTCCGAGGAGGTCATCGGCGCCGGCCGGCGCAGGCTCTACATCATGCTTGACACCCTCGAGACCCGGTACCAAGAGACGTTGGCTGCGACCGAGTCTCTGCACGAGAAGGCGGGCCTGGGAATCGAGTTGCTGGAAGGGATGATGGCCGAGTTCGAAACGCGCGCCTACAAGCTGCGCGAGCAGGGCTTTGCCAATGCCGCTACGGCTGCCGAGGCATTTATGGATGAGGGCCGCAGAGTAGCAAACGAGAGCATTGAGCGGGCAAAGTCTGTTGTCGACGAAGGAATCGAGCGCGCTGTGCGGGCTGCGCTGTCCCTCGAAGAGCATATCCAGCAGGCTGTTCTGCTGGCGCGGGATCGTGGACTGCTGCTATACGACGAGCTGCCAACGCCTTGGCGAAACAACCCACACATCAAGAGAGGCTACCGTTTCCGCGAGACCAAGATCGAATGCGTCCGGTCTGTTTTCAACATGTCCAACGAATTCATCAACATTTGGTCTCACGCCCTGGGCCTAATCCTGGTACTGGCCGTTGCCTTTTACTTTTACCCCAGCAGTGCCAATTTCTATCTCAGCACCAAGACGGACGTTGTTGTTGCCGCCATCTTCTTCATGATGGCCTGCTTGACTCTGGTATGCTCCACCATTTGGCATACCATGAGCGCTGTTGCCGATGTCAACGCCGTCTCCATGTTTGCTTGCGTAGACTACACCGGCATCTCGCTGCTCATTGCCGCCTCCATCATGACCACCGAATACACCGCTTTCTACTGCGACCCGGTCAGCCGATGGGTGTACATGGGCCTCACTGCCTTCCTGGGCATTGGAGGGGTGATCCTGCCGTGGCACCCCAAGTTCAACGGCACCGACATGGCTTGGGCCCGCGTCGGATTCTTTGTCGGCCTCGCCTTGACGGGGTTCATGCCGATTCTGCAGCTTTACTTCTCCCACGGACCCGAGTTTGTCTACGACTTTTACTCTCCCATCAGCAAGTCTCTTTTGGTCTACTTCAGCGGCGCCGTCGTGTATGCAAGCAAGGTCCCTGAGCGCTGGTTCCCCGGCATGTTTGACTACATCGGCGGTAGCCACAACTTGTGGCACGCCGCCGTCTTGGGCGGCATCATCTTCCACTACACCGCCATGCAGCAGTTCTTCTCCAACGCCTTTCACAGAGCCGAGGCCGGCTGCCCTGCTTATTAGAAGGAGCGCCTCTCGGTCATGGTAAACAGCGCAGCACAAGCACATTTTGATCTAAACTTGAGCTTCAAAAGCTAAAAGTTTTTTTCCTGCCCTGATGCATGGTCGACTCCCAAACATGTTCTTGCATTTGAGCTTTTTTTTTGCGTGTATCTTTTTAACTTGTTTTACTATTAAACAACGGAGCGCATAAACACGAAGCGGCTATGAACAACGAAAGACGAAGATTAAAACGAAAAGATACGTTACGTTACGTACATGTACAAGCGGGCTCAGTGCCTTTATAAAGAGATGGGAGGCATTTCTATCTCGATTACGATTCAGTTCGATTCAGTTCTGTTCAGTTCTTGTGTATACTCTTTCTTCTTTTCACCTTCTTTTTTCTAGCATGGGCACAAATTGGCGTTTTGTTTTGTTTGGGCAACGTATTGCAAATGCCCCGTGACGCTTTCCATGGCATTCTGACTTTGACTTTTCATATAGCTTTTTTGCTCTTCTTTTGGCTACATTATAACTCTTTAGAATAGCATATATCTTATTAATCAACTGATAAACATTGTCAAACAGAAGAACTGTCTTCTATCAGTGTTTTCGATCAAAATGCAGATTCTCTAAGCCGTACCCCTTTAAGAGCCCATGTGAGAAATTCAGCCTGAAAAGGGAGAGTGGACATGTACTAGGTACGGAGTTTTTCTTGTAAATGGTTCATTATAATGCTCTTTTTCCGTTTAATCATGTGAGTCGTAATCATATTCCCGTGTGTAGACCCCGCAGCGTAATCCCTTGCTGTACCCCAAATTTGTGCCAATAAGTGTTATCCCACCTCTTCAAATACCTAATACATTGAATGGTTCCATTTCTGTCGTAGTTGCTAGGCCGCTAACCGCTGCCTTTAAAATGAAACACAAATACAATTACATGCGCCAACATCTCCCAAAAATAAAATCAATGATGCAAGAAAAAATTGTCCGTAGGAGAAAAGCAGGGCCTCAGTGGGAATGCCTGATGCCAAGGCTGACGTCGGGCCGGAGAGCCACTAATTCCATTCATTTGGGTCAGATCGTCATTGGAAACGCGTCAAGCATGCTATCACGTGGCGCGTTTCTCTGAAACAGTATGCTGGATTTCCCCTTTACTGGCCTTCACTGTTCATTGTGGCCCTCGTTAGTAAGAGGGGCAGCAAGCGTTTCATTGTGTCCCATCATCTTCACATGGCATGCGTGGCGATCTCTTCGTAAACATCGTCCGGTATCTTCTTAATGATGCTGATCGTGATGCTCTTGACGAGGTCGGCATTTAGCTGTGGAAATGATCGCAGAAGCTTGTTTGGACTAGCAATAGATGTTAGAAGCTGAAAATATCAGTGTTCAAAGAAAAGGGGGGCAAATACCTCTGGGATTGGAGGATCTGCGACCGCATAATAGTAAGTTGCGCTACAATGCACACAATATTAAGATGCGGTCCGTACGCAAAGAGAAAATCCCAAAGGCGCAGCACCTCGGGTAGAGGTGGTGTACATGCACAGAGTGTTAGTACAGAGGGGAAGGCATAGATTTCGGCCGAGAGCCCCTTTGACGTGAGATACATGCTAAGTTTGGGATCGACAATGGCCAAGACTTTGTCTACCAAGGCAAGGCCGCGATGCACGCCATCCATGGCACCACGGATATAGCCAGGGCACTCGCGAGTCAACAAAGAGTGGAAAGCGACAAACGCTTCGGCTTCGCTTCGCGCGGCATATAGAAAAGGGGCAGCCAAAACATTCATGCCTTGGACATAGACGCCTGGCTCGAGGACTGCACCGGATCCTACTCGAGAAAACAAACGGACGTTAGCATATACAGCACATAGATGACTCGGTCGAATTCTTGGTGCCAAAACGTACTCGCTTGAGATTGGCCAGAGTGGCTGCCTACAACGCCATCCCGCGGAGGTATAGAAGAATGACTGCTGCCAGGACGGCTGCTCTGGCGTTCATCTTCTTTCGAATCGTGAAGGCGCCAGGCGATAGCATTCAGCAGTCGAATCAAGCTTGCCTCGCTAACACGGCGTCGGAAGAGAGGATCGGTCGTCAGCGTGCGAAAGGTATCGTTGCGGATCTTGGCGTATGCTGGAGAAGCACCACGATGTATGAGGGCTAGGTATTCGTCTGTAGACATGATTGGGGCGTCCAAAAGGACGAGCCATACGTATATCCTCAATGGAGACTAAATCGATGGCAAACCCAACAAAAAGTAAGCGCATGTCAGTGATTTTCGCCGCCTAGCTCTGAGAGCAAGCAGTCAAAACAATGGTATCGCGCACCATTCCATCCTCTGCGGCTTTGACGCCTTCATCAATGACTTTCCACCTGGCGCTTTCCAGCGCACCTATGAAATCGCCATCGTTTGGTCCATCGCGAATGATCTGCTGCAGAGACAAGTGGCCGTGTGAAAAGACGGGCTTCTTCACACCTGACCGTCGGGCGTTTGAGGCGGCAGTTGGTTGGTACAGCGGCGGTGGTGTGGCATCGCTATTGGCACGACCTCGTGTCCGCGTTGTCGAGCCTGCGACAGGATTTCGACTCGGAGACGGCGGCAGCTGTTGTTCTCGGCGCTGCTGTGAGATGAGAGACGCCTGCTGCTGGGCGGCGGCTCTGGCGCCCAATGCATGAGCAGACTGGAGTCGTCTCAAGGCGCGATGCGTCTGTGGCGATGGCGGGGCTTGGAGAGTGCCGTGCTGAATCGACGACAAGGCGGCAGGGGCCTCCTGAGCCGTGGGCGGAGGGCCAGACATGGTTATCGGGCTAAGATTGGCCCTCGTGGTGGTATTTGGGAAGAGTTGGTGGTGATATCGAGGATGATGCTCTGCATGTTTGGAGCACGCGTTTGGCTGGCGTGGGGGTAGCTGCCACCAGTAAGAGCGTTTCAGATTGATGCTACCATCTACCACCAGCGCCGCCAGCAGTGGTGCATGCTGCGACGCATGGCGGCTTTGTGTATGCTGCCTGAAGGGTGTCTATGATAGAGCTCATGATCAATTTTTGCGGGCGTAGAGAGCTACGCAAGTCCAGCCAGATTTATGGTTAACTGGTGATCTGCCTACCTAGCAGCGCAACACATCTTGTTGCCATCTATAGATCGATCTGCTATCTAGGTAGTATGACGTCGAGTTGCCTCGTCCAGAGCGCATGTTGGCATATCGGTTACTATTACAGCGCCTTCCAGCAGGGCTCAGGCGCTGAGGAAGCTGCAGCTAGTGCAGTAAAATGTAACCGCTTCGGATCTTCGCGCGCCCGATGATCCGGGCCATCGCTTCTCAATTCCTTCCATCCTCCAGTTCTGTATGTCCGCCAACCAGACTTGGTATCGTTCGCAGCTCGTCATCTTCGGTAGCAGCGTTGGGCAAGGTTGCAGAGGACAACTGACGCCTTTTACTGCTGATGGCTCGGCTCCCCCGCATTGTCGGGCATCACATGGGTGAATGGTTGGAGCACGGCTCAAGACATGCTCAAGTTAGGAGTACGCATTACGAGAATTTATTTGGAGACACCCACGGAGAAATAACAGTGTGTTACTGCTGTCACAGAAGAGCTAGCATGATTGAGGGTAAACAGACATTGGGCTGAATATTGGCTTGCATTGACACTGCTTAATTTTAGTCTCTTCGCCCGTGATTCGCTATACAGCCTCCTACATCTACAATTTTGAATATCATGTGCCTAATATAAGAACAGCACAGCTATAGTCATGCCACGGAAATACCACATTCAATCAGAAGCTGTCCTTCTGCTTTTGCGCAAGCGGTGGCCCGCCTTACTCGACTATTTTGCCCGGCACAGTCTTTACACGGAAATCAAAATCTATATGATCCAGAGGCTCTAAAACCGAAACGGTATAGATGGGATTGCGACATTCGAGCGTTTAGTGGGGAGATTGCGCTGAAGCCGTGATCGCCCCCCTGGTCTTTTCAGAGATCCAATAATCTGCCCCAGTGGTGATGCGTCTCAACGGCGGGTTTAACGCTTGAAAACGTCCTTTTGATGGAGAACATGACGTTCGGGAGAGAGCTTTGCTATCCAAGCCCCTTTTGGACTCTCGTCTATTCCCTCATATTTGTAAGAATGCTTTTTACAAGCATGCCTGCCGACTGTCCGATGCGGACCTTCGGCGCTCCTTCTTACTAAATTTCTTGTCGGTATAAGTCGCAAGAGGGCGCATACTTTGTCTCTGCTCCAGATAATTTTTAGACATTCTTTCCAGCTCTGCCTCTTGTCTTTGCATCGACTTATCGTTTGAATTATATGTTTTGTCTTTTATTGCAAGCCGGATATTCTGTCAGTTTTAGGCTTCTGATCCTCGGCCACTGATCGCCCGCGACGTGAACCAACCTACCTCTAGACGAACCAACCAGAAGTCTCTGCTCGGCTCACGAGACTTCAGACACCATTTTCCCGCCCTGCACCCAGCATCTAGATCCTGGATGTCTCGTTTGTTCTTATAGTTCAGGCGCTTTCTCTTCACAGCTTGGAGTCCCTTGTCGTGACTGTCTCAGCTGATAGTCTAGAGCTGCAGTCTACGTGTTAGTTCCGCTGTCAACATCATATCGAGCCGGGCCATCGCTGTCATAGTCAGCTTGGGGTGGGAAACGGGAGGCGAGGGCCCGAATATATCGAACAAAAAGAGGATAGAGATGATATTATAAGGGGGTCGAAGTCTAGTCATTGTTATCTTTGCTTCGCAGTCTCCCTCATCCTCTACTCTTCTCCCGCCCATCCGGGCATCTTCTTTCACCTAAGTTACAAACCGGAACGATGAGTGGAACAGCAGCCAAGGTTGAGCGCACGCTCGCCAGAGTCCTGGGCATCAAGCTTGCGGAAGAAGACGATGACCCAGTTACCAGAGGCGAATCAGTCTTCTCTATGCAAACCAGCGACAGCTTCATCGAAGGACCACCGACTACATCAGAATGGCTACATGATCAGATGCCTACACGAGCCGAAACTGTGGGATATATCAGATCACTTTTTCCATTCATATCTTGGCTGCCTCACTACAACTTGCAATGGCTCGCCGGTGATCTTGTTGCTGGTATCACTATCGGTGCTGTACTAGTTCCTCAGGGTATGGCTTATGCCTTGTTGGCAAATTTGCCTCCTCAGTTTGGACTGTACTCGTCTTTCATGGGACCCATCACATATTGGATCTTTGGCACATCCAAAGACATATCCATCGGCCCAGTGGCTGTCTTGTCCACGGTGGTGGGAACCGTGGTGGCCGACGTGAATGCATCTGGAACTACCTGGCCCGCCAATGTGGTAGCAACAGCATTTGCAGTCATCGCCGGATGCATTGTTCTCGCTCTTGGTGTCTTTCGTCTGGGCTGGATAGTCGATCTCATCTCCATCACGTCATTGTCTGCGTTCATGACAGGATCAGCCATCACCATTGGTGCCAGCCAGCTGCCTTCTCTATTCGGCCTCACAGGTTTCTCCAGTAGAGATGCGGCGTACAAAGTCATCATAAATACGCTAAAGCATCTCCCTGAAACCAAACTAGACGCTGCAATTGGCCTCACGGCTCTGTTTTTCCTCTACCTTATCCGGTATACGCTAACTCGAGCGGCTGAGAGGTGGCCTGCAAATAAGCGCATCATCTTTTTCATGAATACAATGCGGACTGTTTTTGTCATTCTCCTCTATACTATGATAAGCTGGTTAATCAACAGACATCGAAAAGATCATCCAGCAGTCCGTGTTCTTGGAGTCGTCCCCAAGGGTAAGTCTTGAAATTATACAAATGTGGCGACACTTTCTAACGACTTATACTGTTTAGGTTTTAAGAACGCCGGCGTCCCAGAGATCGAAGCAAATCTGGTATCAAAGTTTGCTTCTCACCTTCCAGCTGGTGTCATTGTGATGCTGGTTGAGCATATTGCCATTTCCAAGTCCTTTGGTAGGGTGAATAACTACACTATCGACCCGTCTCAGGAAATGGTTGCTATTGGCATGACCAATATACTTGGTTCATTTCTTGGTGCTTATCCTTCGACGGGATCCTTCAGTCGAACGGCCATCAAGTCGAAAGCTGGTGTGCGAACTCCCGCTGCAGGACTCATTACTGGACTGGTTGTTCTTCTGGCTACTTATCTCCTGACAGCCGTCTTTTTCTACATCCCCAATGCAGTCCTAGCTGCAGTCATCATTCACGCAGTTGGCGATTTGATAACTCCCCCAAATACCCTCTATCAGTTTTGGCGAGTCTCTCCTATTGAGGTCTTCATTTTCCTCATTGGAGTCTTTCTTAGTGTTTTTGCTCAAATTGAGGACGGCTTGTATGCAACGGTATGCATCTCTGCTGCTGTTCTCATTTATCGCATCCTAAAGGCACGTGGACGATTCCTTGGCAAGGTCAAGGTTCACTCAGTTATTGGAGATCACGTCATTGGAGACCACCACAAACAGCTTGTTGGGGAGTATGGCACATTTGAAGAGAGAGCCGAGAATGCAGCAAGGAATATTTTCCTACCGCTTGATCACGGTGATGGTTCTAACCCAGAGGTGGAATTGGAGAACCCATACCCAGGCATCTTCATTTACCGTTTCTCCGAGGGCTTCAACTATCCAAGCGCCAACCATGCCTTGGAGTATCTGACTAGCTTTATCTATGCGCGAACTCGTCGCACCAGTCCAGAGATTTTCGAGCGCAAAGGCGACAGGCCTTGGAATAATGCAGGTCAAAGGAAACCTGGGAAATCAAGAGCGGACCCTGACCTCACCCAGAAGCCTACCCTGAAAGCCATCATTTTGGATTTCAGTTCCGTCAACAATGTCGACATCACTTCTGTCCAACGCTTGATTGATGTTCGAAACGTACTTGATACGTATGCAGCCCCTGATGTTGTGGATTGGCACATTGCATGCATCAACAACCGATGGACTAAACGAGCACTTGTTGCCGGCGGATTTGGCACTCCTACAAAGCCTCGAGACGGTGCTCCGCATAGATGGAAGTCGATATTCAGTGTCGCAGAGATTGGTGGAAAAGACTCTGCTGCAGCAATGGCCGAAGAAAATGCTATCAATCGGGAACTATCCATATCTTTAATCTCCCATAGAGTAGAGGACGAAGAAATGGCAAAGGCCAAAACCAAAGTCGAAGAGGAGGAGCAAGTAGAGGAACGGGAGCAGGAGCAGGCATCAACACCTAGTGACACTGTGGAGAAGCTAGGAGGGTCTCCCAAGCCTGCATTCAAACGAAAGGGGGCCATCATCAGCGGTTTTGACAAACCTCTATTCCACGTGGATCTGACAAGCGCTGTGTTGAGCGCTATCGCCAACGTGGAGGCCAGATTAGAGTCGACGAACGGTACAGGATAACAACAACGAGCATAGCGAGGAGTGTGTTTGATGATGCATTGGACATGGCGTAACATTGGGTTTTGATTGGTGAAAACCACCAATTGTTGGATGAGCTGCAATGGAGGGACGATGAAACCCTCCTGATTACAATTGCATAGATATTGGATACAATTAAGAATAGCGAGTTTTAGAATTAACTATTACGTGCGTCGCGTCTGTATGAATAATTTATCCTCCAGTTTTTTTTTCCTTTTGTTTCGAGATATATATTGACCCATGTGTTAGAGCTTTCTCATTAGGTAGTTAGTACCTGTAGATATGCTTGTAAGCTGTGCCATAAGGTATTCTACTGTTGGCGATGGCTTGCCGTAAAAGTCGCCACAAGTCACCTGATTTCGTGTCAAAGACGTCTGTGTGAATTCAAATGAACATTTTCAACCCGTCGCGTTACCCTTGACGCTGCTAATTTCTGGATCAGTCTCCCATTTTCTTTAAAACGGGCTTCATTTGTTTCACAAGCTGTATTTCTGCATTTTCATTGGCTGCGATTGAACTCAAGACTTCTTCCTTTCTGAGGTCGATTTACGGCCGCCATTCATTCACTATGCCAATCGGCATCCAGCGTCTCAATGCAAAGAAATCACAGCCTAACCCACACATTGTCTTCATCAAGCCTCTCAAAGGATCAGATGAGAAAATTGCCCAAGATTTCCTTGAGAGAATTGCAGCCCAATGTCGTAAGTTGTTCTTTCAGCAGATTTCTCTACCCTACTCATACTGACCAAAATAATAGTTCCGGTGATGCGGAAACACCACATTCACGTCACGTCACTGGAGGAATTTCCGCCCAACAGGGAATTTGTAGGCCGTAATTTCAATGCCGGGGAGGTGATTCAGCTTGTGCTCAAGTCGCCCGGCAGTGGCCGATGGCTTCCGTTCAACTATGTACAGATGGTGATGATGCATGAGCTCGCTCACTGCGCGCAGATGAATCACTCCAGGGCCTTTTGGGCAGTGAGAAATCAATACGCCGCACAGATGCAAACTCTGTGGGCGGAGGGATACAAGGGAGATGGACTCTGGGGTAGAGGAGCCAAATTAGCGACTGGAGAATGGGAGAGGAACTCTGTTCTGGCGGATGAAGTGCTGCCGGAGCATCTCTGCGGAGGCACATATCGATCTCGAGGGAGGAAACGCAAGGCCAAGCCGGTGCTGACTTACCAGGAGAGAAAAGAGAGAAGGATCCTCAAGAAATTTGGCAAGAATGGAGTCGCACTAGGGGCAGACGAGGAGGAAAAAGTGAAGCTCGAGAAAGGCAAACGCGTCCAAGCGAAACCCAGAGTGGCCGGCAGCTTGCGAGGGCGAGAGCTTCGTGCGGCCGCGGCATTGGCCCGATTCGAGCAAAGTCGAGACGACGCCCCGAAGAAGGAAGAGGAGGTGGATGAAGAAGAAGGGTTGAGTGACTACGAAGACGGCGACTTGGCGGATTCCAAAGCTGCGATGGATTTGGACGGAACGAGGATGACGGATAAGGATGGCGGTGATATGGTTAAGGTGTGCGAAGATGAAAATCCGGATGATGCTGATGCGAAGAACGAGCTTGATGAATTACATGGATTGTTTGGCAGACGGAAAGTTAAACAGGAAGAGGGTCCGCGACGGTTGAATTCACACTTGTCAACAAGTCAGGATTCAGAAAGGGCAGTGGAACTGGAAGAGGAGGAAAGAGAACCGGCAATCAAACCAGAGGTTTTGACAGATGGTGGCGCTTCATCAAGTATCTTGTCGTCTATACCACACGTCAAGCCAAAGCACAGCGAAACTATCATCAAACCAGAATCGGAATCGAATTCTACGGACCACCAATCATTGCTCAAAGCGATATCAACGCCTGAAACAACTACTGCCACCACTACTGCCACCACCACCACGGCGATAAATACACAAGAGAGCTCAAGCAGTAGCACTACATCAACATTAGCATCAACCGATTGCTCGATGTGCTCCTTTGCAAACCCTCCTTTGGCCATCACATGTGCCATGTGCGCAAACGTCCTCGACCCAAAACACACGAGCGGCTCATGGCAGTGCGAGGGCACGTCATGCGCAGCCACGGCGTACCGGAATGCGAGGGACTGCGGCGTGTGCGGGTTGTGTGGAAAGAGACGGGAATGAAAATGGGGCTTTCTTCTTTGATTTCTCTTTCATGATGTCAATTTCCCATGTTTTCGGGAAGAGGCGTGTATATGCGAGCGTGTGTTACTGTGATGAAGCTCTGAGGCTGTTCAAAGGGGTGTTTTGTCGATCATTATGAGGCATCGGTTTCAGGATAAAATGATCGGTGGTAACTTGTTGCACGACTACGAATGTCGTACATTGTACTGTCTACCTACGTATGTTTTGCATTTAGTATAGATGTACATATATCTCCCAAGAAGGGTTCGCATCAGGCGATCAGGGGCTAGTGGCGAACTGGTTGCTCTGTAATATATCATATCAATTAACAGCTGCATAGGCTTAGAAGCAAAACGAGAAGGCTTTTGCCACACCGTCGTCACAGGGCACCAGGGCGAATCGAATAATAGGGCATTGTTTACTATGTGACGAATGTGTCTCGAACCGATTGGAAACTGGGGAGAACATCAATGTCATCTGCCGAGGTAGGCAATGGGTGTTGTATTTACCTAAAATCTTGATTCCTGTGCCATTGACCCCGATGGGGATATTCCGCTGGACTCAGTTTCAATTCTACGGACTCAACATCAGTCTCACCTTGTCTGTAAGTCTATATTGTGAGGCAATCAAGGGATACAAAGCTTGTCATAAAGTTTCTATCAAGTCTTCCCAAGCAGGGCCACGTGCCTGGGCCTCAAGTCAGCACTATGTTAAAGGTTAGAGGTAAGAATGGCTTTTGGCAAGCCGCTGGCTCATAATAATAACTAGTACATGCATAAGACAGCTTTTCATAAGAGGGTAATTATAATATTGCATGCCGAAAGACCCAGGCGGCTCAGCTTTGAACCCTGACCCATGCGATATAGACTTTCCGCAATGGATGCCAATTGTTCTTCAACAGTGCCGGATGAAGACCCCCAAGAAATTGAAGCGTTTTGGCCGCAGAGGATGGCGCCACCATCAGCTTATTTTCTATTTTCAGAGATGAGAATCAACGAATTTGGTGCGTTGCACGCGGCACGGAGATGCCACAGTCCTCAGCGGCAATGAAAGGGAGGGGTTGCAACGGACTGAAGCCGTATGAGTTCTGTCCGGGCAAATGATGGAATGACAAGGCAGAAAGAAAAAGGCTTCTGGACTCGGCCGGACTCGGCTCACTGACTCGAACGGCCCATGGGTCGACCGAGTTCCTTACTGTAACACTCGGATAGACGCAAGCATGTGTATATCAGGAGAGAGTCCACCGCATATACTCGGAATCATGCCACGCCGACGCTGTGTTAAATTGCAGTGTCTATCACACGAGTGGAAATTAGCAGGCAAAGTCTTGATGAAAAGAGAGTTGTCGCGTTGTGCACTCAGTTGTCCCGCCGTTTGTACAGTCTTTAATTGCAGGTGGACTTATTGTGTGACTTGCAGATTGATTGACAAATTCCAGTCCTGCGTGATGGGCGCGGGGAAGAACAAAATAAAGAGATTAGATATCTCATACTGTGTTGTCTGCGTTCCCTATAAAGAAAGCTTTGTAGAAGATCAAAGCATTATGGAATGTAGTACTAGACATCAACCCAAAGGCTGCTTTATCTTGCAAAACGCAAGGAGTCCATCTGGTGACGCTGAAGCAGACGTTCTAGACTCTCAACATCGGTTTGGTGGACAAGATTCGAAACTCTGCTGGATGCAGTAGTGCCGCATCTGCATTGCACTGGATATTGATGGCGCAGAATTAGGTAATTCTTCACCCTTCTTTCTTGTTGCATCCAATAACCAGGTCGCATTCGTTTACATCATGGATGCACAAAGAGGATTGTTGCTTGTTTCTTGTTGACGTGCTCCAGGCAAGTTGACGATAGTAGCAGTAGCATGCGCTCAGAGGGTGGATGACTTGCGATGTACTTGTGCTCTAGTGCTTCCCTGATACAGTCTAGCAGCTCTGCTAACGCAACAGTTACAGCAAAGCCGAAGTTGATACGGAGAGACTGCGCCGTGATCGTGGTCCTTTATACGGAACTAGGTAGGTACTTGTTGATGCTAGTGATTAGGACGACATTAGCTGCGCAGGCTAGTTATCGCGGGTATTTGTCCGTATGTCTGTCCTTATTATTAGGCTATTGAAGCGCCAAACAGCAACGAACACAGAACACAGCAAAGAGGAAACGAGAGAGGAGGGGTGCGACCAGTACTATTTTGAGCGGGGCGTGTGCCCTTCCCTGTCAAGGCGTTACCCCGCAAAATGCTGGGTGGCATTTTGAGTGGCTCCTGCCGCCGCATGCTGCTGCTTGCTGCACCGCCGGCGCTGCTGATTGGCAGCGGCCCGTGGCCGGCAGATTTTAGCTCAGAGCTTTCGCCCCAAACAGCCTGTGATTGGCGAGTCGCCGAACGCCTTTTCGCCTGGATTCTGGGAGATTGGAATTGGCAAGTGCGGCCCAGCAGAAGGGGAGCGGCCAGGGAAAGGAAAGCTCGGATTGTCTGTGGGCGGCGATTCGATTGAGCAGAGTGTTCAAGTAACGGCCTCCGCGAACGGCCCCGCTGAACTGGCGCTGGGAAAGCAGGGAGCTGTGACCAGACGTAATTAATACTGCTGTACCTGCAAAAGCGACTCGTATTACTGGAATTGATTCGGTAATGGACTAGCAGGCGACGATTGATAAGTGGCGGCAGACCAATAACAATCCAGCATCAAAAGCAATGGGGTCGGTACTATTGCCCTGTAAGCCATGTGCTGTAGTTCAAAGGTACCTAAGAGGAAACTGCACATCTTCAGTTGACGCAGCCACTCCCATTAAGTCTAGAACAAGCCGCAGCACGCGCGCGCTCATACATTCTCTCTCTCTCACACACACACACACCGTATACACAAACCTCAAGGGACACCAGTCGGTGAAGACGGGCATACTGTAGCATGCATGACGACGGCGTCGCTGGGCGCGCTGCGTTGGGCACACGTACCTCACCACGCCTGCGCTATCTGGGTTGGCGACTGGACTTGTCCAACCGCCAAAAGCCAAGCATCTGCTCCGGACGCAGGATGCGGCGTGCTGGCGCTAGACCAGCAGCTGGGCTGAACTACTGCCGGCCGATGTGTTTTAACTTCGACCTCACCTTTTTCCTCTCGCACGTGTAGGGGTGCCGCCTGTCCCTCTTCCGGATAAGCGCTGGGGGACAAGCAACAACGACAAGACTTCAGCACATTCCTGCAGTTCCAGACGATGTACATGGCCTTTAGCCAGCCCAGGGCAGCCAACAGCAGAGCACGAATCAGCCCACATTGCCTGCACTAGATGAGACTCGGACTAGCAGCGCTTTGCTCTGGACATGGAATCGTTTAGTCCATGTGCTGTTACGTTCATGCTGCGGGCGCGGCGGACATGCCGAGTTGAGAGGTCTAGCAGCAGGGGATGGGCAAGAGGAAAAGATGCAGAGAATGAGAAGTGATGGAGCGAGGTAGAGGTTGCACAGGGACAGCAGTGGGTATGACAATTCGGATCACGAACGAGTGCTGCTCGCAGCGAGAGAGAGAGAGAGCGATCGTGATGAGCGTACCGAGTACTCCGCACCTATCAGGAGAAGAACGAAGCTTGGAGATCATCACTACCTACTTCGCCACCTCTGATCCCATCCGTCACATCCACGCCAACGAGAGGGGTTAGCGAGGAACGTCAAATCTGAAAAGTGGCAAGATTGAATAAACGCAACTCGAAACAGGGCAGACCCTGCATCCAAAGCCAAGAAGAAAAGAGAGATTCGAGGCCGAAAAGCAAGAGAAGCGGGCGATTCTAGGGGTCCTGAGACAAGATACAAGACCCACGCCCGTCAGATCGAAGCCGCTTGTCCCCCGCAGACTCCACCGATCTCAATTGAATTGATTGAATGGCCGGCCGACTGGCTGACTGCTTGACACCAAAGCGGCTCGACGTCACAAGGCAGGCTAATCGCCGGACGGCGGTTGGACGAGATGCAGGCCTGGAAGCATCTCGCCTTTGGTTATCTTCCACGTTGACAGTTTGGGGCTGTGTGCGCGTGCCCGGTAGCGAAGCTGTCGGATAGTGCTGCTATTGCCAAACGACAGCAATCAAGGCTCTTCTACATCTCTTGGGCACTCTCACCGGTCTCTTTCTCATTATTGGCTTGGTGAGATGTCCCGGACCTAACGGGGCTACCAAGCTGCGTCCATGCCTTGCCGATAATCACTAATACGTACTAGTAATACCTACATGCTGAAAGGCACGACAAAGCACCCGAGACACAAATGTCTTGGAGAATCTCCCTACGTTTTAGTGCTGGCCTTTATGATGCCACCAACTGGTCCAAGCAAGGGGCAGATAAGATGGTAAGCCAGACAGACCCGGCGGAGAGACTTGGCTTGCGACTCTTTTCCCAATTCATTCATCGGTGCATTTGCGATGTCGTCGCCTATCAACTGAACATGGAGGACGCTCCCCCTTTTCCTTGTGCAATCTTGTCAGCATCGCATCGCACTGCTCCAGCACTGTTACAGCACTACTACAGCACTACTACAGCACTGCTACAGCACGCCATACTGCACTTGATGCATCTGCCTGTTCACCAGAGCTCAGCGTGAGAGTCGCGTGTTATCTCGACGGAGTGCTCCGTGCTCCGTGCTCCCTGTTTGGTGCCCCGTCATGCTGCAGCGACATGGAACCGGCTCCCGCCTCGCCTCGACGTAGCATCAGATGCAATGCAGCATTACTCCGTAGGCCTTGCTTCGTTCAATCAGACGGCTAGCACTGCTACCTACTCTGTACAAGTCGTACCAGGCATCGTGCTATTACCCCGTATCTTCCAACGTTCACACACGCAAATAGATTAACTACATCAATCTGTATCATAGATGCGACGTGTGTCCCCTGCTTCGGAGATTTCTCTCGTGATTCTCGGCCATTCTCGCCCTCTCCTCTTTCTCTTTCTCTGCTTCTTTCCTTCCCTCCATCATCATGTGCTTTGGACCGGGGCTGTTCCTCGGCGCTGCTTCCGGTGCTCGCTGCTGAGCGGATCTCCGTTCTCGGTGGTGCAGTCGCGGACTTGTATCGCTAAAGCGCATGTCAGCCCATTGCCAAGGCAGCCCCTCATTAGGGTACCCGCTGACTGAGTTGAACAGAAGTAGCGTTCATCAGTAAACCACTCGCATCAGTACCTCTGCCGATTACGGCATACAAGTCCCCTCGCGTCGCTGTACCCCCCAGGTATCGCAGCACAGACCACGAAGTACCTGGCAGGTACTTGCCCTCCCCCGTCTGCTGCTCCCTGCAACTCCAGTGCCGTGAATCATCACCATCTGCTTCTGGCACCATCGTCACTCCATGCACGCCGCACGCATTACGCAGCTTCACACCTCCCTCCTCACCTCACACCACTTTGTCACCATTTTCACCGGCCGCGCCACGGGCTCGCTGACCATTAATAGCCAGATCCTGATTGCGCTACAGCGGGCTCCGTCCCTCTCTTGTCCCCAGCTTCACTATTTCAATAATACCCAGTCACCATTGCACTAGGAACTGCCTAGCACTCGCTCTTCTACAACCACAGAAACAAGCCACCCTGACCATCCATCCATAACGACCCCCATCTCGCGCTCTCTGCCGATCATACCGTCTCGTTGCTGCTTGCAAAGCAAGACTCGCTCTTTCTCTCCCTATATATAATCATCCCCACGTGCCACCTATCCGCTTCTCCCCTCTTTTCGCCTCTTCTGCCATTTATCGTCTCCTTGTGTCTTCCTGAATTCATCCAGCAATCAACTTCTCCTCTTTTTCCTTTTGTCTCACGCCATCTGCAAGATCCAATTCTTGCATCCACCTACGTCGTCACTGTCTAGCCGCCCATCCTGGAGAAACGACACAAGCGACGCGCCAACGACACGCAGATCCACCATCCCAGGCCACCCATAACCAGCAAACCGCCAGTTGCAACACTCTCCTTCTCTCCATCTTCTCTTCGCCTTACTACTTTTATTCCTTCTCTGTTCATTTTCCTCGCCTCTCAAAGCTTCACCATACTTTCCACTACTCCAACCAGGGCCATGTCTGATACTTCTCCCAACGGACCCGGCACCGGCGTCCACCGCCGCAGCTCAATCACCCAGGCTGCCCTGTCCAACCTGTTCTCTCGAGGCCCTTCGAACGCTCCAGCTGGCCCCCCGTTCCCCAACGGCAACGGCAATGGCAATGCCGATGCGCAGAGACGCCGCTTGTCAATCACCACCATTGGACTCTCCGGCACGTCGCCCACGGATACCTCGTCTTCCTTCATGCGACGCGGCAGCATGTCCACCAACTCGAACTCGGACTCCATCAACGAAAACGCCATTGAGGATGAAGAGTTTGGCGGCCCTAGAACGGCCCCGACCACGCCCTTTGCCCGGCACATGAGCTTTGGAGGCAACGCTGCCATGCGAAACTTCCGCAACGGAAGCAGCCCCGGAAATGGTAAATCTCCAAAGTCCCCTCCCCCGTCATCTCTCGGACGCAGTTATGGAGGCGGTCAGGGGGATCAGTGGATGCCGCCGCTGTCCCAGTCCCATCCGCACCAGCGCCAGGTTTCCATATCTGCCGCTTGGCCGCCTGTTGGACGCCGATCCAGCCTTCATATGCCGCCGTCCTCTCTCCCACAGGCAAGCAACATCCAGCATCCAAGAGTCTCTTCTGACAATGCCTCTTCTCGAGCAGATCAGTATGGCTTCAATTGGTCCGAACAGCTTAGATCCCGCGCCGAGAGCTCCGTCACCGGAACCCGCCCGTCCTTTTCTTTCCAAGGCAGCGGCTCCCATTCTCCTCCGAGAGCCATGCCCAACCATGATCGTTCAAAGTCCATTTCCGACATGCCACAGCCTCCCGCACAGGCGTCCGCTGTTAGGCCCAAGCAGCCAGAGCGGCCCAAGCCCGATGCTTTCCAAGAGAGAATTCTCAAGGGCGACTTTTACATGGACTGAACCTGCCATGTATAGGCATTTCTGCTGCTACTATATCACGCCATCACGTCAGCATAACGTTTACTGCTATTACGACAATTGAGAGCGACTACAATCTATTTCGCTCACTTGCGAGGAGCTGACTTCTTTTCTCGTTTACTCCATTTCTCTTCGATTTCTGCCATTTATTCACTACTAGCATCTTACTCCATACTATGTGAGAACGGATCTTGTCGACCTGCAATTCGACCTGCAGTTCATGATAGTATGCGAGTGCATTGCGTTTTATTCCTTTGACGGTCACATTTTTTTGCACTTGAATTCCTCCTCTGTGTTTAGCGATATGACGACTATTTCGTTTCAAAGTGTGTTACTTTGCTGGCGCATGATACTATGTTTTGTACGATTTGAGGCCACTGATGCCGCTGATATTACTAGGCGGCTGTATACTCTACACACTGCTGCAGTTGGCTTGAACCTGGATCGGCCGGATTCACCAAAGAAAAAAAAAACATAAAATGGGCACATATCAACGGTGCAGGAAGAAGAAAAAAGCCAGCAGGCAATGTGCAGAATGGTAATTCTTGGAGGGTGTTACGTCTTATGAAGAGCCACATGCGAGGTGTGTGGGTGTTTAACATATGATCAAACCATCTATGACTAAACAGGAGACAAAAGGCTGGCTACACACACTGGCGGCCTTGGGACTTTAGTTCTCATGCATGTATAATTATCAGATTTTTCATATGCTTTTTCTTTCTTTTGCGGGGGCATCTTGGCGGAGACAAATGGGCCAAAGAATGAATAACGATCTGCAGGACAGAGGAGGTTGGACGTCGTCGGAATGGCGATGTGCGGGCGCTGGCGTTGCTGATTTTCGAGCGTTGGGAAATGGCCAACTCTTGTTCCGTTTTTCTTTTCAAGAGGAATATGGGCCATGTTGATTTTATGTTTATTTGTAGGAGACTGGAAAATTAAATAAAGAGATTTAAATCACAACATGCTGCTACAATTCGGGTGAGACTGAGAATTTGCGTAAAACATGGCATTTGCTTGCCATCGTTTCACATTTGCTGTGTCATGATTCTAAATCATATGTATGTAGATAGAGTTTCATGTCCACTAGATGTCATATCTGACATGATCCAAGAGTGTGATAGATTAAGAGTATATAATAAGTAGGACTTGTCACAGTAAGCCATCAAGCTCAAGTATTCTTCATCAAAGTGATTTCCTTGCATGTATATTTACAGATATTTGAGTATATTTATTTAATATCAGCAATCCAATGCCGCTGCAGATTATAGACGGGTATTTGAATCATTAATAGCAAAAGACAAATGCTCCCCTTTCCATGGTGATTGACACCCAACTCGCCAGCCAGTAAGTACAAACGTATCGCTAATAAATAAGTTGAAAGAACCCACAATGCAAGGACCAAGAAAAGAAGCCCAAACAGAACCGTTCTAGAGAAAGAGATGACCCGTTCAACCAAACCCAGCTAGGCCAAGCCATGAGAGGAAATATACATGGTATCATTTATGTCTCCTTAACTAGAGCTTCCATCTCCCTCAAATCGTTCTAGCGAAAAAAAAAAAGAGAAAACCTCCATTGAAATGAAAATCAAAAAGGGAAAAGATTGGGATCAGGCAGTCCCTGAAACGCATCCATGAACCAAGGTTCGTTCATGACAATCTTGGCCCCACTCTCATACACGTCCTGGAGATCCGCCGCAGCCAGATTCAAGCCCTCAATGTCGAAATTCGCCGGCATGGACCCCATGTCCAGCTCATTGGGCACCATGGGTTGCGTGACGGACATCCAAGGCGGGAAAGCAGGCGCCATGGCGGATTCGAGGTCTGTGGATGCGGGAGAAGGGCCCGGCGGCATTTGAGGCATAGAGGAGGAATTCGCGGTGGATGAGGTTGGAGGAGTGCCGGTCGAGGAGACGGAATCATGGAAAAATGGTTGGGCGATCGATCGGCCGGTGCCGCTGAGGTTGGCAAAGATGTGAGTGGCGTTGCTGGCGTCTCTTCCTGTAGTTGCAACTTCCGAGAGCAGCTGGAGAGGAGTATTGGCGGCTGGCTGTTGGTGTTGCTGCTGTAATTGCTGTTGCTGTAGTTGTTGCTGGAGCTGTTGTTGCTGTTGTGTCCCTTGGGCTGAATATTGCCTCTGTTGCGGTGAAGCAGTAGAAAGAGCGGCGGTGCTAGGGGTAGTACTAGTATTAGCAGCAGTAGCGGCAGCAGCGTTGCCGTCGTCAGAAGACGTTGCCGTGCCCTCTCCCTTGCCCTGCTTGAAGAACCAGCTGCGAAGCATAGCCAGCACAACGAGAAACTTGGCCGCAGGGCGACACTTGTTGTCCGCGGCTGTCGCTCGAAACTTGTCCAGCAAAGTCTCAAGGTAGTACTCAACACGCATGTTGTCTTTATGAATAACCCTGCCCATTTCTGAGCCTGGGCTCGAAGCTGAAAAGTACATCTTGATCAAAATGACGACAGCGTACGCCACTCGCATGAAATTGAAGACAGGGAGGCAGCGGATGCTGAGGACGTCCATAGACAAGAATGTGTTGAGAATACCGTCAATGGCTGTCAGGCACGCTGAAAGCGCGTTGATATGTGCGGCCGAGAGGGGCTCGGAGTTGACAATGCCATCTTTAAGGGCTTCTGTGTTGAAAGGCGGCCGCCATTGGTCAGACAGGGTCTCCGAGTGAAGAGCCATTTCGTGCATATAGAGATTGACTACGTTGAAATTAAGACGAAGAGTAGCTGATGGAACGAACATTCCAACTGTCAGCATGAACGAGCACTCTGAAATATTCATAGACTGTAAAGTCTCAACAAGGAGGGTAAAAACTCACGCTGCATCATGTTTTTGGCAACCGACGCAATGTACTTGTCGAGATCCCGCTCCAGAGCTCTCAACGCATACTGCGTCCTTGCATCTGTAATGTTGACCAAGCTCGAAGGATCATCCAGGGAAAACTGCTCGCCAACCTCCTCCGCTAGACGATGAGTCCACACCAAGTGAGAGAAATACTTATCCGTCGGCGCGGCATCGGGTGACGACTCTAAAATCTCCAAGCTCTCCGTCATAAAGGGCGTCCATCGAATCAGGTTTGGCCGGTGCAACGACATGGATGTGTTGAGGGCCAGGAAGAAGCAGGTCAGCCACGTTCGACGACACTCGATGCTGGAAGGGTCGGGAGGCGGATTGCGACGGAAAGGCGGCGGCCCGCGTTTCGATGTGTTTTTCCTGCCAAGGCCAATGTCAATGGCCATGACGGCGGCCATGTGGACGAGCTGGTAGAACTTGAGCTCCTCGAAATGCTCCGGCGGCCAGTACCAGATGACGGCCACATGGATCGCCTGCACCAGCTCCAGATTCTTCTCGCCCGTGACAATGACCTTCTCGGCAAAGAGCTGCATCAGCTCCTTTTGTAAGACTCGCTGGATCGAGTGGTTCTCGCCCGTGGCGGCTGCCATAATCGCCAGAAACAGCGTCGGCTTCGTCTTGCGCAGCTCCAACACCGTCGCACTATGGGGGAACACAACAGCCGGCAGGTGTCTCACCATGTGCTCCTTGTACTTGTTGAACAGGCCCGCGGCTTGTTCCATCGTAATGATACCGCGGTCGACGATGTCGCCTTCGGTAGGTCTGGAGAAGCCCGACCAACTCACTGACGGCGTCATGGCTTTGGGATCCTCGCTGACGCTGTCTCGATCGGTGGCCTTTCTCTTCTGCCCGGCCATGACAATCGGCGGCTGGAACGCTGATGACTCGTCCTGGGGCGTTCGTGTTGGCGGAGTTGATGCCGTCTGCATCATCGGTGATGCCGCCATGCCTGCCGCCATGCCTCCCCACGCCCTCGCTACACCAGCTCCTCCTCCTAATCCTGCTGTTGCTGTTCCCGCCGTTCCCGCACTGCTCCAGCTCGAAGGATATCCGCCACCGACGGGCTCAGCCTGATGTTGATGCTGGTGCTGGTGCTGGTGCTGCTGATGCTGATGCTGATGCTGCCCAGCGGCAGGCACGCTTGGAGCACCCGCCCTCGCATGCAAGCTCGCCGTCAGGGCATCAATCTTCTTCTCCAGCTCCGACACGCGGCTGTCCGTCTTCTTCTGCCGCTTCCTGGTCGGCGCCGTGACGACGCAGCTCCGCCCGGCCTTTCTGCACCGCTTGCACGGCTCGCCCTCGACGGGATCCGGCTCGCACTTGACCTTGAGTCCTCGACAGGCCTCGCACGCCCTCGACTTCTTGGAATCGCCGTTTGGGTCTGCGTCGCCGCCGATGGAGCTTCCGGCCGCCACCGAACCACCGCCGCCTCCACCGCCCGCGCCGGCGTCCGCATAGTCGAACTGGTGATGCTGCCCCGGCGTGCTGCCCACGGTCGACGGCGTGTCGGCGTTATCTCGACCGCTGCCACGGTGCGCCGCAGCTTGGAGCTGCTGGTCGACGGCGGACGACGCATTGCTCACGACCCTAGTCGCGGTGGAGGAGCCCAGCTCTCCTCCATCGCCACCGGGTCGCAGCCGTGGATCGAGGTCCATATAAACAAAGAGGGACTCTTTGACGGCAATTCAGACAGTCGGCAAAAAAGAAAGGAAAAAAATTAGGGCCAAGAGTCGGTAAAATAATAGCCGTCCTGGCTCGCTCCCAACGCTGCTTCAATGTGAGACGATGGAGAAGGGCAACGGCGATTTTGTCTCCGTGTGTCCGACGCCCTGTGGCCGACTTGCCGACTTTTCTTCTTCTTTTTAGCACAGGCAGCCTTATGTAAGCGGATGTTGGGCGTAAATGGTTTCCATTGAGAGTTTTCTTCAGGCAAACGAAAAGGGAAGTGGGAAGGGAAGAGGCAAGAAATGGAAACGTTCTTTATTTCTAATTCGGGAAGCCAATTGGTTTCTTGTCTAGTACCGAGACTAAAAAAGGAGGCTTTGCTTCATCTGCCAAGGGGAAAAAGACAAAGAGAGAAAAGGGATTGAGCGAAAAAAAAAAATAAAGTGGTTCAGCTACGACTATGCAAGGCAACTCTGTAGGCAGAATTGGGACCTTGGGAACGAAACAAAACGAGGAAACAGGAAACAAGCCAATGCCTAATAGTATCTCATGTAAAAAGCGCAATTTTAGCTATGTAGTACTGACTACCACGAGTTGTAAATAGCCAGGCGAACTAACTAACTGGATACCTCGGAAGTTTTGATAGTAGTGTGATACTATCCATTGTCAACATCGACATCATCGAGCAAGTCACACGCCAGTTACGGTGTAAGCCGATGGCAGTAACGCAGAGGCCCAAGTCCGCGGACTCATTCTCCACAAACCGCACTCGCATGATCAGTCGACCGGCTTTCGTCCCTCTGATCAAATCCCGCGCGTCCACTCTGGGGGCCTCGAACTGACAAGCCCCCGACACAGCCGGCCGCGCCTGTTTTCCAAGATCCGACAGTCTAGAAGCTCTACACCCGATTACGGCCGATCGTGTTAATCCCTGTTTGGGTTATTAGAGTTATTTTCTGGAAGTCATTCAAACGTGTCGCCTACGTTATCCGGCATCCTAAATCGTGGCTGACGTTGCGTGTTGTCGTGTTGATTGGCTCATTCGTATAATGATTTAATTTCACAATCAAAGGTAAAGTTGGCTCTGCTTGGAGAGCATTGAGCATTGCCAGCGGCGGGTTTAATCTAACAAGCTTCTCTATACGCACCAAGATGTAGCAGGCGTGGAATAAGAGAGCTAGAGTTTCCCATGCATCTCTACTTTTCCAAGTGTTTTGATATGTGAGTTAACCTCCTTGTTCAACCATGGAACATGTCTTGGAGAACAAATTCTCTACTTGTCCCTTTCTCCTGCAGGCACGCACGGGGCTTCATGCATGTAAGACGATGAATCGACAATGCCTTAAGAAGAAAGAAAACAAAAGGAAAATTGGGGAACGACTTGGTTGAACTAAATATAGAAATAAAAATACGTACCTAGAAGGCGTGAGCGGTCTTCATTCTGCTCGCGAGCCTCTACCGGATTTTCAGTCCAGTCAACTCATAGCCAACGAGGGACCTTCCTTTGGTACAATGGTCACTGCGGAAACAAAAATAAAAGACAAATACGTAATATGCAGTAATAGTAGCCATACGTATATTATGTAGCTCTAACTAATAATGCAATCTCTTCCAACTCCAAATGGGCAAACATAGCCCTTCCTTCTCTTCTCCCTGAAGAAAAAGAAATACGATAGCAAGTGATATAACGCATCACTTGTCTTCCACCCAATAAAATAAATCAGCACAACTCCAATGACTTGAACTCTTAAGTTGGGAAAACGATGAAAAATAAAAACTCAAAGAACTCTCAAGTCATGCGTAAATCCTGATGTCCATAACATTAAATTACAGCATACGTATGTACACATTTCAGCCAATTATATAGCTGAGAATAAAAGGCAAAATGTGGTCAAAATAGAAAGAGAAATGGAAAAACGCAAAAGATGAAGAAGAAAAAAACACTCTCATGTCGTCCACTTGACCGTTAAATAACGCTGGTTTTCGTTGTATTTCTAAAGAGCAAAGCCAAAAGAAAAAATGCCTCGTAATGAGAGAAGCAAAGAGAGAAATGAAGGGAAGAACAGAAACAGTTCTAGCTAATGCTTGCCATTTCCGATTTTAAACATTTGCCACAGTATAAGTGTGTGACAGCGCCCAATACTGAGAGAATATAGTTGAAGCTGAAAATAAGTCGACATGGTATCATCGCTATGATTGAACGAAAGGGTATGTATGTCCCGCATGCGGAAAAGAAATAGTAAGAAATAACAATAAGGTAGTAATAATAACAGTCCAAGAAAAGTTTAACCCTTTTAAAACTTTAATTAGTAAGTGATATTAATATTTTATTAGAAATGCGCTTCTTCCCGCAAGCGACTCTTGGATCCTTGTTGTTGATGCTGCTGGCCGCCCATCATGATCATACTCTCTCGACGCCGTGCCGCCTGGTCGTATGCCGCCAGATTCCCGTTCTGTTCTTCCACGGTTACAGGGAGAAGCGATCGTTCGTACGCCGGGGCACCTCTGTGCTGTGGTTGAGAAGCGTGACCATCTGCACCAGAACCGGTATCGTGTAATGGTTGGGATACTGCTCTGGGGCTCTGGTGAAGGAGGTAGGAAGGCTCATAACTATGGCGAGATGTTCCAGATGGAGTGGGAGACCCACGGGCTGCGCTCATGTTCATCAATAGAGGAGGTGTTGGCGTTGACCTGGTCGGGTCTCGGATGGGTTCCGGCCAGGCCTGATGGCGGGGAGATCCACTTCCGGACGTCGACGGGCGACCCGGCGGTGGGTCAAAGCGCGGCGTTGAATTTGAGCGACTGTGGCTTCCAGAATCAGAAGTAGGAGAAGGTAGCTCGTACTCTTCAGGGTCGACTCCGAAAATGGCCTCGTAGTTTTGAAGAAACGTGGCGAAGACAGGTGCAGGAATGTTGAGTGTCGGCGAAAAGACGATGCCCACGTTTCGCACTGTCATCTTGTTTATATCCGAGTTGTTTATGATTCTAATCAAGAATGCAATAAGGTATTTCAGCAATGTTGCGTTGGCCTTGGGTAAGCGTTGTGAAAGCTCATTGAGAACCGCCATCTTTTCGTTCTTGTCAGTAATCTCCGTCGTAACTGACATGAATTCTAAATGAAGATCTCGAGTAAGTATGCTAGTAGGAAGCTCTCGCAGATACAGCTTCAAGAGAGACGCCACAGCGTGAATATCATAGTAAGTCTCGTCAGTTACCAAGTTGATATCGCCTTCGGTATTGAACCGTTCTCGAAGCTGTTTGATGACGACATTCGAACCACTAAGTCGGAAAATGCCCTCCTCGAAAATTGCGTTTTGAGCTTCCAGGTATTGAATGCAGCGATAAACAACAGATGGAAGAGGAACGTCAATGTCTGCCGGTGGGTTGAACCGAACGGCCTCTGCCAAAGGCGCACCAAAGACTTGGCGTACCGGTCCGTGGTAGCCGTTTTGTGGCGGAGTGGCTCCGGAGCCACCTTCGCTGCCTCCAAACAATGACTCTTGTCCATCAGAAGAAGTGCGCGACTTGGGCCCAAAGCCAAAGAAACTCCGTTTCCTCGCCTTCTTCTCATCGTGCGACGGGCCAGGCGCTGGGGGCGGCGCCTGCAGGCCAATTTTGCTACCCCACATGGAAGCATCTGAAATCACTTGAGGGTCCTTTGGTCCAGAAATGAGTTTCGAGTGAGACTCCAGGTTAGTATGATGATCGCCCTGGCCCCCAGACGTCTTTGGACGGCCTCCGGGAGCGCCCTGAGGGGCATCACCAGCATGGGTCGAGTCATATCTCACTCCAATCAGCGTGTCTGAGCCAGAAGTCTGGTGTGTAGTCGACTTGCTCCCTTTCCTGGACTTGTTGCCATTGGCCTGTTCTGCAGACGTCTGGCGGTCATGGATAGGTGGTCTGGCGGCAGGCTGATCCTCCTCGGGATCTCGGTAGTCGATCCACTGCAGTAAGGTTTCCACCCAGATGTCTCTCTCTCGGTCGTTTTCTGCGCACAGGACATGCTTGACGTGGTTGCTGGAGTCCTTCTTCTTGGGCTCAAGGATTAAAAAGGCATGGCGATATTGACTATCCAGCTCCTCATCATTGTTGTGGTTTGTCGGAGCGTTGGCATCGGCATTCTGAGGTTGATTCTGAGATTGCTTGCCAATCTGAGCATTCTGAAGCTTGATAGTGCCGAGATGAGCACCGCCAGGAGTCTCATAGTATTTCAAGTAAGGCCCGTTGAGGACAAAGAAGCGCGACTTCCAGCCACCAAAATTCTTGCCTTTCTTCGTAAGATAGCCATTGCGAGTGGGTCGTCCATCGGATCTGATCGATGAATTGTCGTCCTTGGGCTTGAAAGTATGTCCAGTCTCATCAGCATTGGGTGGAAGAGTATTGGTTGAGAGGTATTTGCAAAGCTCTATGGCAGTAGCGGTGTCAAAGGGAGTGTTCAAAAGCTCATCCAGGTATTTTTCCAACACAATTCGCCGCGCGTCAATTTTTGCGGGTGCATGTCCAGTAAACAAAGACCTGTCCGGAGACTTTGCCGTAAACGCAGGACACGCCCTTAACCGCTGGTCCAGCTTCGCCAAAGATATAGAGTCTTTCTCTACTCGCCAAAGCTCACCTCCATCAGCCCGCGAAAGAATAGCAAGCGTGAACACAGGATCTTCTTCAAGCTGAGTCAATGACAAGAGACTTGCCCTAGAGGGTTTCATGCGAGACGATGCAACTCTAACGTCAACAGAGGGTAGCGCATTTGGCGACAGCAGTAGATCAGGGTATTCGTCAGTAACCAAGCCCTTGAAAATCATTGTTCGTTCCACTGGGCTTCCCAGCCCCCTTGGATCCGCCTCCATTGCCCTCTTCAGCGGATTTCCGTCGCTCATTGACGCAGTGGGTGGCACTACCAAAGGCGTACCCGGAGGCATAGGGATCGGCTGTCGGGGAGGCCGCGGTGACAAAGGCATTCCCCTGGGTGACATTGGAGGGTTTCCGAGCGCCATCTTGGGGTTGCCAAATGGCCTGGGACTAACGGGCAAACCAGGGCTGAGGACAGGAGCAGTTAGTTCCCTCGGCCTGTTCCCGGTGAGAACCGCATCTAGTGACGTGGTTTGCATCTCAGGATGCAAATTGTGAGGCACAGTGGTTGGGGATATGGGCGAGTCTCCCGCTCCAGAATTGCCCATTTTGGATACGCTCCGCACCTCTGTCTCAGTGACAGCTACGGTTTCGCGCTGACGTTCATCTTCCTCGCGTGTTCGTCGCCTGCCACGCTTCTCGGGAACAATTTCATCCACCTCTGAAATATCCTCATACTCGGAATCGGAGTCTTCAATGGTGGGAGAATCTAGCTGACGTCGTATCTCTTGTCTAAGCTGCAGCGGCGCTGGAGGAGCCTTCCGTGGAGGCGAGGGGAATTTGCCAATACCCTCGTCTGGTTGTGGCGTGGGTCCCATGACGGTTACAATTGGAGGTGCGTTGATGGCGGCGGCGGGAGGTTTTGGCGGCGGGTTCTTGGGCGGATGACTGGGTAGGCTCCGTGACGGTGGCAGTGAAGCGTCGAATGGGATCTCTTTCAAATGCATCTTGTTCTTCTCCTGGCGTGCCTTTTCGGCGGCCTCTTCTTCTGCTTCCACATCGAAATGGTCCAAGGCAAATTCCTGGGCCTTGGGCATTTCCTCCGATGGATTCAAAAGCTCGGCGACTGCGGATGGAGTTGTGTGTGTTCGGTCTGCTGGAGGAGTGATGGGGTAGGGAGCCATAGTCATGTCGACCGGCGAGTCCAGCCGGCTCCTTGAGTCTAGCTTGGGAGAGCTGGGGAATGGAAGCACGGCTTCTTTCGGGGATTCGACTTCCTGGCGCAGCTGCAGTGCGTCGTTGTGCGCACTCAAATGCTTTTCATCGTCCTGACTACCTGCTGGCTTCAATACCAAGGGATTTGCCATTACCTCTTTTAACTTTTTCCGGTATTTATCTTTATCTTTAAGCGCAGCTTCCAGGTCCTTGTTCAGGCCTAGAATCATGGCTCTCTGCTTGTCCACTAAGCGCCATAGCTGACTGTTTTGTTGTGCCTGGGACTGCTTCTCTTTGAGAAGATACTGAATCACGGCCTCGGGACTCCCGGCGGTCTGTATTAGCTTTGCAATTTCTTCCGACTTTGCCTGGGCAGCAGTAGGATTATTCGCCTGTGTGCTGGATGAGATGGCGGAGATGGCACTATCGATGGAGGAATTGCGAGGCAAGCCCGCCGTAGGACCGCCAGGCGCGGCATGTGTCGTCGGGCTAGCCATTGGTGAAGTCGGGGGCTTGGTCGACGAGCCTTCAACGGGCTTCGGGTTCACTGGTTGGTGGCCGTTTCCGGTATCATTCGGGGCAATGAAGGGATCTGGTCTATTAATACGGCGCGTGTTAGGAACGTGTCAACACATCATTGATGGTAAGGGACGTCTCTTTTTTTTTTTTCCTCTCCTTCGTCTTTCCCGCTTTTATTCTCCTGTCTGTCTTTGGTCTTTTCCAAATGTACTAGGGATGGGCACGGGGTAGACAAAGGATTCGACACTGGGCGGTCGTATCGTTGGTGACGCACCTTGGGCTCTCCTCTTCCGGGCTGGAGGGGTTAGAGGAGTCTGAGAAGAACGTAGTATGCCCAGCAGAAGACGGCGTTGTATTACCACGAGATCGCGTGTCAATGGGCGGCGGGCGTTTCTGACTCGTAGCGGCACCGGGCCAAGAAGGACTCGCGCTGCTCGCCAGCGAGGAAGCTGTATAGCTCGGCGTCGAGAGCGGGCTCGGTATGGAGGGACGTGAGGATCTGTAAGTCGTGTCGGAGACGGGCATCAGCGAAAAGGAAAAGAAAAAAAAAAGGGAAAATCGCCAAACAACGAAGCAGGCAAACAGATGCACGACAGCAGCACCTGCAGAAGAAGGGTGGTTTCGAGGTCTTGTGGTGGCAGTAGTGGGAAATCGCAACAAGGACGGTCTGATGAGCGGCAACGTGAAACCGGGGCCACATTCATGGACGGGGCAACCTTGCACCAGGCCCAGCCGCGATTCACCGTGGAGGTAGGGGTCAGGGGAAAGGTGAGATGAAAGCAGTAAGTGAGTGCAGAACCACAGTGGCAGACGGCGCGCTGTGCTCTCGGCGGCATGATTAGCGGCCTGCTTCTGGCGGCACTAGCTCTCCCAGACGGCCTGAAGACAGCCAAGCAACAAAGAGGCATTGCCCAGCAGTCTGCGAGGGCGGTTCCAACGTGCAGTGCTAAAGTGCTAATCACGGGCTGGAGGTTGAATGAAGGCTGAGAAGGTGGGCTAGCGAAGAAGCACAGACAACGGCTTCGGGGCTCTCCCCGACTAGCGAGCCAGGGGCCCGGTTCGCTTGTCTGGTCCTTGGATATTGATTCTGCTGCTCACCTGGTCTTGACAGGCGCTCTGCCCGCAAACAACGAGCTCGTCGGCGACGTCGACATGGGCGCGGATATTGGACACCAGCTGGGCTGCTGGCGATTCGAGTCGGGAGGGTTCAGGCAGCGGACGGGCGGATCGTCGGGCGTCTGTCCGCCAGATCGAGTGTCAGACGACAAAGAGCCGCCAATGCAAATGCCAGCGGCGTCAATGTCGAGGCTGGGGGGGGCCTCGCCTCGTCCAGAGTGTTTTGTGTAGTATCTAGGTCGGTAAGGTATTGCTGTGGTTGAAAATAGCGACACTGCACTAGTCGCACCGCAGCAGGTTCCTGTACTGTATGCTGTATGCTGTGCTGCGACTGCGACGCTGAGCTCGTGCCAGCGCCCAACGGCAGATAATGGGGACTGAGGGCCAATTTCAGGTGCAGGGGCGGCTGTCTGAGCTCAACCAGGCCGAGTTGGGAATGCCTGCTTCGCTTCACCCTTGATCCGCGCTGCATGCACGTCTAAGTACCGTGACGGGGCCTTTTTCATGAGCCAAATGTGGAGGCGAAGAGAGACGAAAATACTGGTCGAGAGCGCTGAGACCAGGTCCTCAGGCACCAGGGGAGGGGAAGACGGAGATGCAAATAGAGTAGGTAGCAGTACTAAAAAAATGGTGCTCCGTTATGAGGTCAGAGGGATTGGCAATTGGGTACTTGTTAGGGGTTTCTTTGTATTTTCTGTTTCTTTGGTCGCCCTTTTTCCTTTGAAAAAGTCTTCTTTTGTTCTTTGCGAGGGGTCGTTCTAACATTGGACAATGAGGTGATGGCGCCGCGGATCGCTAATTAGATGCACGTATGAGTGTCCTCGGTGATCAGCCCCAATACGAAAACAAAAGATAAGAAATGGAATTAATTGCAAAGCTGGTGTGGAGAGTTGTCAACCGAGGCCTGTGGGCTCGGACAGACGAGAGAAAGCGTGGCCGAAATTTCAATTCTTTAACCTCGAGTCTGTCCAGCAGAGAGAAGATCAGAGCCTGGTCTGACGGGCGCTCTCGTGCCACCGGCGGCGCTGTCAATGAGGATGAGTGAGTTGTCAAGGAATGAAAACCTGCTGCGTGGTCTACGATGCCACATGTCATATTGGGTGCTGAGATGGATCCATGGGGAGCAGGAAAAAAAAACCTTTTTTCCCTTAACCCATCCTCTAGGCGTTGCCACGTCGCTGCGCTTGCTCGCTCATCTCATCTCTTATCGTGCTGTAAGCTTGGCAGCATCGATTTTACTGGCACCGCTGAGCCTGTCCCACAACTTTGCCTCTGGAATGTCCTAATATGACCTCCACTCTGGCTCGCCTACCTGTTCCTAGCACTGGAGAAGCAAAGCTGGCGTCTGCCCGGCTGGATCGAGACCGTGCCGCTTGCTCGGGCCCCTCGGAAGCTTCGCCTACATTCTCCGTCCGGGCCACATGCTCAGGTGCTCTCGCTGCTCTGAATTACAGACACGGCTAGCCCACGTGGACGGTTCGCTCTGCCCTGGATTTGGATTTGGAGTGACGCATCGTCAACGGGCGCTGCGCACTTCAGCACCGGGTACCTGAGGCGGGTGAAGTCGCCCCTGAAGCGCGGAGCAGCCACTCCGCATATCTCTTCATTTACGCCGCTGCCAACAGCCTGCCAGGAACAGCGCGGGGCCCGGCTGGTTTGGCGGCTAGGCGAACGTCCTGCGCTCTGCGGCTCAAATGACTGGCCGGAGCCTCGAGCCTCGAGCCTCTCCTGCATTGCGCCAGCAATCTCCGTGCAAATAGCCCTCTGCAGGGCATGGCGGCTGACGCGCTCGTCCAACGACTGGAGCCAGCGGCAATTCAATTCAATTCAAGGACCATCCCGGCTGCCAGCCCCTGCATCTGGGCTGCTGCACGTCGCCTTTCGTAAATTAAAAGTAGGGGAACGGTGGGGAACAGATGACTAGCCTGCTCGTCGCTGCTGGTCGACGATGGCCAATGATCTCGCGCGCTCGGAGCAAAGACGCCCGCCTTAAACCTCTTGCAGCTGAGCCGTTCTATCAGATGGTGTGGGCTGTAGCTGCGGGACATGCTCCTACTAGCACTTGTATGCAGCAATATGATATTGCGGTATAGACTTGTACGACGTGGTGGTTGCACAAGGCGATAATAATAGACGGAAGCTTTGACATGCCTGGAATCAACTGTCTTGGTGTCCATCGTTGGGGCGTTCAAGACGTTAGCCAAGATACTACCAGTAAACAATGACTTGGATACTCCAAGTATCTACTCCGTCCCAGCATAGAGTCGGTGGGTAAAGCATACGAGTAGTAAAGCTAGTGGCGCAAAGAGTTTATGGCAAATAGCCTCCAGTGCATTAGGTAAGTAGCGAATCTAAAGCAGCAGCTGTTTTAAGCTTCAAATGTCATGCATGTACGCGCCTTAAGTACCAAACAAGGGAGCACTACCGTTGAGAACTGGGTCTCGTGCTCTCTCGCTGCCTCTTTTGATCTACTTGGAGACCTAAAAGGCATGTCACACAGCAACATTGGTCGCACAAGATTGATCAGCAGATGCCGGTGATACTTTTCATGTGTTTAGTGCCAACCGGTGGCCTGTGCTTGGGGCCCTTTTTTGCTTTCTCCTTCTCCCACTCGAGAAAGAAAAGAGATTGATGACAAGAAGCAAATAGATGGCAGGTACTAAAGTATTGTCTATGGATATCCAAGAGCAGAAGAAACGCGCTGAGCAGAAATCCTAGCATCCTGAACGATGGATTTTACTAGCTCCGGGATTGCAAGTCATTGGCTGTGCAGCTGCAGCATTAGCAGCAGCAGTGGGCAGGTGCTGGTCATGTGTTGCCGACCGCCTTTCTTGCAGGATTGCCGATCAGCCTCAGCCTCACTCAGCTGCAGGTGAGAAAATCAAAAGTCAACCCATCGTGAGCCATGAAAAATTAGCGAGGCTGGAGCCTCACCCTTCCTGTGCTTTGTGCTTTGTGCTTTCTGCCGCGACATCTCAATTCTCAATTTCTACTTTACGTGACATCCAGTGCAGCGTCCACTAGCCAAAACTCTCGCTCCATGTTCCTGAATTAGTGAAAGTTTGTCCACTAAATTACTTACATGGCGCACAACGAGCCCAAGAGGCGCCGCGAACGCCCTCCGCCTGGAGGCTCCGAAGGCCATTCGGTTGGTGTCATCTCTCGTGCAGCCGTACAGTGTCAGATTGGAATTCTTAGCTTACTGGATGGATGATATAGCAGCCTCATATACGGCATTTCGACCCAAATGCTGAGCCGTGGCGTCGCCGCCTTGATGGCAGCGTCGGTGAGTCGCAGTCACGGGAGGCAGCGTCCGCAAGAGGCGGCGATTATCGCGGCCGTCAGGGTCAGGAACAGGACGATGATGCAGATGAAGCGTCTAGGTCTGACGTGCCAATGACTCGCCGACGTGTAGATGCAAGATCGGATCACGTTCCTCAGTACCAGCGCCAACGAAGCCTGAGAAGAGAAAACTCGGGGCCTGCGCCCTCGGCAGAGAGAGTCATTATTGAAAATCCTCCCACTGCTGTTCCCTATGCAGCTTCGTCAGACGGTGAGAGCGATGGTGAGAGTGACCGTCGCGACCGGCGTTTCAAGGCGCATAGTAGATCGAGATGGCTCAATCCCCAGACTTCTGACAGGGCCGACGAGCCTCGTCCTCCCAGTATTGACAGGGATCGAATCAGAATCAACCCGATTGTATATGAAGATGCTGGAATGGAGGACTATCGCATCTATCGACCCATGAGCCCTGTTTTTGAAGACATCGATACATTTGACGATTTCCAGTTTACACTCCCGACAGAGGAGCCGTCCAAGGACACAGAGCTGTCAGATGTGGAGACACCGACAACCGAGGGTGAATCTATACAGAAACCTGATCGCCCGCTTTCTAACATTTTGACTGCCCCTGGGATATATTCGTCTACATACACAGGGACTGCGGAACTAGGAGCTCAACATGATGTGAATTTGACGATCCTGTACGACCCCAAGGGCCAAAAGCAGCCTTTATTTCGATGGTTGTAAGTTTTGATCAAGCAAATAAATCACTTATACGATGAATTCTTAGCTTACCTTTTTACAGACATGTTCGTCAGGACGTGATGAATTTTGACGCTTTCTGGGTATTACAGCTCAAAATTATATGGTTGGTTTCAAGCTAATTTTTGATTTCTCTAGGTCGAGGTGTCGCGTCATGTCCATTTTCCGGATGCTGAAAGAGCTGTCGTGGCTAATCTGCGAGCCGAAGTGAAGCGGCAGTGTGTTAAGACTCGATACAATCCCCAAGGCGCAAAGGTGGGCTATATGGAGCCCAAGTGTATCCAGGTTCCAATACAGGCTGCTGGTAAAAGGCCATCTGAAAACTCGCATGCGGTTAACTGGATCTGCATCCCGTATTTCTCTCTGCATCAATATTCGGAGTCTTTGCAAACTTCGAATCCGGCACTGTTTCCAGATCAGGTATAGAATACATTCCTCCCACCTCCTATATGTACTTCGACTAATAAAGAGAGAGAGAAGACTTTGCTTCAATCCCAATATTCGCGAAGCGGAAAAGAGCGAGACTTCCAGCAGGCTGTCTGTCAGCTTGGGCAAGTTCAACGAGGGGATTGTTTTCACATCTCTCAAATGTGGTGTTTAATTGTTGAAAACAGTGAGTAGTCCCTATAGCCTCTCTGCATTTTCTTTTATTAAGAAACATGAATTAGGTGTCCTTATTACATGCAGTACAAGGGAGCAATCAGATTTACAAGGAGCATGTTTGAAGTTAAATACTGAGCCGAGACAAGCGGGCGCATCGGGCAAGATTCTCGTATCATATGGAGGAGCAGTGATGTGGTCGTTAACGACAAAGGAATGCCCTACGTGGTTTGTAAGTGCAACTTTCGCATTGGATGATACCTGAAATAGCTAACGTCCGCCAAGACCTTCATTGCGCACTTTCGTGCTTTCTGGCCCCGTTGTCTGGAGTTTTGGCACAAGGATCGCCTACTGTCGGCAAAAAATTGGGAGAAAGTGTTAAAACTGGCTGAGGGGCGACAGGGCGACGTGAAGCTGAGGCTAAAGATGGCGTATGGCACCTCCTAGCACCCGTACTAAGAGAGGACTGGTCTGTTTTAAAAATGCTAACTGATTGTCAGAGATACCCCCGAATCACCACGAGTATTTCTAAAACCAAATACTTCAGCCAAGACAGCACCCACAAAGCGCCCTGAGCAAGCAGAGGATCTGCCAGAATACCTACATGTTTTCACGCTCTTGCCAAAAAGTGCAGAATCGTCTAGCGACACCATTCTTGCAGAGCTTCACGAGCAGTTATCAGCAGCTGAGAAATTTCTTACAGAGCAAACGTCCTACTCGGCACAGAGAGGATATAAACAATGTGGACTCATGGCCAGAAACGGGGTGAACGAATATCTCACGAACCTAGCACCGCGCGTCGATGAGAAGGCAAACGATACTCTCCGCCGCTTATACGAGGAAAGAATCGACGTCTTCAATATGGCAGACATGTTATTCCAACTCTTCTTCCCCCTGACGTTCCATGGCCCTACAACGGGCAAATATTGGGGGGCTCTTAACAAGCTGATGAAGGCAAGGCCAGATTCTCTCGACGTCATGAATATGATAAGGAGACCGTGACTAACACAAATTTGACTGGAATAGATGCCAGAACTAGATGGAGGCAAAGATGCAATTTCAACTCCCCTTACAGAGGTCAAAAATGCTTTGTGGCAGTTGACGCGAGACATTCAATCTTTTCAAAGTATCATGTCGTTTGCAGGAAAAGAGGATCGGGCAGCTATCGAATTGCCTCGTGAGCTTGTGACTGCATGGCTTCATATCGTTTTCGGCTTGATATACAGCAGTCATACGGTCGATTGGTTCAATCATATGACAAGAGCCAGATCTCTGATGAAAGACGGGATGCAGAAAATGATTCAGAGCATTTCTAGCCAAAATCTGCTGGAAAAAGCCGTGATGCTGCCAACAGAAATAATGTCACTCATCACGCTGAATCTCTTGCAAGACGATGTTGGGAAATACGACAATATCTGCGACACATATTCACTCTATCTAAATTCTCTGGTGCGGCACGTAGTCCGTTAGGTACATGTTTCCCCGGCTGACTGGTGATGTTAGGATACCGACATCACAACAAAACATTCCGACCGGACGTACCAGCATCGTCTCGATTTGGTGAAACAGGAAATGACTGCTATCAAACGGAATCTGGCAAGGCAACGAAGTATCATCGCCATGCTTAGAAACAAAACCAGCATTACGGACGGTAATTTTATGGTACGATACGGAGAGGAAATGCCGACACACATGAGGAGATTGAGAGACTGGGAAACTGGGGACCGATCCGAGCATGCAAGGCCAAGGGGTTTTGTTCCTGGACATCGACACTATGGGGTCACCGAAGACCGAACTATTGAGCCAGGCGTCTACGACCAAGCTCAATTCTTGACTGACCTTGATGCCGCCTCCAAGCTCTCTGCCACGGACTCAGGCGGGTTTCGAAGCCTTTTTCTTGCGGATTGCGCAAATCTTGTCGAGCAGCGAGAGTATGAATTTCGACGAAATACCGAATACGCCGAAGATCTAGAGCGTGAAACCACTTATAAGATGGAATGGACCAAGGACAGACAGGAAAATGCCATCTACGCATTCACTCTGGTCACTATCATATTCCTTCCACTGAGCGCGATATCGAGCATCTTTGGCATGAACACCAACGATATCCGAAACATGGACTTTGACCAGTGGCTATACTGGGCTATTGCGTTGCCGGTGACATTGATTTTGATCCTGGGAGCCATGTACTGGATGGATGAGCTGGGCAACGCAACTGACTGGCTTTTCGGCGGACGCAAACGGTCTTCGGGGTATGGGAAATCGTCACTTTCGGGGGCTGGAAGATCCAGGCCAGTTGAACCTGTCGTCGATTATGACTCGATGGGCCGTTCCAGCGACGAGGTACCTGCTACGTACCGCCGAGCTCGATATCGGCGCCGAGATAGGCGGAATGTGGTTGAGGTTGATGAACCTGTCGAAATTGTACCGGTGTCACGTAGACGGAGGAATTCTTTTTACAAGTACTGACGTGGCTTATTGTCAGTCTCATGAGGGGGAATCAGGATTGGCGAGCTTGTGCGGGAAATCAAAGGTGCTTCATATGACTTGGATATTCCAGAGAAATTTGTCTAGCATTCAGGTTTCTAAGAGCTTTTCGAGGACTAGAATTATGGAGAAGTTATCCAGCACCCCAGCTGTAGCGCAACAAGACAGCCAGTCCACTATCAAAATACACAACCGCTGAACACATATAAGAATAGCAGTAGCAGCAGTAGCAGCAGCAGTACATGTAGTATCAATAGCAGAAGTAGCCCACGCTACAGTGGAGTATTGGATGACAGGATTGGGGTGCTGGATAAATCTTCTCTGGAATAATGATAATGAATTTATATAAAACTATGATGAACAGAACAGCTACATAATTTGAGTACGTTGAAGCACGTTCGTTATAAGGTATAAGATTTGGCGTTAAAAAGTGTCGTGACAGCGTTATTCTCGATACAACTCCAGCATTCAAAAAACAAAAAAAATCATCCAAGCATTCGTGACAATTAATCCTATCCAAGTAGTCACTCCCGCATATCCAAAACTCAGCTCATGCGAATGAGAGAAAAGATGCCATTCGCCGACCCCAAAAGAGAATCTCTCTAATCGTAACGATACTCGCGATCCCTTATACGAATATAGTCGTGCTCCCTCTCCTCGTCGGCATAGCGCTGAGGTGGCGGCGAAGGAGACAGAGATGGCGCACGTCGTCTGGGACTGCGGCTGCGCGGAGCGTCGACGTAACGGTACGTCTTGTAAGGATCCGTGGGGACGGGAACCGGCACGGGGTAGGGGATGTATCGCTCCCTCTCGACGTAGACTTCTCTATCGCGGGTCTCCTCGACATCCCGGTCGTAGTCGTGGTGGTAGCGATCCAGCTCATCGTCGCGGTGGCGGTGGTGGCTGCGGCTGCGAGACCGGCTGGAGGAGCTGGAGCTGGAGCTGGAGCTGGAAGATCGGCTCTTGACCTTCTTCTTCTTCTTCTTCTTTTTCTTCTTCTCCTGCTTCTCGTCCTCGCTGACGGCGATGACCTCGATGAATTCCGGCTGCGGCGACGGGCGGCGCAAGGGCGGGAGCTCAAACACGGGCGGAGGCGGCAGCGGCGCGGGTGGCAGCGTGGAAGGAGGAGGCGGCGGCAGAAGAGGAAGAGGCGGAGGAGGGAGCTGGATGACGGGACGAGGCACGGAGATGTATTCCGCGGGAGGAGGGGATGGCGTTCGCGATCTGTGCGTGTGGGAGGAGTGGTGGTGGCGATGGCGGTGGGAGCGTCTGATGATGACGTCGACCTCGGGGTTGCTCAGATAGAGGCGCTTCTTGACGTCGCTGCGACCTGGAGATGAGAATGAGGGTTAGCTGAGTGAGGTTGGGATACTGGTGGCTGGGAAGAGGGTTTGAAGCGAGCGAGTGAGTGAGGCGAGAGGATGAGAGTCTTATCTTACCCATGATGACGAAGTGGGCGAGTGAGTAAGAAGAGGAAGAAGAGAAATAGACAGATGCGCAAATCGTATGCGACGATGAAAAGATGCGCGATTGCTTGGACGAGAATGAATGAAAAACTGGATGAGCGATGGAAACGACCCGATTTGAGAGGTTGGTGTTTGTGAAACCCGAAGAGGGGCTGCTGCTAAGCCTACTAGGAATGCAGGTAGTGTGACGTCTTTCAGAAGAGCCAGTCCCGTGAGCTGCAAGACGCGCCCAAGTCAATAATGCAAAAATGCACGTGAAGGTCAAAAGTCAGACGAGCTGTGAAGCCAACCACCGACGATCAGGTACTGGGAACAGAGGGGGAGAAAAAAAGAGTGGAGGGGGGGATGAGCTGAAAGGAAGCATAAATAGGTGAGCTTTTAGTCTAGCACCAGGCACCGGACGTGAAGCTTCTAGTCTACCAATGGGGCTGGCGGACAAGGCGCTCTTTGGAGCGCGGGAAGAAGCAACAAAGAAGTTGAGCCACGGTTTGCCGACGTCATTGGGCCAAAACAGGGAATTAGTGGTTTGTTGGAATGTGGGGGCGGAGGGACGGTGGCTTTGCGATGGCTGTGCCTGGGAGAAGGTGATGCGAGCGTTTTGTGCTGGGCGGAGAGAAGTAGAGATGGCATGGGTATGGGCGAAGATGGAGATGAAGCTATGAATTCAATGTGTTGTGTGAGCGTTTATTTGTGTCCTTGCCGTGTAGGCACGCAGATCCAGTGCGATACAAGACGACATTATTAGCCTGTATAAGTTGGTAGAATCAAAGTTTGGGTTTTAGCTAGAAATGGATTTGTACGTTGTGGTATCCAGTCTTGACAGCTTGAATTTCTGAGGCTCTTCTTGTAAGTCGTGATGAATAAAATGCTATATAACAAAAGCTGCCTAGCTCTTGAAGGTGGTTAATATTGCCGACATCCCTCTTTATAGAGGTACGTTCTGTTCCAGCTACCCTAATATTGTACATCCTGAAAAAGAAAAGAAGAAAGAGGAGAAGAAAAAGAAAAGATGCAGTCTAACAGTTCCATCCCGTATGCGGTTTTCAAAGCCCAAGACAAGTTATCCGACATCTTGCCAATCTAAAAATCGTTTCATCCAACATATCTCGTAAAATCAATCGTGCTCTAGCTGCGAGGCCTCCGCTCCTTATTTCTCCTGTATGACCTTTCTCCGGCGCTAGAGCTGCTCTTGGCGTATGCAAAGTCATGAGTAGCAAGAGAGCTGCTAGCTGAATTGCCTCTTCGTCTTGCCTTGAAGCCGTCAGTCCCGAGCGAATTCCATGTGCTTGTCTCGCTGTCTGTGCTGCCGGCAATACTTGGCGACTGGCACTCCAACGCTGGTTCTTCTTGGATAAATTCTGGTATTATAGCCTTATTCCTTTTCTTCTTCCTTGGGCTTCGGTTTCGTGAGTTTCGCGAATCTTCTTCGACATCTCCAGACTCCCCTTTATTAGAATCTCCATCACAGGAGCTCCCCATGTTCTCTCTGTCTTCCTGATCTCTGTGATACTGTCCCAATATGCGGCCGAAGAGAGCTTCCAGCTCAGCCTCGCTCGGTAAAATAGATTCTTCTGGCGATCGGAAACAACCAAGTGCCGTCCGATACTCGATCTGATCGGCCGCGATGGCAGCTGACCATCTTTTCCACAAAGGCAGATTCATTATCTCGGGAAATGACGGCTGTCGGAGCATATAAGGCAGTAACGCATCCAAGATACCAGCAAGAGCATGTCGGATAGGCTTCATGAGCTCAAATAGTGGCTCCGAATATAGAATATCGACGGAATTTACAAAATAAACCATGACAGATTTGCTGGTTTTGAAATCCATATCGCTGTAGATATAGTGGACACTTAGATAGCTCGTGAGATGCCTTGCCGTTTCTTCAAGGATGGCTAGGATGCGTACTGCCATGCTAGGGATCTGAAAGTTTACGGCAGCGCAGTAGGCCAGAACACATCTCGGAACATGTAGAAAGTTGAGCGGCTGGACTGGATCTCTCTCGCAGATGTTGATATCTATGAGAGCACCTCAGAATTAGTTGTTGCAATCCTCCAACAAAAGACAGTACTAGACGAGATACGCACTCTTGGTGTATATGAAGTAAAGGCAAGGCTGCACTGCTCCGACGGCATGGGGCAAATGCATCTCGACTGGGGACCCATCCTGTATTAAGCATTGATTAGCCTTGTAGTCTTGTTTCTTGGATCACTTCTTTTCCTCACATACCTCGTTTGGCGGGGGAAGTTTTTGGCGAAACCATCCCGAGTGCCGCGTGAGAATATCTCGATGCAGCTGAAATATGCTTCTCTCTGCATACACATAGACATTTGACCCTATTGGATGCCTCCAAAGGCTAGATTTCAATTTGATAAGCCAAAGGAGCCCTTTTGGATTCTCATGAACTAGACAATACAGACGTGATGCTTACATCTGGGCTGCTTGGTCTGCGGCTTCTTCCAAGATTAACCTCGTCGGTGTGCTTAACCGAGAGAGAGGTGATCTGGCGCCCTCAGACTGTGTCTCATTGGTGGTGGAACTTGCTTTGGATGATGCGTCGCCAGGCTCAGGCGGATTCGGCTGTTCGCTAGAAGTGGTTTCGGCAGTCTGTTCCTGCTTGTCCTGCTTGTCCTGCTTGTCCTGCTTGTCCTGCTTGCCCTGCTTTGCTTGCTGGTCTTCCTTGTTCTCCTTGTCCTCTTCCTCCGCCTTGTCCCCTTTCTCGGGATTGTTCAGTACTGGAAACTCCTCGGCCTTCAGTTCTAGAGGTTTCACAGGTCTTTCCTGGTCGGACACAATGGAAGCCTGGCGTTGGCGCCATGGATTGTGCTTTGGAGGCGAGGCTGGTCTCAGACTTGGCCCCGGCTGCTCTTTGGGTTTCCACGCCGGCTTTGACAGCTTTTGACTCCGACCATCGAGTGAAGTTGGGTTCGTTTTCGCCATTGGTCTCTCCCTTGCGAGAAGCGCGATTCGGGTTTCAATGTTGGAACTTGTGGTAGCAGTCAGCCTTTGCCGTACTCAGTGCTGCATTTCCCACGCTCAAGGGCCGGATCTCGGGTTTCGCAAGTTTCATGGGACAAGGCAAAAACAAAGCAGGTGAATGGATTGCCTTTGGTTTTTTTTTGGGGGGGGGGGTTTGTTTACCTTCGGAAAATGCCATTTTTTATGATGACAGAGATGGCCAGCTGGAGCAGGATGGCAGTAAAGAGTAGTGCCAGGTGGCGGCGAAAAAAGAGGCCTGGCAGCAACGAGAACACGGGGTGTGCTATATTTAAATCACTGTCATACAGCTCTGCAGGGTACGGGTACGCCATCTTGTTGCAGCAGCTGAGCTTTGACCGGTCAGCAGTCTCTGGCGACCGAGGAGCAAAGGTGAGGCGGCGCGTATGTATAAGAGAGAGCCCTGGCCGCTATTAGGCTATTGGCTGTATTATCCATATTGCCAATAGCTGCAATCCACTGCCATTCATTTAACCTTGCTTCATCCTGTTGACAATGCGATATTGGGGACAATAGCCTGATCATCTGGCTTTTTGATTAGTCTGTGCAAGAGGCGGGAATCGGTCCTATGAAGCTGCGTAGTGGTAACAGAGAGATGGAAGCAGTGTGGTGTGGTGTTAATTGCCCAGACTTATTCACGCATGCTGTAGTAGCGTTGAATTGGGCAGATAGTCTATTAGCCATAAAGTGTGCTGCTATCTACCCAGTGACTTCCGGCTCATGTTATTTTCCAAATGATGCACTCATATCTACTATCATCTCACATGAATCAAGGGCAATTTAACGAAAGTCTTCAATTTCCTCATCCTGTATCTTCTATGATATGAAGCTGCTGCAAGTCATGGCAGATTCAGTGCTGCCCAGATAGGCTTAGCCCCGCCTCTTAAGCGCCTGGTCCCTAATAAGCTCCCCACCAAGTCCCCAGCACTAGCAGCCGACATGGCGCAGGCATCCTCGTCCATTACACATCTTCGAATCCAACTGACGCCCTCATCAATCACAGCTGTCCCGATTGGCAACAACGCAACGATGGCAGACGCTGTAGAAGACGTCTCTTCCAAGGCGCAGCTCGACGAACTGCTGAATAGCTCGCCCATTGTCATTGTCAAGTGTGAGCCTCCCCCACCATGACATACTCCCCGCCATGTCTCGGTCGGCTGGATGTAATCCCATCCTCTTCAACTTCATATGTGCTGACTCTTGCCTCTCTCTCTCTTAGTCTACTCTAATGATGACGAAAGCTGCCGACAAATCGAACCTTTGTACCAGGCCTTAGCCTCCCAAATAGGTCGACCCAGACTTCTTGTCTTTGCCAAGGTCGACAATGATACATGTCAAGACCTGGTGCAGGAATATGGAATCACAGTGCTGCCCACGTTTATCTTGTTCCGCAAGGGCAAGCTTATGCACACCGTACAAGGCGCAAACTCAGCCGAGCTCAGGAATGTCATAGGAAAGATAGTCTCAGAGCTGGAACATCTGGTTGAGGGCATGGGAGGCGAAGGTGGCCCTTCCGAGGCCTGGAAGGGTGCTGAGATCCCCAAAGGCTACGGCGATGTCACGGACCAGGTGGAACTCAGAGGCTGTGAGCTGCTTAACGCAGATGATAACGCGGGCCCTGTAAAGGTCCTCTTCGAGAGCTCAAAGCCGAGTGCCCTGGGCTTGGGTAAATCCACCTCTACAGACTGGGTACAGAGCGGATCCGACGACCAGCTCTTGCTCTTTATCCCCTTCCAATCAACAATCAAACTCCACACATTACAGGTAAGTACTTTTAATCTAAATGACTAGTTGGACTATTGTCTTGGCTGACTCCGAGAATTAGATCACTTCCGTGATTCCCGAAGGCAGCACTGATGTGTCAAGGCCCGTGACGATTGGGATTTTCATCAACAGGACGAGCAACATGGATTTTGGAGAGGCAGAGGACGCTGAGCCCACACAATCCATTACACTAGAGCCTGAGCATTGGAACTCAGAATCCACGGCAAGCATCAGCCTACGATTCGTCAAGTTCCAGAAGACAAACACCCTCACCATCTTTGTTCAGCAAGGAGACGGCGAAGCGGATGCTGTGCGCATTGACCGCATCAAGCTCATCGGAGAGGCTGGCACAAAGAGAGACATGGGCAAGCTGCAAAAACTCGACGACGATGAGTAGAACTCACGGATTGGCAGTAGCGCAATGAAGGGCTGAAAAGGATTAAAAGACGAAGGAATGCTGCTCTTGGTTACGATGTCAAGAATTTTCTGTCTTTAGAGATATAAGATACCAGATGCTTGGTACTTGGACTCCCAAGTTGAGCGAGCATCGGAGTTTCAGGACGCAATGAATTAAAAAAAAAAAAAGATGAAAGACAAAAGACTTTTCTTTTCCACAATTGGTCAAATCCCCCACCTTTCTTCCTTCTTTTCACATGAAATGAATTCTTGTATGTCTAATGTCAAGTGGAGTCAGTGCCACAAGTCCAAGCCAGAAGCTAAAGGCTGAAGGCCAGCTAGTGACAATTACCATAGCAGTCTGGTAGGCAACCTTGGTGACGAGTTCATATTTTGTTGATATTTATATCATTTAGATATGGCATGATTACTAATTAACAGCTCTCGCATTGACCGTCTCGTTCTATCTTGCATGCATATCGATGTCGCTTCGGCAGAAGTTAGCCGTCGGAACTTTGCAAGGGTCATTGAAAAGGAAAAACTAGAGCCGAGATGAGTTATTCAACAGATCTAGATTTCCCAAAACTGACAGTTGAATTCCGGATTCAAAGCTAGGGCTTACTAGAACGAGTCTTGTCACTTTTGCAATGAACCGTTATTCCCGTGGCTAGAGTGGTTCAGCTACTGAGGCGCCGAGGTATACCTACGCAAAAAAACAAGTTGCTATGCCTATTTCTAAGTAGCCATGTTCTTTCATTCGGTATTTAGGACGTCTGATTACTCAACACGTTGCTTGATTAGATTTATAAGTGAGGAGGAAGCTCACTAAGGCTTTCTCGCAGCTAACCGCTCATGGCTGCTTACAAATTGCAAGAGGTTTTGGGTAGCCAATAGACTCAATGGGTGGTATAGCAGTATACAACTCATTGAGAAGAGATGGGTATAACTATAACCATGCTTGGCTGTTTGCTTTTGGGACCTTGTAAATAGTTGCGCGCAGATTTACATGTGCTTCAATTAAATCTGTAGATACCAGCATCTTGCTTGATATACTTGACTGACCATGGCGAAACACTTGTTATTGACTCTTCCTTTTCCCAAGCCAGAACCCTTTCTGCAGCGGCTCCAGGCTGTATTTCCAGACTGGAAAATCACGTATTTGCATCATGCTGTTAAGCCCACCGAGGCTTTTTACAAGCAGGATATGCACATCCCGCCTGGTTCGTCTCCAAGACTACAACCCCTTACATCCCTTGTTTAAACTCGACAATCAACTCTTTTCTAACCTTATTCTAAAATTTGTGCTGTTGTAGAGATCTTGCGCGAGGTTACTGCGTTGATGACTATGGGAGTCGTGCCTGATCCCGCTGACGCTCCTAATCTTCGCTACATTCACTTTAATGTCGCCGGGACTGACCATGTTGCTCATAAGCCGGCGTTTAAAGATCCAAACATTACAATCACGACTTCTACCGGCGGGCCCAGCATTGCTGTTGCGGAGTGGGTTCTTGGCTCCATTCTGGGACTGAGTCGTCGACTGTTTCAGTTCAAGGAGCTGCAGAATGCGAAGAGTTGGGGTAGTCCTGTGCCGGCTCCGCCTCCGTTTGCTCTAGACGGGAAGAAGATTGGTATTGTTGGCTATGGATCCATTGGACGACAAGGTTAGAATTATCCTTCCTTTCATATTTGCATATATGGCTTGACATTTCTCACGCGGCGAAATATAGTGGCTCGCTTGACAAAAGCTTTCGGCATGGATGTCATTGTCTACAACTCTCGTCCACGACTTACTGCGGAAGACCGCAAGGATCAAAACTGGTGTGAGGCTGGCGCCGGCGATCTAGACGGCACGATTCCAAGCGCTTATTTCCACGGACAGTCCAAGGAGGAGCTGCATAGCTTTCTCTCTCATGACCTAGACATTGTGGTTCTCTCTCTTCCGCTGACGGCATCTACGAAACACTTGATTGGTGAAGAAGAGCTTAGACTGGTCAATGCTAAGAACCCGGCTATTCTTGTCAATGTTGCCCGCGGCCAGATCATCGATCAAAATGCGCTCATTGCTTCGCTGAAGAAGGGCGCTGCCAATGGTGGGCTTCTCGCTGCGGCTCTTGATGTTACTGATCCTGAGCCTCTGCCTGAGGATAGTGAGTTATGGGGACTGCCTAATGTTTTTATATCGCCGCATATCAGCTCTGTTACGCAGCAGACGGTGGCGCGGGCGTATAAGATTTGGTTGGAGAATTTGGTTCGGATGGAGAAGGGCGGCGAGCTGTTCAACGTTGTTTCAAAGGCGAAGATGTAGGTATGTGCTAGTCACTATGTGCACTGTCTAGTCATTCGCAAGCGTTAAAGCTGAGAGTAGGAAACTCTTTATATGCAGTTCAGTAGCAGTCAAAGTTGATATAGATGTGAGATGTGAATAAATCAATTAGGCCATAGTGATTTGACATGTATAAACAATTATCATTTTTAACTCAAAAACGTTACTGGCCACACTAATCACAGCCTGTTTGCTTGCAAGAATCGAATCATCTTGTTGAAGCTATCCGGCCCACTCTTATGGGCGGCAATAGCATGCCCAGCACCCTCCGCGATATACGTCTGGCTTCCCTTGGCCGCCGCCGGATAGAACGTCGACATGGTCAAGGCATTCTGATCCGTTGGGACGAGACAGTTGCCGCCGCAGAAGACGAGATCGTGCTGGCCGTTGACGAGCAGAACCGGCCCGGTGAAGTTTGTCGACGGCGCAACGATGCCCCCCAGCGTGAGTAGGACTCCCAGCGTGTTCGTTGACTTGCTGGCGACCTGTTTCTCGAAGACGTGCTCGTCGTAGTTTGGGTACCGGTAAAAGGCAAACTGGATGCCGGCCGCCGACTGCTGCGTCAGGAAGCCCGCGGGCAAGCCTCTGAACTGCGGCGCCGGGTCTGAGTTTGCGTTGACCAGGTTGAAGGCCGCGACGGTCAGGGCCACCGAGGCCGCGCTGGCGCTGGTGCCGGACAGGATGACGGCGTCCAGGTCCTCTGGGTGCTGCGTGGTGATGCCCTGGGTCAGCGTGCTGCCTGCGCTGTGGCCGACGCCCACGACCGTGTCGAAGCGGTGGCCGCCGAGCTTGGCCTCCCGCAGCAGACGAACCAGCTCGTGCGTGACGGCGACCTGCGAAGTTGCCTGCACGGCCTGGATGGGGTCCGGGTGGTCGGACAGGCCCACGCCCAGCTGGTCGTAGGAGAGCGTCGCGTAGCCTGCTGCAGAGGCGGCGTCGACGTAGCTGTAGCCCGGCGCAATGTCCCAGTAACTGTGGTCGAGCGTGGCGCCGTGGGTCAGCAGCTGCACCGTCTTGACCTTGGCCAGCCGGGCAGCGTCCTTGGGCAGGCAGAGCTTGACGAAGATGTGATGGCGGCCGGATATGACGCTGGGGCCCCCCGCGACGACGTCGGAAATCCACGACGGGTCCGACTGGAGCAGCTCGACGAGGGACCCCGTGACGGCCCTTGCATCTGTAGGTGCCTCGTAGAGCAGCTTGGTGCCGGCGGTGTTGATGGATATCGCGACGTCGCCAGAAATGCAAGTCGAGCCACCGCCGGTCGAGGGGCCGATGACGGGGTTGGAGAAGCCATCGCTGCTGCAGCTGGCCGAGGCCGAGGCGAAGCCGAACCACGGGTTGAAAAGCAACGCCGCTTGGAGCAAGGCAGAGGTGTTCATCGTGGGCGGGATGGAGATGGAGATGGAGATGGAGATGGGATCACAGCTTGGAACACAATTCTTCCACTTGATTGTTTGTTTGTCTTGATGGTTGTTTGACGACCTTGATATTTATTAGACAATCATCTCACATCTCAGAGGCATTTCCCTTCTCACCTGCTAGAACACGTAATGTAATACCTTCAACCAACAGCATAAGCAAACTGAAATATGTCGTTATATTTGGGGGGGTCCATCATTTCGCGTCGCCCTCATTGGAGCATGTAAGGCTGTATGGAGTGCCTTGCCTCAACTAAAAGAAGGCTGTGCAAAAAAATCTAGGCTGAATATTGTTTAGTTGTCTGCACGCAGTTGGTCACGTTGAATCCTATAATCAAATTCTTAGGTCTCGACCATAGGATCCTGTAGATTATGTACCCAAGGTACAGGTAGATTGAAGACAGAGGAGTGCATGTGCATATGCACCTGCAGGGTACTACCAACAGCAATGGGGGCACAAATCACGTACTTGTAAGAACGGGAGGGGGGTTGTGTCATACCACTCCGTCTGCTAGATTAGTAGTTAAGTGGATGACCATTAGCGAACACCGGCTGTTGTATGTTTTTCTTTTGGGCCTATTTTTATTTATAGTTGTTGATGCGTGGTTGTGACGGGATGTCTGTCAGGACAACGTCGGTTTCGGAATTCCCCAAAGTTATACTAGCGTCTACACACGATATGTATGTGAACTCAGCCTTGATTGGTCCGGTGACAGAGCTCGTTTGTTGTTGAGCGATATTAAAAGCAATACATTTTGAATTATTTATAGAGATTCAGCATAGTCTAGAACTAGGTATTTTCCTCATACGGAGTTTAGAAGTACAGCTAACGGAGAGCCCATCGTTTGTGTCAGCAAAACATACAAATAACCGGAGTTAGTATAATAAATTCCGTATATATATGATCTAGGAATTATTCAGCTCTGAATTCTCATATATGAGGCTCAGAAGTCATCTAGTTGTGTTGAACCGATGTCTTCTGGTTTCCTAATTTGGAAGAAATTGCCTAATTAGGCCATTCTTTCCCAATGAAGTAACCAGCATAGCAAGTTTCGAAAAGATGGTATCGCTTCAAGACATGTACATGATATTGAGCTTTGATGTTTGACATGTTTATATAAAGCTGTCAATCAAGCATCAGGATTGTCAAGGAATCGAACAAGTTCATCACATCTTTATCAGTCAAGAAGCCAATCGACCAAACAAATAGCAAAGTCAACACAACTGCAGTCTCAAAACTTCAACATGACACAATCCTCCTGCCTCTGTGGCGCCAACGTCATCACCTACTCAGGCGAGCCCGAACTAAAATTCCGATGCCACTGCGCGGACGAGCCCAAGCTCACAGGCGCTGCTCCATTCTCGCTCAACTTCATCATGTCCACGGACACGTTAAAGGTTGTCAAGGGGGAACTCAAGACCTGGGGATTTGTCGTGGAAAGCGGCAACTTCATGTCCAACCACTGCTGTGGAGAATGTGGAAGCCTGTTGTACAGGACTTCAACTGGATTCCCAGGAAAGATGGCGATCAAGATTGGCTGTGTTGACGATGGCGACTTGGTGAAGTCGTTTGTGCCAGAGGCGGAGATTTTTACGCGAAACAGAGCTTCGTGGGTGCCTGCTATTGAGGGGGCTGTTCAAAATTGGTCCGACTTTGGGACTGGAGAAGACCCTGAGGCGTTGGAAGCAAAGAATTGAGACGCACGGTGAAAGGTATCAGGACTGTATAGAGAAGAGGAGTGAATAATGTCACTTGGGGCCTGCAGCTTCTAGCAACTATATCAGCTTCAAAAAGAAGACTATACATGTATCCATGATTATGTCCTCTGTAGGTGCTGTGCTATTATTATTCTAGTACAAAATTAAACTTTTTCAATACTGTTTGTAGACCTACCAGCAGGCCAGAAATAGAAATAAAACTAAGAGTAGCTGCAATAATAAAGGGGGAATTATGGTATAACAATTGTACCGCCACCAATCGGGACTGCGCTCTAACCCAGGATATCGAAATATTGCACACTTTGGCTTGTGTAAACCAGGCGTTGTCTAAATCAGTGTCTAAATCAATTTAAACAGCGGATTCTTCGACCCTCCAGTCCCTTGTAACTGTAATTGTTTTCAACTCCAAGTCGGTGTGGTGGTGATCCGGTCCATCAGAATCAAAGGAACTGCCATCTGCCGCAGCAGTTGCCTTGCCGCCAAATTCGGAGCGCAGTTGTCTCGTCGAGCGGTCGTCGTCTTGGAGTTCCGAGAACCCTCCCTTTCTAGAAGCGGAGAGAGCTCCGGTGTTGCTACTGGCATTGCCTCCGGCGTAGCCGCTGTTACCAGCTTGCGATTTGTTTCGAGATACCAACGGGCGGAGGAGCGGGATGCATGATGCAGTTACCAGCAGACAGGGCTCCAGGGCACTAAACATGAGTGCGACACCACCGAAGAATGGGAAGTCGTTCATGTCGATTTTGATAATCTCGGCGAGTCGGACGGCGCTTACAATGCAGACTCTGTGTATCCAAGCGTTAGCTGGGCGCAGTTGGACGGAAAATAGGAGAAGAGTTGGCCACTTACGCAAGCCCGATGCCAAAGGTCACCATCAAACCAATCTTCTTGTACAATTGTAGCGACAGACCGTAGAGATATGGCATAGGGAGGAGCATGATGACCAGATCAGAGAAGATGTTGAGCCCTCCGGTGACGGCCCACAACATCTTGACGTCGCCACAGGTTCCCGTATAATGGAACTTGTCCCAGTTAAGCTGAACGGGCGTACAGATGGCAAAGGCACCGATGAACAGGATCATGGCCCAGAGCAGGACGAATACGGCACAGGCTTGGCTGATGAGGATGAAGCTCCTGACGGAGAAGATCTTGGTGTACAAGGCGAGGATGGACATTTTCGCCAACCCGAGACTGAGCGACCAAAAGACGACGACGGCGGTCACAAGCTGCAGCAGAAGAATTACCGAATCCTCTCCTGCCATTTCGAGGATCTCAGTCGTGTGGTATCCCATCCCCCCAACCACAGCGCAGGAGACTGCAAGGCCTTGGTACCCGACCGCGACAATCTGAAGGATAACATTTTCATTAGAGGAAAATATTTCATTGAAGAATTTACTCGACTTGAGCGGATAAGAATACTTACACATGCCAGGATGATGAGCCAGTCACTCAGATCGAGACGGGCATTGTTGAACCTCAACCGCGCGTATATCCGCCCACTAACGGCAAGCAGCGGCAGCAGCGAGAACACAACAGCGCCGGCGATGACAGCTTTTTGAGGTTCCCGCTGAATTGGAAAAACAAACGGCATTGTGAAGATGCTGCCTGTCTGCTTCTAGATCTCTCTGGTCAAGCTGCGGATGTCGGTCGATACTAGTCGCAAAGCAGGACTGCAGGTGAACCAGGCTTTCAGCTCTCGAGTAATGTATGTATTACAAGCAAGTAGATACTAATCGCAAAACAGGACAGGAGGTGAACTAGGCTTTTCAGCTCTCGAGTAATGTATATTACTACAAGTAAGTGTTAAGTGCGCTATAAGAGTTTTATTTATTCATTCCAAGGTCACATTGCGGCATAAGTAAAGAAACAGCCTAACTTGGCCTGCTTGGCTAGCAGGCTTGCCAAACAGCACCTAGAAGAAACAGGGAAAGACTTATATAAACATCCTTGAGGTATACCAGTGTAGCATTCAGACCCCAACAATGTACAGACATGGGGCTACTCTTTGACTTCAGTGCTGTATCCCGGCTTGTAAACCTCTTTGTCCCATAAATGTATTACGAGAAGTATTACATAAGGCGTATCCGGTGGATACATGTCAACGTCGCTAAACCCCAGATTGGGAACTGGCAGCGGCACTCGCGGGACCGGAAGAGGGTCCCGAGGAAGTGGCCTGTTGCCATAACTCTAACTGGGGTTGATTATTCTTATGTATTAGGGCAGATGGGAAGTAATCTGCTCACCTGCAGGATAAAGAAACGGCGGTGAGACAACATCAAAAGGGGAGTGCATAGCCAAGCACGCCGTTGAAGAAAATCATGAGACATGGGTCCATTTACATAGGCTTGCCAAGTATCATCTCTCGTCTCACCCCAAGTACTTGATTAGAGTTATGAGAGAAAAAAGCCCAAAACATAACAAGATCATCGAATTTGAAGTCTAATAATACTTGTTTCAAAAAATTGGTCTCCTCATCATTGCCGTTGGCGGAAATATTCACGCGAGTTGATCGCTGTATAAAGACATGGAGGGGGTGCGTCTCAAGTTTTTTGCTTCCGCTGCATGCCAAGTCTCTCCTTTTCCGTTTCCCCATTTTCAATGTAACTCTACAATTACTACCCCCCCAGGATCTGGAGTCCATCGAGGCTCTAGTGTAAGCTTATTAGGCAAAGCTCGAAAACCGTTGAAAACCGTTGAACGCCTCAGGGGGACTGATGTGATTCGCCAGGAAACTTCCCATGCAGTAGGAAGAGACAACTGCCGGTCTTGGCAAGCCTGGGATATTCTCTAGTCTACAAGATGTCTAGTCTACAGGATGCAAATTGCCAGGAGCTACAATATGCAGGTCCATAAGTCCACACCGTTTTTTGTTCAGCTATCTATATAAGAGAAAATGAAGAGCCTGTTATTCTTTGAGGCTCAAGACTCTATCTACATCAATTGACAATATCTCATTATCTCAATCCTTCAACCCACATAGTTATCCACCGCAACAAGAAGAAACTACATACACAATGGGTTTCGGCGTCAATACACCTGAATATCCCGAAGGCTGCGCCGTCGTCTTCGGCGGCTCAGGCGGCCTTGGACGTGCCTCTGCCGGCCTGATCGCGGAGCGTGGTTCTGATATTGTTGTCACATATCGGTCGAACGCTGCCGATGCTGAGTCCCTGGTGGAGGAGGTGCGCAAGCTTGGGCGCAAGGCGAGCGCGGTAGCCTGCGACGTCACTGATCGCAAGGCGGTTGAGGCTGTCTTCAAGCATGCCGTGGACACATACAAGCGCGTACACACGGTCGTCTCCGCCGGTGGCCTGGTGTTCGATACCGGCCCACTGGTGGACTTCAAGGACGAGACCTTCCGCAGCGTCATCGAGACCGACGTCCACGGCTTCTTCAACATCGTAAAGGCCGGCGTGCCGATCTTGCGTGAGGCCAAGGGCGCCTCGATTGTGGCCTTGATAACAAGCGCGGTATCCAGGACTGTGCCCTGTGACGCGTTGAGGTGAGAAATATCCTTCACAGTTATATACTACTAGTAGACCCTTGTTCATGAGCTAACACAACAAAACAAAAGCGCGACCCCTAAGGCGGCGGTGACAACTATGATTCGCCAACTTGCCTACGAGGAGGCTGCTAACGGTATCCGTGCCAATGCTGTCGGCCCAGGAGTCATCGACGCAGGCATGGTGCCCAAGATGATGCTCACCCCGACGAAGGCTCTCCTCGAGGGCGCGACTGCGGTGACGCCGCTTGCGCGCTGGGGCACGGCCGCTGAAATTGCGGAAACTGTTGCATTCTTGGCCTCAAGCAAGAGTTCATTTACTACTGGCCAGATTTTGATGGTAGATGGAGGCCTTGCGGCATGATGATATGGCATGGTGTTTGTGATCTCTGAGGGAGAGGTTTACACAAGGCTTGCTGCAAATGAATTCAGTTTACGACGACATGAAGGGGGGGAAAGGAAACCATTGTAATAGGCTAGACTTAGGATCTAAGCTTTTATATAAAACATATATATACATATAAAAATACTTTGAGGATTCGGGGTTCCAGATTATAACTATCCGCTTATATCAGGATGGCTTGGTGATATCGGATGTGTAAGTTGTATCCTTTTCCGGGAAGTAGCATCACATTTTGAGCAGCTTGGAGCGAGGAGGTACGAGCTATCACATTTTCGTCTGACATTGAGTTACGCGCAATGAAGACATAGACATTCGTTATTCGTTGTCTTGAAGTTGTCTCCAGTAGATCGTTTTGGTACATGTAGTCTCTTCCCCACATGATGTTCAGTCCCGTTGCACGTGCGAGCTCCCGCGACCTGATGTAGCAAATCTGTCTGTTTACAACGCCAAGAGAATGTTTATTTCGTTTGGAAAGCCCTCAGGCTTTTCTCCATTTTAGATAGATCATCTCATCATCTCTTTTCATCATCCTCTTCGTGTCAAGTCCATTCGGCCGGAGAAAGGAGGCGCCAAGGAGCAGCCCGCAGGCTAGCTTGGACGGCCAGGAAAACGACATTACGTCGGACGACCTCACCGGAGATTGAGCGGAAGGCTAGGTCCATACTTGCTGCCTTAGACGTGCGAGAGCCGTCGTAGTAGGCATATCAAATTGATTGGATTTTAAATTACCGATTCTCAATGGGAGAGATTATCTAGCATCCCGATTATATATACAGCAGTAGCACTAATAGCACTAATACATGTAGCAGCTGTAGCACTAATAGCAGCTGTAGCACTAAAAGCAGCAGTAGTAGCAGTAGCAGTAGCAGCCCACGCTATAGCTAGATCAACCCTCAACTTCCAATTCCCTTGTTAATTGTTCACTGATCAGCCACGTTCGCCATTCACGTCTCCTTTTCCCCACTCAAGCTTATAATCGCCATGCAGCGCCTAACAACTGTTTGGGCAACTAGGCGTTGCTGCTAAATCGCAAGCGTTGACGATCTCTGACGATATGCCAGGGCCGGTTGTCGCCCGCAGCTTGTGACTTGCTTTCTCCAGATTAGCTCTGGTATCCGCTGTGGATCTCGGCAAAGTCCCGCCTCTGGTGGCTCCAGCTCATAGGGGTTCGAGTTGAGTGTGAATTTGATGTAATTGACGGTTATTTGCTGATGACAGTCGTACAAGAAACAGATTATGCATCAGAGATGGTCGAGATGAATCTGCAGACGGGACGCGATCCTTTAATAGCGGCAGCCCGTCATCCGCTGGCAACCCGGACGGGTGAAGCAGGCTGTAACGTCCAACAGATCGTCAAAGCATATCGTCAAGCTCCCGCGTAAAATTGCGACGTTACAATTTTGGGGGCCCGTTATCCGTTTTCCTATGGATCGGCCTCTGCCGTATTACTATTCGGACGGCAGGCATTCCAGTGCTCCATCATCTGATCTGATTGGCCTTTGTTTCTTTGTCGTCTGGTTGATGAAACAGCTGGGTGCCCGTTGACGGCTCACGAGGCTGATGGCACCCGGCTTTGCTCACGAGGTGGCGTTTATATAAAGAGAATGGCGTGTCCATGATACCCAAGGCTGACCACCATTCAATCTCTGAACGCCATCTTTTTCTCCCATCTCCTTCTCCTTATACCTGGACGCAAGATTTTGTCCAAGATGCGCACTTCTACCGTCGCAGCAGCGGCCGTTGCCGCCACCGGAGCAATGGCAAAGCCTCGCTATCTCACGTACTTTGATTCGTGCGTACCACTCCTCCGGCGATGATTGTAGAAGATACATGTACTTATATTTTACCACTAGCTGGGACACAACCAATCTGCCCGATCATTCCATTACTGAGGGTGTCACGCATGTGTCCACCGCCTTCGCCGCGTCCACAATTTTCAACTCCGGCACTTGGTATCAGCCTTTTATGCCCTTGGACCAAATCCGAGCTCTTTTCGACGATGGTGTACTTGTGTGCCTCTCAATTGGCGGATGGGGCGACACGACCGGTTTCAGTGCAGGCGCACAAAGTAATGAAACGCGTCAAACCTATGCCCAGAATGTCGCTACAACAGTCAAGACACTGGGCTATGATTGTGTTGGTGAGTACAACAGACGATGAGTTGATGGCTGTTATCTATATTAACGGGTTGCGGCTACAGATATCGACTGGGAGTTCCCTGGCGGCAATGGCCAGGACTATAGACAGACTCCCAACTCTGAGAAGGCTTGGGAGATTGATGCTTTCCCTCTCTTCCTGCAGGCAATCAAGGATGCTGTTGGTCAAGATATTGAGCTCTCCATTGCTGCTCCAGGACGAGTCGAGGACATGATTGCTTACACGGCTGAAAATGTGGCCAAGATTAACGACATTGTCGACTACGTCAATGTGAGTACCCTCTTTTCTGTACTGGATGCGAAATCTCATCCCTTGCAAGATTGAGAACGATAAATTGTACTGACATCAATGTTACAGGTCATGACATACGACCTCATGATGCGCCGGATGAACACAACTACTCATCACAGCGGTGTCTCCAACTCGGGCGATTCCATCAGCACCTACATCGAACGCGGTCTCTCCCCCAGCAAGATCAACCTCGGCTTTGCCTTTTACGCCAAGTGGTTTGAAACTGCCCCGGGATTCAACTGCACGACGCCCGTTGGCTGCCCGACGGCAGAGCTCGAGGCCGCCGACGGAAGTGACACCGGAAAGTCTGGTGCCATCACTTTCGAGGCCGCAAACATGAACGGCGATTTCCAGCACGCAGTGCAGAACGGCGTCGCGGATGAAGATTTGGGGGGACAATGGTACTGGGATGCTGACAAGGAGGTATTTTGGACCTGGGATACTGCAGAGTTTGTGACCCAAAAGTTTACGGATATTGTTGTGAAGCAGCAGCTCGGCGGCGTCATGAACTGGGCTTTAGCACAAGACAGCCTTGACTGGAGTCATTTCAAGGCGATGCAGGCTGGTGTGAAGGCTCTGCAGTAGAAGATGGATGGGGGTGGAGTGCTTAGACCGGGACAGATTATGATTTGTTTGCACAAATGTATTAGAATATGTACATTAACAGCAGTGATTGCCACAATATTGAAGAATGTTGACCTCTTTACAATGTGAGCGACTTAGATACGGCTTAATGTGAGGTCCATGCAGTTGATACATTGTGTAGATGGATGCATGCGCGTTCACCAACAAGATACAGGTCTGAAAGGGATGAGAACGAACGTCGGGGTGGGCGAGGTTCTGAAGTGTATAAGCCATAGGCCAACAAGTCAACTTATATTCGCTAACCTTTATCATTGAACAAAGGAGTAACAAAGGAGCAACAAACAAAATAACAAGTATTATTGCGTTTGCCCTTATCCTTTTATTAAGAGTCCATTGAGTACACTATATGTAGACAACGCAACACTATGTCTCGAGACGAGCAACACAAAGTCTTGGCGCAGAGCGTCAGTGCAGTGCTGTATATGGAGAGGGAAGTTGACGACCTGTACCCTCTCAGATCAGATACATGGATGATTCAATTGTTAGAAGTCAAAAGACACAATATAAACTTACCTCTATTCTCGGAAGAGCTCTCTGAAAGTTATATCCACCTGTGTACATACAAGAACTTGATCGCTTTTGGCACGTAAGCTACTGTTTCTGCAGATTTACCTAAATGTAATATGGCTCTACAGTCTCTAAATCTAGCATAAGCTAGGTACTACTGCTGCTACTGTGATTGTTGTAATGAGACAGAGAATAGCTTGAGTTTCTATTCCAATAACTCAAGTACTAGGCTGGAGTCTGGAGGAACGAGAAAAGATATACCCGTAAATTCAGTAAAACTCTAACAGCTGAAGATACTGACATTTGTTCCTTCGAACACGCCCCGGAACTGCGTCAGTGTAATTCGTAGTTTGCAGTTCGTAGTTTGCAGTTCGTAGTTTATTGTATCGATATTGTAAGTCTGTAGTTGCATTAATGTCGTGGGTTTATGTGGTTGTATAAGCCTGTTAGGCATGGAGTGGAACAGTGTAAGTTAGTGTTGTTGAGGGCTGTCGGGCATGGCAACGGCTGTGTGGCGTCGTTCAAATCGGTCAGGCACGGTTTCAGGTGGAGCGTGGAAACGTGGAAACGTGGAAACATAGATACGTGGGAGGTTTGACGTTGGTAGGGCACGAATTTGATAGGATGTGGGAGGGAGGTCATTGTGTAAATAGTCGGTCAGTGGATCATCTCAGTCGGTCGGTGGATCATTCTCGACGTTCGACGTCCGTAATCGTAGGCGCTGCAACGTGCTTTAGAACAGCAGATTGGGGCAGTGCTTTATCGCATATATCAGCGTTGTTGTGCGCCTGGGTCGTCCAGTTGCGCGTTGTGGAGTTGGGGCTCTTCATTAGGAGGATATCGTCCGTGTAGGCATTCATGAGAAGGCGTTGTACGGGTTAAAGCAATCTAGCCGTTTGGAACGCTGAAACGATCGATGGACGAGATGAATATGACACCGCTCCCGTCCGGCCCTTGCGTTTTCCAACGAAAGAAGTTGATCAATGTCGTTTACGTTGGTGGCATTGTGGTCATAGGCTTATTAACGGAATACAAATGCAATAACCTTAAACTCTGTCGGTACCTCCTGAAATAGGAGATTTCACAGAAGATCTCTTGTTTCGCAGACATACGACCTAAGATATTAGACATTACAATAACCACTGCTGCTACTACTACTACTACTACTACTACTACTACTACTACTACTACTACTACTACTACTACTACTACTACTACTATTACTGCTGCTATTGCTACTAGGTAGTAGTAGTTCTACTATAAAGGTACCTTACCTATATATTAACCACTAAAATCATAGCGGATATATACACGAAAGCTCTCTCTCGTCTAGCAATCGGCGACACACTGAGAAACTAGGACTGACTGGCCGATGTTGAGATACCGTGTTAGATTGACCAGTATTGTGTTTCCTATTAAGTTGTCTGACACCACATTACCCCGTGCCCGACCGATTGATTCTAATCGATCGACTGGAACCTGACCGACCGACTGAATGAACGCCACGGCGCCATCCCGCCGCCACAACGGACCAACCCGTACGAATTCAGCATACACCACAACGAATGTAGAATTAGATTAAATCAAGCATACAGCATCGGTGATATTGTTTTATATCATATCGTTCCAGAGGTGTATTAGAAGGAAGGGTACTATGGTAAATGATTTTATAACTAGTCTTACATAAACGCCTCTTCTTGTTGTAGAACTTAACCTCCAAATATAATTATCATACATTTCTATCGGTCCGTTCAACAGGTTAGGTACCTACCTGTAGGTATCTTGCTAATCGACAGATGGGGTGCCAGATAAAATTTCCTTATTACAGTTCTCCAAGTCTTGGAATAATATCTCCTTCGCCGCGAGCTTCTTGGCAATTGCTGCGCTTACAATTCTGTTGAAGAGAACCCAAGATCGATCATAAACCAAAAGGCACAAAGAGATATGAGCTTGGCGAATTACCTTCTTTGATCCACTAATGGACCTGTTTTGCCTGCTCTGTATCCATCTCGTTGGCCAGACAGGAAATCAACGTAATTGAATGCAGCCATGAGTTTCGATGACGCTGCCTTTATTGTTCGTAAACTATGGGGTGTCGCGCTGGGGTCCCACGCTAGGTATTAGCTGTGACACTTGGACGAGACCGCACAGGCCAGATGAGATGATTCCGTGGCTCTGTCTCGTGATGTGGCTCTCATAGCGGTATGACAAGCAGGGTTTGGGGGATGTGTTAATGTGTGTTCAGAGGTATCTTCCCGACACGTCAACAGAATCCTGTGAATCAGCGCGATTCTAATAAGTACATGGTATTGCCTACCTACCTAGATGAAACATGCATATGAGCAGACATAAACAGTCTGGGGGGACCAGCTTGGGCGAAGAAACCATGTGGATTGATGGAGTATATAACGCCATCAACCTGGTTAGGGCTAGACAACTGCTTGCCTCAGCAGGCTATGTCGTCCACTGCCATCCATTTACGTTCATCACGCATCTCTGTCCGACAGCCCATCACATTTTCCCTCTACGACTGGAGCGGAGGGTCACTCTGCACCCTATTACTTTGGCCGTAACATGCACGACCTTGTGACCAGCAAGCTACTGAAAGATGTCCAGGGTACCTGCTCTGCTGCTCTAAGAGATTGATTATAATCATTTTCATGTTTGTTGCACGAGGAGCTGTTAATGAAGAAGAAGAAGTCCGAAATGTATGCGGTTAGGTAAAGCTACGTTACGCACGCGACGCCCGCCATAGGATTCTTGTTCTGGACCGCATCCCCCATTATCCCAGATCTAGATCCAGATTACACACCATCATGAAGGATGAGATCACGGGCGAACGAAAGCAAGAAGAACAAGCACAACGACTAAAGGCACTGATAGTATTTAAGAGAAGCAGAGAGTGACTGTCACTGAAAACTGTGATGATGGCGAAGAAGAACCAAATTACCTGGTGACCAGCCGAGAAGGAGGGAACAACTGGGCGTGATGCGGTAGGCCACATGACATCTCTTACATAAAAGCGATACGGTATTCGCATTGTAAAGTGAAACGAAAAGAAATGAAATTAAATGAAATTAAAAATTATAAACAAAAAACAGAACAAAAGCAAAGAAAATGTAGTAGTACAATAGTCCAACATGGTCTCCGAACCTCTGGTTGCTCCAACCCCTTTCACCCACAGTTCAGGGCCACCCGTGCACCTCGCCGCTTGCCTCAACGGTTCTCAGAAGGTGAAATCGACGTTGCCCGTGTCTTGGGCTCTCTTCAAGAGGCTCATTTTACGTTGGTCTTGGAATAGCGGTTTTTCCACTGAGTCTGCGGCCCTGTGCATTGGGACGAGTTCTTTGCCGTCTCCCAACCAAAGCGTTGGCGTCTCTGGGAACATGGCTAAAGGCACGAGGGCCATGGCTTCCGTGCTCCTACCAGCTTCGTCGTTGATGATAAGATCAGGGCTCAACGCTTCTAGTTCGCTTGAAAGGTGGTCGAGCAGATTTTTTATTGCTACGGGAGTACCAACAAGGATGTTTGCAGAGCGGATAAAATCTTTCATCATCTTTATGACTCTTCTTGTAAGTTTGGGACGTTTGACTTTGAAGGCGGCCGGTTTGTTGATCTTCATTTCCTAAATATCGAACAACAATCGGTTTGCTCCAGGATTCGCCATCGCCCGTGCCCGCAACTGTGACGAGATGCTGTACGGGTTTGTAGCCGGGCTGAGCTGGTTGAACTCCTTCTTGCGAAAGGCGTTGACCAATCGGGCGATGGTGCGTTCCGTAGCGGTGGCGTTGGGCCTTGGTTCCATGAGCTCTGGAATACGGACCCCTGCGTCCAGCAAGGCTGCGACCTCTGCTTTCCATGTGTGCACTTTTATGATGATGCTACCGGGAATTGTTTTGTGCAGGCGGGTTGTCGCATCAAGGACTTGCGCGTCCTGAGGTGCAGTCCACACCACCAAGGCTTTGCGCAGAGCGTTGGTTTGCCTGTTCCATTGTCTTTCTAGCTCCGCCCATGTCATACTTGCTGCTGATGGGATTGAGATACATGTACGTGAAGTGTCCACGACTCCTCCTTCCACGACGGCCTGCGCGATGAGGGTTCCAAAATAGGTCTTTCCGGAGCCAGGGCCTCCCGTAATAATAACTTTGCCCTGTCTAGTCTTCTTTAGCATGCACGCTGCTTCAAGGTGCCGTCCAACGAAACGACCATTGGCAGCGCCGTCCGCGATGCCTGGGAATCTCGCCCACAGATCTAACTCTCGGGTGATGAGGTCCGGGTCAAAGGCCAGAATGTATTCCCACCATGCCGCAGCAGATGAATTGTCCTTCACGTTATTCATGACGTTGATTGCGTTTGCCTCGTAACACAGGGATTTGTCATTGACATCATACTCGATACGGGCGAGGATCTTCTTTTCGCCACGAGTGATATTTGCAAAGTATGTGCCCAGGTAGAGCGGGACTTTGCGAGGGGCGTCGACGATGAAAGGGGGCCGTTCAAAGCCACAGGGCCAGTCTACCTGGAGAGGAACTTCCACGTAGAACAAGGCGATGTCTTCGCGTACTCCGGCTGGCAGATTGACTCGAAAGCCTTTCCAGGGTTCGTCTTGGCGTTGGTTTACCAATGGGCGGATGATGTTCCGTTGCTGGGCTAGCCAGGTCTGGATTCGATTAAAGTGTGCTATCTCGTCTTCTCCCGGTTGAGCGCGGAGTTCTTGGGCGATGAGCTGTGCCTGAACCCATCGACGAACGTCGTCTGTTGCGTTGGGCGTTTCATGGGTAATGTGATCCGATATTCTTGAGATATAACCTAAGACATTGGCGGTGGCGTATTCCATGTATGTATTCTCGTAGACCGTGTCAATGTAGTCCTGTTGTTTTGCAATCTCTTCCTCAGACGCCTTCATTCTCACCAACTTGTCATACATGTCCTCGGCATCGACAAGTTTGTTGTGGGCCTTGTCGATGGATGCGGCAAAGTGGTTCTGCAGTTTCATGGCCAAATCGGCGGCTTGACCAGGCGAGAGCCGAATCGGAGGAACGGGGTGAGGCCGTTGGCCCACGTTGAGGAACAGCTCAGCACGGGTGCCGATCTCTGGCAGTGTTTCCCGTTTGGAGTCTTTGTTCAGGATGACAGCGACTATTTAGGCACGGGGCTGGGAGTTTGCAGAGATGCCGTAAACTTCAAGATCTGACGGTTTGGCTTTCCATTCTGAATTTGGGACAGGGAACATCGCGGCGGGGAAGGTAGTCTCTGCGCAGGCGATGGCTTGCTTAATTTTACACATGCCCTCATCGGCTGCACCGACGACAAGGGATACGGTTCGTTCATCCCGGGAAATAAAGGCACGGGCTGCGCCGCCGCAGCTGTCTGTTCGATCCACGTCGTCAAAGGTGGTATTCTCGTAATCAAGATCATTAATGTTGCCTCCGCGGCACGCGCAAGTAAACGCTTGGTAGGCGCCGCGCCTGATGTCTCGGGATTTGAAGAGGTCCCATCGCTTATTCCAGCCCTCGATTGCAGGGGAAATGACGACCCATTTAATGACAGAGTGAGGCTGCAAGCTTTGCTGTATAAGAGCCCTGACGTCGCGAACGATGGTCTGCAGTGATGCAGGGAAGGTTGCCAAGCTGCCCCAGAACGACGGAGGGTAAACCTGAGTGACGTGGCCAGCGTTCACGATGACTGAGGCGCTTGCGAACGAGGAGGTTGCGGTTCTGATGTATTCGGCGAGCGAAGCGCTCTCCTCAACATCGTTGAATAGGTCTCGGTGCTTCTCCTCCGGGTTTATGACCTCCACGGCACCGGGGAACGACTGGATGCCTGGGGTGATAAGGCGGTTGATCGCGTCAGACTCTGTGGTAGAGAAAACTTGCGTGCTGACGACTTCCTCCAACTTCGACATGTTGATTTCGATGTAGGCGAATGGGTATGACACGTTCCCATCGCGAATGAGGAGTTTCAGTGAAAGCACGCTCTCGGTGTTTGGACCCCATCGAGGTCGGACTTCGACACACAAGCCCGGGGCCACGCTGTTTCGACCAAGACGTTTGACATAGTCGTGATGGAAACCAGGTAGCTGCTTATCATTGATGAAGAGCAAGGCGCTTGCGCGGCCGTAGACTTCCACATTTCGGTCCGCGAGCAGAGCAGGTTCCTCGAAAGTGGTCTCAACGCGCTCTGATGACGGACTGGCGGTCTCTCGGGTCTTTCCGTCCGAATCAGCGGGCTGATCAACGGTGGCCTCAGCGAGGAGGGCTTGAGGCTTAGGATCGGTGTCTTGACCGAACTGATCAAGCGCGCCACTGATAGGTTCCATCGTGGGGTCGACCGGATTTGGTCTGTTTGGGGTCAAGAGCTTTGACTATGCTTGTTTCGGTGGAATGCTTGACAAGAATAGTAAGGTGTGGCGTACGGAAGACGCAAGGATCAGGGAACAAATTGGTTAAGCTGTTTTGTGGGGGGGTTGAGGAGGAGACTAGATTTCTTTTGGAAATCCTGTCTTGTGTGGAGGGGCCGATGTGGGTCCGCCAAGGTCAAGATGGTTAGGGTACGGTGCGTTACGTAAAGTAAGCCACTCGGGAGATGCGCCACAAAAAATAAAATAAGGTGAATATTATTGGGGCCAACAGGACCCCGAACCTCCAAGTCGCTAGGGACGAGCGAAGTTGATCCACTTCCAGCCGACGTAGACACCGGGGAGTAAATGCTCAACCTGAGAGATTGACTGAGCCAGCTGCACGTTGGAAAGGGCGTTTCCGTCGAACGTCCTTTGAGGCGAAGGAGCTAGAAGTTCAGAATTGACCAGGAGGCTACACAATGAGCAGCATTGCAAGTTAGCATAAAATCATGGATAAAGTACGGATGAGCTAACAAACCGATTTAGAGACCGGGGAGCAAACGCTCAACCGAGAGATGGACTGAGCCAGCTGCACTTCGAAAAGAACGGTTCCGTCAGGCGTTCTTTGCGAAGGAGCTGAGAGCTCAAAGTTGACCAGAAGGCTGCATGCCTGACTGGACGCAAGGTGGTTGGATGTTCTCGACCTGAGGGCGGCGGACACAAGGAACGCAAGAATCAAGGAGATCAATCCAAACCAAAGTGGGTGAGCTAATAAACCGGTGGTGTAGTCAGTTAGGCACCGGGGGGAGCCTCTGCTCAACAGCCCTCGTCATGAAGACGGGCGGCTGGTTCTTTGACGGAAATCGACGGCCGAGGCGGACGATACGCGTGGAACACGCGCCTGACTATGCGCAAGGCTGTTGGATGTTCTCAACCTGAGGGCTGCGGACACGAATGAACGCAAGAAACAAGGAGATCAATCTCAACAACCACACGCAATGGAGCTCATAAGAAACAAAGAGTACCTGAACTGGGGGGAAGAAATCAATTCCGACGAGTCCACAGTGAAGATATCACTATAAGCTCGTCGGAATTAATACCTCCACACTACCAAGGTAAAAATGTGACTGAAAATTACTAAATAAATGAGGGATGCAGAAGAAGAAGAAGAAGAAGAACAAAGCGAGAAGCAGAGGAGGAGGGAAGAAGTAGGCGTTGCTGCAGTGGGGCACGTGACACAGCATGCCTCCCATAAATATCCTACAATAGGTATTCTACAATGGTGAATTCGTTTGCATTTTCGCAAGGTATAGAACTATAGGACCCAGTCCCTATATTGACATCTTCAGAGCTTCTCATTGGCTCTTATTGTTCAATCTGCATTAATGAATGGGGAAGGCTATCCAGCAACCCGATTGTATTATTGCAAGGACACCAACCGACTGACGAATACAGTGTGCCATATACCATGTGACTCTGGGTGACCGTACTGTATTTCTATTACTACCTATAGTTCTGCCTATTCTTAATATTAATAGAACATGCTTCTTTTATATATAATCCTGTGGCCTACCAACTGGTAGCAATTGACGTTTTCGATCTCCGACCCCTTGAATTTCATTCTGTCATCATGCCAACGGAGCACCCGTTATTGAGTATGTGCTGCTCAAACCGTGTTTCCGTCAGCTACCAATATTACTGATAGTATCCGACCAACTGATACGAATTACACGCCAAGTATCAATATTCTTGCAAACAGACCACTACTTCACAAAACTCCTGTGGTCTACCGATTTTAGCACTCTAGGTAGTTATAACTTAATAAAGTAGCAGCAGTAGCAGCAGCAGCAGCAGTAGTAGTAGTAGTAGTAGTAGTAGTAGTAGTAGTAGTAGTAGTAGTAGTAGTAGTAGTAGTAGTAGTAGTAGTAGTAGTAGTAGTAGTAGTAGTAGTAGTAGTAGTAGTAGTAGTAGTAGTAGTA